TGGACGGACCAATAGTGCCTCTTAAATTGATAACTGCACGCGGCCATTGTGTGACCGACAACAACTCACGATATATTAAGATCGTAGTGCGCGGACCGAACGGAGTGAGTCATGACATTGCAGTGCGTACTCTGCGTAATGTAAACTTGCCGTCTCAAGCGTTACCGGCGCGAGTGCTCGAAGACAACGCACACCTGCGGGACCTGGATTGCAGCGAGATGAGGGATGCGAAGGCTTCGCATCCCTCATCTCGCTGCATGTTGTTGTTGGGGCAGGACAACTGGAAGCTCATAGTTGGAAGGGAGATTCGTCAAGGTGAATCTGGTCGACCAATTGCTTCTCTTACTAGCCTAGGTTGGGTCGTCCATGGCCCGCTAGGTGGGGGGTTTGATGGTAGTGAACTCGACTTCGCTAATTGCATGTCCACGCCACACAACGATTTACACGAGTTAGTAAAAAGTCAATTTGAACTAGAAGCAATTGGTATTACACAAGCTCTGCGTAAAAATTGTAATTCGGAACGGGCGTTACAAATACTAGGTAAAACATGTAGCCGCGTGTCAGATAACGTCCCCCAATGGGAAGTAGGCTTACTATGATCTCGTAATATAGTAGTTGCCCGATAATTATAAAAATGCGCGTAAACGCCTAGCCGGGATAGAAAGGAAAATGGATCGTGACCCCTGCTTTGCGGACGCCTATACGAAACAGGTAGACCGCTTATTAGCTTCTGGTTACGCGCGTGAAGCTGAGGGCCTTAGGGCAAGTCCCGCGTGGTATTTGCCTCACTTTGGAGTCCTAAGCCCTAATAAGCCGGGCAAGTTGCGTTTAGTATTTGATGCTGCCGCCACGTACCAAGGTACATCATTGAACAATAATTTATTCAGCGGGCCCGACTTAATGAATTCTTTGCTAGGTACCCTAACTAAATTTAGAACAGGTCGTATAGCTTTCACTGCTGACATCGCGGACATGTTTTTGCGAATTAAAATTCTCGAGGCGGATCAAGGTGCTCAACTGTTTTTATGGCGCGGTCAGGATCGAGTTAAGTAACCTTCGATTTACGTCATGACCTCAATGATCTTCGGTGCAGCCTCCTCCCCGACTTCAGCAATTTATGTCTTAAATAAAAATGCGGAAGAGTTTAAAGACACATATCCTGTCGCGGTTGAAGCTATACGGAAAAAGCACTACGTAGATGATTATATAGATAGTGCGGACTCTGTCGACGTGGCACAACGACTGATCACGGACGTCACCCACATCCACCGAGCCGGTGGTTTTGATATCAGGGTGTGGGTGACGAATTCACCCGAATTACGAGAAAAGTTACCAGGTGTTGTTCCGGGTCGAGTCAAATTAGATAAGTCTGAGAATGAGCGCACACTGGGAATGATCTGGTTTCCGTCGAGCGACTGCATGAAGTTTGACCTCTCCTTCAAGAGACTACCAACAGAATTAGTGAAAGGCCAGACCAAGCCTACTAAGCGCGAGTTCCTTAAGATTATTATGATTGTTTTTGATCCACTTGGGCTAGTGTATCCATGCGTTATCCAGTCTCGAGTCCTTATGCAACAAATATGGCAGTCGGGAATACTGTGGGATGAGTGCATCAAGGACCCCCAGGGCAACTATTTGGTTTCAGTGGCTGAACCAACTGAAAGCTCTATCTAATGTAGTTGTACCCCGGTGGTACGGATTGCAACGGACAGCCGTAGATATTCATGTCTTTGGAGATGCCAGCGAAAAGGCGTATGCTGCCGTAGCATTTCTAGTAGGTACCGATATTGAGGGCAATAGGGTATGTACAATGGTAGCTGGCAAGGAACCAAGGACCCCGTGAAGGAAGTGTCAATTTCGCGTCTCGAATTACAGGCAGCAGTTTTGGCATGCAGATTGGCCGTAACCGTAAAAGCTGAAGTCGATTTCGTTATCAACAAACAAAGACAAGACAAAGACTGACTCAAAGACAGTTCTTATGTGGATCAATTTTGATGCACGAGATTATCAAAAATACGTCTCTCATAGGTTAGCTGAAATTGATAGCTTAAGTACCAGAAGTAACTGGCACTGGGTGCCTTCCGAGTCCAACCCTGCTGACGAAGCGACAAGGATGGACTGGCCTAATAACAAGGGCATGTAGCTTTCGGGTCCCCCGTTTCTCTATGATCCACAGGTGCCATGGCCGAGCTACAAGCGTGAGCTTGCGTTCGAGAGGGTGTTAGTAGTGGGTGACAACCCTCAACCCCTAATTGACGTGAAACGCTACTCCACGTGGACGAGAGCGTTGCGCGTCTTCGCACGCGTGCTCACCTTCATAAGCGCGTGCAGAACCAAGCAGAGGATAGCAGTAAGTACGCTCACGGTAAACAATATGCAAGAAGCTGAGCGTACGTTACTTAAGCAGTCGCAGGCACGATCATTTCCAGAAGAGCTGAGCACGCTGCGAGTTGGGCTTCCGTTGCCTAAATCAAGTCGTTTGCTGAAACTCGACCCCGCGATGTATGACGACGAGCTGCTTCGTGTCAGGGGACGCCTTGGAGCTTCAACGGAATTATCATTCGACGAGAAACACTCCGTAATCCTTGATGGAAGTTGTCCCATCACACGGCTCCTTGTGCAGCACTACCATGAACGTGCAATGCATGCCAACCACGAGACAGTCGTCAACAATGTACGAGAGAGGTTCTGGGATACTTGCATTCGGCCTACTGTGAAGGCTGTCGTTGCACGCTGCCAGCATTGTAGGGTACAACGCGCGCAGCCCAACCCTCCAAAGATGGGTGACTTACCACTTGTCAGGCTCACCACCACTCGGCGAGCATTCGTTAATTGTGGGATCGATTATTTTGGTCCCATGGAAATCACTATAGGACGGCACCGGGAGAAACGCTGGGGTGTGTTGTTCACATGTCTGACTACACGCGCCGTCCATCTCGAGTTGGCTGCATCACTCAGCAGTGACTCTGCCATACTTGCCTTACGCCGCTTAATAGCGCATCGCGGGCAACCTGCGATAATTCTAAGCGACTGTGGCACAAATTTCGTAGGAGCGAACAAGGAACTCCGTGCTGCTCTGCGAGGCCTGAATGCCGAACAACTGCGAGGTGAGGCTTTAGCTAAGGGCACCGAGTGGCAATTCAACGCGCCTGCTGCTTATTCGCTATGTAAAGAATGCCCTACATACTACTCTTAAAGAGCGAGCACCATCCGAAGAAGTGCTTCACACCGTCCTTTTGGAAGCAGAGCTGATAGTGAATAGCCGACGCCTCTCGTATGTCACAACTGATCGGGACCAGCCAGTAGTGCTCACTCGAAATCATTTACTGCTTGGCACAACGGCAGGTGATACTTGTTTGACAACTTATGATCCCTCCGACCTCGATGCTCGTCGCCTGTGGAAGAAGGCGAATGGGCTTGCTGAGATGTTCTGGAGGCGGTGGAAAAGAGAGTACCTGCCCACTCTTCAGAGACGTCAAAAGTGGACCACGGCTGCGAACTCTGTGAAAGTGGGTGATGTGGTTGTGTTATGTACGGCAAACAACCGCGTAATATGTGGCCCCGTGGCGTAATAACTAAAGTGTACCCGGGAAGTGATGGACATGTACGAGTGGTAGATATAAGGACACCTACCGGGTCGCTGCGTCGACCCGTTGCTCGAATAGCCGTGCTACCTACTGACGGTACATTTGTCGATTGAAGTCTCGGACTGGGGGGTGGTGTTAAGGAGCACGGCTTGGGTTGCTGAAATGCACGTTGCACCAGTCATCCAGGCAGTCGATAGCTAGCCTCCCCGCCAGGCAGTCCATAGCTAGCCTTCCCGTAGTGTAGTTCTAGTAGTGGTAATAATGTGATTAAATAGTCAATATTCCCGTGTCTGTGTTTCTCTGCTACTTACTGATTAGCAACCCCGCACCTCACTTACAAAGCCTGTACTTTAAAGTTATGTCCGCACTAACACTAAATTAAGTCATTTCTGGTGCGACTCGATTGTAGCTTTAAGGTGGCTATCATCGCAGCCTAACCAATTTAAACAGTTCGTTTGTAATCGTATTAACGAAATTCAAGAAAAAACGTTAGGCCACACCTGGAGATACTCACTACTTATCCATATCCACAAGTTTTGGAGAAAGATGTTACCATCATTGACCGCTACAAAAGGATTGATTACATCCGACAACATTTTTGGGTCCGTTTCAGAAAGGAATACATCTTCACGCAACGAGCTTAAACCCAACGACTTAGTTCTCAATAAGGATTTTACCCTTCCACTATTATTGTGGCCTCTGGGAAGAATCATCAAGGTTTATCCTGGTATCGTGGGATCAGTCGTGTCGCCGTGATTAAGACGAAGATTAGCACAATCAGGCATTGTCTCTTTCAAACCACTTCATTCCTTAGTCGATAATTCCTTATTGTAATATTCTAACAAATTAAAAAGATGCTCATCATAAATTTCACACACATCTTATCAACCTCTTTGGTAAATATTGTCAAATGGTTGGCAATACCTGTATTTAGGAGCCAGTCGTAAGAAATTTTAGTATGGCAACTATAGATTAATGCGTCACTGTGAACGCCATGGCACACAAGTAGTGGTAACTCTTTCGTTTTAATAACATTGTAAGATATCACGCTTTGTATGAATTTTAGCTTAGCTAATAGCTAATAGCTTTTTAGCTAATAAAAAATTTTGACATCAGACTTATCCTCACTCTGTGATTTTGCTCTAAACGTAAACGTTCAACGTTGTTTCAAATATTGCACTTAAATCTCACTTATTACATTCTATTTTCATATAATTATCACAACTGTGCTTTATACAATAAATAATATTCTATTTTATATTACTATATTTTTTACTTAAAATCACTGAGTTTATTACATAAATATCGCTATTCTCGTTTTCATTGTAGTCAAGATTGGTTGTAAAACCAGATTGATCTGATATACTCATTTCGTCCGTAGAATACTCATTGATACTACTTGAACTACTCAATTTATATGGTGAGAGTTTTAACGATTTCGTCGATTTCATTAGTTTCAGTTGTAACCGTCTTCTGTTCAAATTCAATATTACTTTCATCGGGTTCCATGTTATCATTTTTATTTTCCACATTTATTTCGTCATCATCATCATCAATTAATAAGGATACAGAATCTAACCATTTAGATTCTGTATCCTTATTAATCTGACCTTGCATTTCTGCATATTCATATGTGAGATGGGCTCCCGCAACCATGCTCGGTACTAGGTACTCCTTATATAGCGTGAATTGTCTGAAAGTAATAATAATTTGTTAGCAGGCAACAAAATTTTATTATTTATTCTATGAAAGTATAACACATTTTTTTTATGATATAGGGGCAGAAGGTCATCGACACCTGCAACCCGGGCGACACCAGTGAGTTGCCACCTTTTGAGTGTTCCTGGAATTAGGAGGCGGTGATGGTAGTCCGCTACCTAACTAACTCGGTGAAAAGCAAAGAAAAGAATTGCTCAAGAAATTGTAAACGTACGTACGTAAAAATATGTATAAAGTCAGATAAAATTTACTTACGTATATTCCTTTGTAAACTTGACATTCACCGTATAACAGCCAATGAACTTTCTAATCCTCCAGAATAATATAGTCTCCGGTGTCTTCTGACGAACATTTTTATTCTTATTGAAACTATTGAGACCCTGACGCAACAGATTCTTCTCCCTCAACGTCATCACCATATCCACGACGAGATGACTAAGAGTGTTATCTCTGACTAGCTTTAATACTTCCAATAAGTACAGAACCTTGAATTTCAATTCGTCATAGGATTTTTGTGTGTAGACCATGGGACCGTAGTGTATCATGAAGTGTGATATATTTTCCGATATGTCTTCAGCCATGGCCAGTCTTTGGTTCCTGGCTTCTTCACTGTGACACATTTTTCCTAAACCGTGTCTTTTTGTGAGTACTAGATGCCTGGAAAAGACCAAACACGTTAATAATATTTTTCAGACATCTGACACAACGCCATTTAGTAACAAGTTCAAACTAAGCAGAGATTGTACTATGAAAGCTAAATTGACTGATAGATTATTTATATACTTTTGTACAATACATACATATTATACATAGAACACCCAAACTCCGAAATAAATATATGCTGATATTACAAACATTTGGTCCGACCCGGGTATCGAACCCGAGACCTCATCACAGCAGTCGCATAACTGCCACTGCCTCACGAAGGCAGTCAAAGAGTAGAAACTTATTTTTTTTTTATTGGAGAGTAGTTATTTTAAACTAGGAGGGAGAGAGGGGGGTATGGAGGTTGGTCTCTGGAAACCTCACTCACTTGGTGAAAAGCAGGATGTATGTCCGTGGCCTAGTGGCCTCTTTGATCCCAAGCCGGATATTTGGGTCCAAGACTTGGTCTCTTTGAGCTACTAAAGTCTTAGTCCCGCTTCGTCATTTGAGACTTAGGGTATCTTAGGACGCCAAGAATCATAAGTGTGTGGCGACTCCCACATACAAGGAAACAGAAACATACAACAGCGCTATCTAACAGAGACACTCCGAACTACGGCATAACTCTTAAATGAGAATTGCTAATCGTGTATCGCGATCTGGTGAATTCTGTGGCCGATTAGCATATATACAACTTCTCAACATCAACCGTTGTGGCGGGGGCAAGCCAGGTTGGATCACCTCGCCTGGTTGGAGGTCCCTCCACAAGTGCATTGATCCTCCCGCCCCTTTGAGCCCCCCCCCCCCCCCTCCCCTCAGTATAAAGGGGTGGGAAGGAAAAGTAAGGGCTCTGAATAGTATAGCTTAATAGCGCAACACCGGTCCTCTGTGAGGTAGCATTATGCGAAGTATAGTTATCCATCGGTATTACATTGCATTTTAACACTAAAGGGACCTGTTTTACCCATCTAAATAGAGAAGAGAAGTTTAGATTAAAAGTATTTTAATATGAATTACCCGTATGTCTAATATGACATGTGTTGACTTACTTTTTATCATTGTGTACGCAGGCGGTCACCAACATCTCTGGATCTTTTCTATAAATTAATTCTATGTTGTCGACCATGCTCTGACCATCGTCGTCTAGTTTAACTCTAGCCCTGAAACACAAAAGGTACATTAATATCAGAAAGGTTTTGGACTTGAGTATGACCTTATGGAATGAAGTGATATAAAATCGTTTTTAAGTTAATAGTATTTTTTGTCTTGTGAAGTGTCGAAAAATAGACATTTGCACAAGACAATGTTGATACTTGAGTGATATTATACATTATTTTGTCTGATACAGATAGTATAACATACTAAAGGCTGCAAAATTGGTCCAATCGTAGTGAAAACTACTATAGCGCGATGCAGAATTATTTACTAAGTAGTTCTATTTGCTTTTATTAGATGGAATGGATAGATGGGATGAATTGGGGTAGTGACATACCGTATTCTTAATCCGTCACCACACAGAATGTCACTACCCCAATTCATCCCGTAGATGTCGCAGGAGCCTACTAAGGAAGCAAACAACGCAGGTCACCAGCACTGCAAAAATAAGGAAAACTTAACACAAACCCTATACCAACTCGTCTGGCCAGCGTGGTATAGTAGGCCAAACCTCCTTTCTAAAAAAAGGGCTATGTCGCGAAGTGGACTATCAAGGGATGTTGACGATGAAGCATGATTATAAATGTTACCACACTTACCTTGCCGCTAAGTTCCTGATCGTGTGATTGACAAAAGAAATTTCCTTCTTATTTATATTTGGGTACAATTTCAATGTCTTAGAATTATCGGTACTCGTCAATAGATCGAGTAAATGGGTCAGGAATATTTTTCTGAATATGTATCCAGGTCTGTGACTTGAGGACATGGCTGCCAAAATACGTGGAGTTACGCTTGGGATGGCAATGGGAGTGATTCCTTTGGGCAGCTTATTGTTATTTTTTATAGGTATTTCATGGCCGAAGCCTGCGCCGGAGCCCTGTAAAATAATTATTAAAATTAGTTATGTATTGTCTTAATGCTGGCTAAGAAAATATCGTTTATAGTAATCCTAACTGCTAAGCCAGAGGTCGTGGGTTCGATTCCTACCCAGGACAAATAATTTGGTGATGAGTACTATAATTTGTTCTGTGTCTGAGTGTAATTTATCTATAATTTATGCATTTAGAAATTTATAAGTATTTTTATCAGCAGTCTGGTTACCGTAGTACAGTCACTGCCTACTTGGGATCAGACGGCCGTGTGTGAGGTTATAAATCAGCTTAATAATTATTAGTAGGGCTGAGGAATAAATGGCAACTTACACCATTAAGATACGGCACGATGGGTTCCGTGATGCCACTGCCTCTCGCTCCTAAAGCGCCACCAGTCCAACCCATGCTAAACATCATTCTGAAATTATATTAAGTATTTTGACATCAGAACACATCTACTACCTAATCAGTTATTTATTTTTAAAAAAATATACAAAAACGAAATATGTATTATTTGGCCGCCATATTGTTTTTTGTTTTAAAAAGTTTCGCCCATCAACTCAATGCACTTGGAGCATGACGAATTGTAACAAAGTCTATTCTTAGTTTTCCACCTAGGGATGTCATTTTTTCTTCAAATTTAAATGGGACCAACTAAACGTAAGATATACACTACCACCTACCTCCTACTTCTGCGGAGAGGAGGTGGGAGATGTGGGGAATCAATGTTACAGTCACTTAACATCGATTGACCCGTATGCACGTTAGTACAAAAAACCGAAACAGCATTATCTGAGAAACAACAGGAGCTCCGTATTCGCTGACCAAGACACTAATAATCCGTATTTGTATCTGTATCTTCGGATACACATTCCGGGCGGTCGGGCACATCACTAATACAAAGACTGGCTTTGGTCTAGTGGTCAATGATCCGGACTGCTAAACCAGAGGTCGTGGGTTCGATTTCCCACACCACCATAAATCACCCACGACAAATAATTGTGTAAAACAAGCATTTGTTCTGTGTAATTTATCTATAATGTGTTCAAATTGACTGCACGGATGGCGTAGTGGTTTAAGCGGTCGCCACGCCGCTTCCTACTGCGCCGAGTGTTGTGGGTTCAAACCCCACATGGGACGACACTTTGTGTGATCCACAAATTGTTGTTCTGAGTCTGGGTGTACTTTGTGTCCGTTTCATGTATGTTTGTAAAGTCCCCCGCGACACAGGATTTATTCTTGTTTCTTTCTATAGTCATGCGACCTGTGTATACATTATGGAGTGCAAAGAACGAATTTAATTGAATATATTGTATAGATAGGTTTAAATGTACTCACTGTAGAGCTTTATCACTTTGGACGGGAACGGACATCGCTTCCAAGAGCTGGTCGTTTCTGAAATCTTTGCCCCTCGGCATCGCACGCTTGGGTTTAGGTTGATGTCCAATTGGATCTACCCGCTGTGTTCTGTAATAAAAAATTCATTATTAGAAAAACAGTTCAACAAACAGTTTAAATCATAGGTATCTATCCTATCCGAGCTAGTGCTTGAACTCCCTAATGTAAAATAAATACATTTAGAATTACATGCCCTGACTGACTGACTCATCAACGCAGAGCCTAAACCACTGGAGCTACAAACTTGAACTTTTTTTTTTTATTATTCTTTATGCACAAGTTGTACATTGGCGACTTGGTTGACTTAATGCCATAGGCATTTTCTCCCAGTCTACCTAGTCGAAATCTTGGCAGATGACTGCGAAGTGCGAGTTTATTTCACTTATACGGCGCTACGATCTCCACCAAACGCAAAACTAATCGCACTCGAGAGCGAGTCGATGTGAAATAAAAACGCACAAATCGCTCCTCTGATGCTTTTTATGTTAGTAAGAAAGGATTTTTGGAAAGTTCACCCTTAACAGGGTTAAATGAGGGATGATCCGTTATCACCGCCTCATGCCGCCCTGAGTGTGGCCGCGGGTGGACGGGGTGGGTTTCCCCTCCACCCGCATTAGTTTGGCCAGCCGCGAGGGGGCGGCGTCCGCGTGTGCCGGACGTCGCCTAAAGAGAGGAAAATTTTGAGACGGGGCCCGCAACAGGAGCGGGCCGGCGCTAGGAGGGGTCCAGATGTCTTAATAACAGCTGTTCCCGGATCCCTCCTAGTACAGGCGCAGAGTGGCCACCGTGTGGTTTTAGTCGGTCCGAGTCCGACACACCACCCCGCCGCAAACCCCGGTGGGGTGACGGTCCGAGGGGATTTCCACACGTTCAAAAAAAAAAAAAAAAAAAGGGTGATCCGTTGTATGTAACTTCGTTATTTTCAAATAGATTATTTTTAATTTAGAAACACAGAATAAGAAAAAATCACGAGAGGAAGTCGCGGGCAATTGCTAGTTATTAATTAGCTGTATCCTGCCACGCTTTGCTGTGGCCCATTGTGGTTGCATTTATGAAAAATGAGAAACAAAACTGACTCAAAAAAATAGGTAAAAACAATCTTTGAAGCAGGTAGTATATCGTGTCAAAATTTCAGTTCAATGGGTGCAGAACTTTTTGTGTTTTTGAAGCGTAAACACCTACTCAACATTTTTATATAAATATGATAAGTAATAATCTTTAGTCTTCCCTTTTTATGAGTTTATTTTACAGCAATCTGGTTACCACATACGCCTGTGTGTGAGAACCTCAGTCAGGTTATTAAAATGGTGTATTGACCTAACAACGAGCCCAGCCCGTGACAGTATCATAAGATTCAAATAACCCTGTTCACTTACTCCTTATTAGAGGCACTAGAGTGGCCGGCGGGTTGGAAGCTGGTATCTAGTCTCGGTGGCCTGTGAAAAGCAGAAAAAAATTAAAGGTCAAGTTAAATTATTATTTTTAAACGTTAAATTCATATGTACATACATATAGGTTCATATGCTGTAACAATTTTACGGTAAAATTCTCCTAGCCCGCCTCAACGACCTCACAGAAAACCGGTGTTAAAAGATTCTTTCGGTACTTTTCGAGTAAATAAATTGATCATAGGCCTAAACCCGCCTTCAACCGCCGAATTCTCAGGGGGAAGGGCACTAAATCACTGCGACGCACTTGTATTTCGATAAACCATCAAATGACCAGCCTGCACATTTTCTGTTTCGTATTCTTGTTGAACATTCATTTCGTGAGGACTGTTCACCATTTATGCATTTACAGACACATATACTCAAGTTCTATTTAGCTTGTTGAGGTTTTAGGATTCTCCGAAAAGGCAAGGTGATCCTGCCTGGCCGACCGCGGCTCAATGGTTGATGTTCGGTAGTTTGCATCTATGCTAATCTTCGAGAACTTTTTATATTGCTATGCAGGGTTAGTAACAGTTAATCCGTAGTTCGGTTCGGTTTCTGTTTCATTTTATGTAGAAGTCATTACCATCCTATTACGGGAAGTGATTTACGCACTTGTAGGTGCGCATGGGCAAGTATCTCAAAATCATCATTTCTGCTTTTAAAGTCAAAGCACCATTAGTATCAGCGAACACAACACACAACTTTGGTTGTATGTAAGACGGGGGTACACACCGTAATAATTACTTAATCAATAAGAAGTTACGTATTAAAGTTACTACGTAACTTCTTTCAGTGTGTCTATAATTTTGATATTACATTATATTCTACTTAACTAAGAAGAAATAAATGGGTGTGCATTTTATTTTGCCAGAAGTGCACAATGCGCTCAAGTTCGGTACCGGCAGCTATAATACATTTACGTACGCATATAGTAGATCCCAGCCGAGGTGACTGTTACCATGCGCCGACTGTTGGAATCCTGTTGTTGAACCTTGTTTGGAGGTACACCTAGGTTAGGTTCCTGGGTACCGTTTCACCACGAGGGTACCTGGTAGAACCAGGAAATAAAATATATAGGATGAAATTAATTTCAATTAGTAGCCTCTTATGATTTTTATGAAATTTGTGAGATCGAGAGTAAATCAGAAGTGAAATTTGAAAGAATTTTTATTACGAGAAGAAGTTCGCCTTATGTTATATACGATAATAGAACAACCTAAAAACATTTTGCAATGAAATGAAGGACTGAATGAAAATATCAAGTGTTAAAGAAGAATAGATGAAGAAAACGCATGGCGCTGACCCCTAATAAATTTGGAAAAAGAAGTTAAAAAGATGTTGATGATGATGATGTGTACTGATGATGCCCATTTTCTGATGTTACTATGTATTGTGTACCTAAAATAGTTGAATATGTGTGTGTTATCCCGTAAAAACAACACTGCAAGCTATACTGATAGTCCATTCGCGTTAAGAAAATAATGACGCATCGATTAAACTCCGCCCCCTGGCCAATCAAGTTCCACGAAATTATCGTTTCATACGAAGGCTTGGATCCTGATTGGTACATTTGTACAGTCTGATTGAACTATAGTATAGCATAGGTTACTTTCAATAAATAACCGAGCGCATCTCGCCGTTAAACAATTACGTTTGGCGAGTACAAAGTGTAAATCTTAGATCGAAGTTACTGTTGTGAAATAAATAAATAAATAAGTTACATTTGGCTCTGGAGGGATATTCTCAATACTTAACCTACTATACTCCTTAATTTGAGTTCTAGACGCATTGAGGACCAGTTGTCTTGGACTGTGACATGTCGAAAATTCTAGTAAAATCGTAAACAAGTTCCCTGAGCTTGTCTCAATAATATGTAGTAATAGCAAAAGTATACTCACCAAGCCCTGCTTCTCTGTTGTGGAGGAGATTGTTCAGGTGGCGGAATGTTCAAAGATTCCACATCACTATAAAAAATAAGTTTTAATTTCATCACACATATTTTTATCGTTTAAAAAAGACACCTCCCGAACTACGAATTTATCCTGGGTCGCGGGGGACTTACATGGGACAAACATACATGGAAACGGACACAAAGAACTTTATAGACTCAGAACAACAATTTGTAGATCACACAAAGTGTTGTCCCGTGTGGGAATTACAGAGGTATTCTTAAATTATACTTACCAAGACGTGTTTTGTTGTGTAGGTAAGTCTTCAGTTGGCGGAACGTTCAAAGATTCCACATCACTAGAAAAAAAGTTTTTATTCCAATCAATCAATCAATTTATTTTCATTTCATTGTGAAAGCTAACAAACAAAGTCATTTTCACATTTATAATATAAGTATGGATACTCACCAAGACGTGTTTTGTTGTGGAGTCAAGTCCTCAGGTGGCGGAATGTTCTTAGTTACCACATCACTATAAAAAAAATATTTTACATATTTTATCTTTTGTTTTTCCAACATACATATCGTACGCATACATTAAAAGACAATTATAAAAATAAAATAAAAATAAAAAAGTCTTTTATTTCTTAGAGAAAATGCTAATTTACAAGTTTATTAGTTTTGTTAGTATCAAGAAAAAAAATATTGTAGTTTAATAATTAATTGTTAGTATTTTCAGTTTTATATAAAGAATTTTAGATATGTTATTATCATAGGTATAGTAAAACCTATTTTAATAAAATTATTCTGTAAGGCAATTATTGAACATAAAATATTTTGAACTATTACTTCCTATCAGAATTAAAATGAAATTAACAGTGAGTACTGAACACTTAGAGGACATTCTCTCTGAACAAGAGGGCGCGGCTTGTCTTAATAATATGTATTAGTAATAGTAAAATAATTAAACTCACCAAGACGTGCTTTGTTGTGGAGGTAAGTCCTCAGATGGCTGTGTGCTTATTGATTCCACATCACTATAAAAAATAAGTTTTTAGTTCATAGAAGTTTTCATTTGACAGGCCTGTTGGTATTGGTTAGGGATTCCCACCCAGGACAAGTAATTATGTGACGAGCATGATCATTTGTTCCGTGTTCCGTGTCTGGGTGTTGTGTATGTGTTTAAGAATATATAAGTATGTTTATCAGCAGCCTGGTTATCATAGCACAGGCTCAGGCTCAGACTAGTTTGGGATCAGACGGCCGTGTGTGAGGTTTATTCGATTATTATCTCTTGCAGGCAATATTTATAAACATACACAACTATGCAACCACTACCAGAAAATCATTGAACGTATCCATTTTCTACAATCTGTAGTATAAGCTGTACCTTAGTAAATAGCTCAGTTTTTATCTAGATCATGCTGTGTTATATTTCTCAAAATATTTTGAACAATTATTTCCTACCACAATCAAAATTAAATTTACATTGACTACTGAACACTAAGAGGACCCATTATCTATGACTTAGATGTGTAAAAATTGTGGCGCTGCTTGTTTCAACAATTTGTATTAGTAATATTAAATTACTAGATCAGCCCGGCGGTGTTATACGCGGATATTCAATCCCTTGCTCATCCCACGGGAAGATTACTTTTTTCGGGATTAAAAGTAGCCCTTGTGTTAATCCTGTGTGTCAGCTCAGCTACCTTCATACCAAATTTTATCAAAATTGGTAAAGCCTATTGGACGTGTAGAAGTAACAAACATACACATAGTCACAATCTTTCGTCTTTATAGTAGTAGTGTGAAGTTTGATACTAACCAAGATGTGCTGCTTTGTCGTGGAGTCAAGTCAGGTGGCGGCATATTCATACATTCCATATCACTATAAAAACAATCACTTTTTGTTACATCACATAATATATATTATTTATATTATTATAAATCCAAGTGGTACCCAAAGTACCTTTTTTTTTTCAAATACAGTTTTTTACATTACTGTACATTCATGTACACCGTGGCTACAATATAATTTAATTCGTTGGGTTTTTGATGTTTTCGTCATTATTTTTTTCTTGATAACTCCAGCACGAAGAATATCCTGTGTTGCCGGGGACTTTACAAACATTCATTTAAACGGATACAAAGAACACCTAGACTCAGAACAACAAGTTGTGGATTCAAAAGTGTTCCCATGTGGGGATCGAACCCACAACACTCAGCGCAGTAGGAAGCGCCGCTACGCCATCCGTACATTCATAATTTTAAAACTTGACATGATATTAGCTAATGGTGCTAATTCGAAAACTCTCTAAAGTAAACTAAAAATCATTAAAAATTTGTTTAGTCCTGTCAAGTACCAAGAAACGTTGTTTTTAACTTTTCAATAGAGTTTTTATAACTTAGGTAGGTAATTCCTACACTTGGTCGGACGGGCCAACTAGAACTAAACCCGTTAAGTATATCAATATCTATATATGTATAGTATATCACACATATAAAAAATTCTTTACACAGTTTATAGGTACTCCGTAATATCCCTACCTCGGTAAAATCAAGAAAATGTAGTTATAATTAAGACGCACGCTCGTTCTTAACTTCGGCTAGTTGCCCCGCCTACATCGCATTTTTACCTTGTTCTGGCCCATTAAGTCTGCCTCGTGCTAAATGTAATACAGTAAGTGTAAATAAATAAAAAATGTAGCTACTTAAAGCTTTTCTCGGTCGCTCATACTTCTACTAAATCAAAATATCCTAGTCTCGTATAAACAAAAGAACATTAAGCGGGCCACGTTCAAGTAATAAATACGCTCAGGTAGTAATGTAAGAACAATGAAAAGTAATCTTTTGTTACAGGATAAGACAAGATTATTATTTTTTCTGTTGAAATTTCCTCTTTCTGTATGTTAATAGCAATGACTTCGTATTTACATTATACAAAAGATGTATTATAAAATTTTGTATGCAGTTTTAACTGCTTTTTTTTGGTAACTACAACAGCGGTGGTATTATTGTGTCTGTAATGAAATTCTAAAACAAAAGTCATGCATTTATCGCCATCAATTGTTTTTCATTTATAAGATCACGACCATAAACATTTTAGAAAGGCTTTTCAGGATGTTGCTTTAAAGATAACGAATGAATTGAAACAAGGATACGGTGAAAAAAATGAATTGTTATTGTTTATTACCGGATCAAGTTTTAAGTATTATTTTTTGTTGTAATGGATACAATTATTATTATGTTATAAGAATCTCTTGTGAACTCGGCCAATTTCAACATTATCATTAAAAATACATAAATCACTGGTCAACAGTAGTACTTATAATTTATATCGTCTTAATTATTATTCTCTCTTTAAAACAAAACTTAATTTCTAGTGAACCTAGACAGACATTTCCACACTACCCTAAGGTAGACTGGGAGGAAATGCCTGTGGAATTAAATCGGCCATTTTACGATTAATTGTAATTTGTGCATAAAGAATTAAATAAATAAATAAAAAAATAATTACTCATACTTTTTTCTGCGTTTCTATTAGTACACGCTGTTACGAACAAGATACCGCCAAAAACTGTAGCCATGTTGTACGTGAATGGAAAGAAAGCCATGGAAGACTCCTTTTTTTTAATAAGTTCTTTATATTTTGGGTACAACTTGGGATTATTTTTTGTGTAATTTTTTGTATGCGCGTGATAGCTGAATTATTAGGCGATCGAAGGATTATCCGCCTTTTCTGACGCATTTTGTATAAAAACGATTCTTCGGTTTTGTTTTACTTTGAATGCCACAAAGCAGAAGAATAGAAAAGAGGTTTACTGCTTTATTTTTATTGTTATGTGCCCGATGACTCATTCTCTGAAGTGATAAGGTCCAGCGTCCAAATTGCCAATATTCCATATTATCGATATATGTACTTGCCATAATTTCGACTAGACATTAGTTTGAGCGTTCGATTCACCGAATAAAAATTACAAGGATATTCCTATCCATCGAATGATTATTATTTTAACCGGCACAATCAGTCAAATATACTTTCTACCGCAACATAATACTGTTAAAACATTAACCAACTCAAGATGAGTCACCAACAATAGAAGTGATCTGGTGCTCAGGGTCCCCTGATCCGGCACGCTCGTTAATGGTCAGTATTCTAACCTAACCCAAATGATTAAATTTTGCTGGGTAAAAAAAAATTGACATTCGTAGGATAGGACTATGGCCTTTCAGTCGAACTAGTTGGCTAGTTGAAATTATGGTAGGTACATCGATTATATGGAATCCATCCATAGCCATCGCCAAGGATTTTTGAAATCAAGTAGTAAACCAACAAAAGTTGGTTTACTACTTGATTTCAAAAATCCTGATCAGTAAATATTTTAATTACTCTTTATTTAATATTTCAGGACTGCAATTTCCCTGATATGTTAAAAGTCTAGTAAAAATCGTAAACAAGATGGCGCTGCTTGTCGCAATAACATGTTATGGGTAAACAATAAAGTATACTCACAAAGGCATGCTGATTTGTTATGAAGGAGAGTTCTTGGATGACAAATCGTCAGAAATTCCACGTCACTATAAACACAGTTGTTTATTCACTTAATTAGGCTGCTTTACAATACAAATAAAACAGTATTTTGTTAGTTTCTGTTAGGGTCCGTCTCCACGAGTGAGAGAATCGTGGCGATATTAACGTCGTGTTACGTATTTCTATACACTCTCTTAGCACGCGTCTACACAAGGCGATTTTTTAGCGGCGTTAGTGGCCGAGTTCGAGCTAAACGTTATCGAATCGTTGCGTGCCCGTTGCGCGCTTGCCGCACAATGTGGCGGTGGAGACAGTAAGAGCCGAGCGGGCTGTCTGAAGCCTGTGCCCCGCCCCCCTCACTTTTGTGTTGCCTGTGCCCCGCCCCCCTCACTCTTGTGTTGCCTGTCTGCCAAGCAACGACGTTACGTACTGACAAATGTTTTAAACAGTTGCCAGGGTACTTGTAGTTTACCTATTATGGAGATATGCATACTAGTAATGGACATTAATGCTAATTAGATTTAATTTAATTAATTGCGATTCAATTAATCCATCACTAATGCATACATGTTATGACACTACTTATTTTGCTCTCGCCTATCGCGTCGCCTATATCTAGTCTATATTGAACACTTTCAACAGAACAACGCCTCGTCGTGACACGTGGTGATTTCGTTACGAGTCATCGTGGATACGCTGGCGGAATAATAGCTGGTTTGTGGAAATTACTCGAAGCGCGGATACGTCGCGATTCTTCGACTAGTAGAGACGGCCCCTTAAAATTTGCTAGCTGCATGAAAAACAATTGATTTTATCGTATGTTATGTTTATGACCTGATACTGCACCCAAGCTCCAAATGTTAGGCGCCCCTTAGGGGGTAATCTGAGCCCAAAACACAACTGTTGCGTGGCGTAACGGCAATTCGTGAAACATACGTTTAAGTCTATAAATGATTTTTTTTCTTTTATTTTGCCCAATGTTCTACGAATATATATGAAATTAATTTATCTTTAAAATATAATATTAATTACGAAAGAAACGTCGAAGGCAAGTCATTTATTATAAACTTTCAAGATTTTTTTTATGCAATATAAAAATAATTATTTGCTTTTACTGAAATATAAAAAAAACAGGTAGGTACACGTTTGCTTCTTAATATTTCGTATTGTTGTAACTTTTTCTTATCTCAACCTTTGTCCGACCCTTTGTCGGCATTTCATTGTTTTCGTCAAACAGATGACGACAAGTATGAAAGGGCAAATTTTTCAAAATGTTTGCAAAATAAGTAGCAAGCAAACAATAGAGCAAAATATTAATGCAAACGTGTAGCTCTGCCTCGCCAGCAACGCAAAGTCGGGAATTTGCATTAAAAAAATGACATAATAAGGGGCATTTGAGGTGCTAATGAGGTGCCAGGTAGGCGTAGTACAGGAGTGGTTGAAGATACTTTTTCTTTCCTTATAATGAATAAAGTAAAACATGATGAATTGCCAATTAAGTGCTAACCGTTATTTAAAAAAACAACACAGCAATACATTGTTATCATATCTTAGATGAACCGAGATCATTTTTAAGATAAAGTCGTAAAAACTTTTTTCTGCTATTTTTAATGACAATAGGGGAAAAATATTTACATCCTAAAATATCAATGCTTACGGTGAATTTAGTTCGTCGAAATAAGGTTTCGGTCGGTCACAATTCTGTTTTTTCAGTCTGTGTTCAAATAATAAGTAAGCATTTAATTAGCCCTTAATTATATGAAATTAATAATGATATCATAATCATAATCGTGGCGGAGCAATCGAAACGCACATCTTACGATCTAATATCAATTGCTACAGTGAGTTTTTTTTTCATAGTTAAATACTGTCACTGTAGTCTATCCTCATATTCCAAAGAGCACTTAATTAAGTGCTCTTTGGAATTTAATCATTCATCATGAATAAAGCAACACTATCATCTTCTTCTAGCTTTGCTTTAGTATTCTCAAATTCTACATTCTTTGATAAAAAGTGGACAACGAAATTCTACCTTGAATATTCTGAGAGCACTGAACTAGCACTTAATTAATAAGTACTAGTAATAAGATAAAAATTTTGTCACCTAGTATCAATGCTTTTGGGATATTCGGTCCTTCAAGTGTCTAACATTACTGTTGGTAAGCGTTAATAAATTGAGTTTATTCTTACTCCAGGATAGTCATTGTAGTCTCAGATTCTATTCTTTTGACACTGAATATTTCAGTAGCACGTATTTAGCACATAAATTACATTACAATAGAGAAACAATATTTACACTGTACGATATTACCGCTACGGAGATTAAGGTTCGTCTAAATATTGTAACAATATTGTTTCTTTAGTCTGTGATCAAATAATGGGTGAGCACTCAATTAGGACTTAATTATATGGCATTAATAACAGAACATAATTAGTTAAGTATGTATTATGTTTGTGGTCAGGAATCCTCTAAATCGTATTAAATTAACTTTCCAAACGTTTTAATTAAATATTCTAGGAGCACCTCATTAGCACTTAATTAATAGTTAGTGATAACAAGAGCACCTAATTCAAGAACGTCATGAATCTTTGTTCGACCACAAGTTCCAATTTTTTAAATGTATACTAGTCATTTTGGAATCAGGTATCTCTGAACTTTTTCTTCTTCTATTTTCAACCGAATCACCTCCTGTTTTCGAAAGCACCTTATCAGCACTTAATAATTAATTTCATCATATACTTAATTTCGATATCATTTTAACTTTTAGAAGAACTTTGGAAATACAGTAAATTCACATCTCTCCTTAGCAAAGCAGGAGACAAAATAAAGTATAATAGGCATATACCCTTTTAAACAGGGAAGCACCATGGCTACAGAATATTATGGGTCTTAAGTGAGCTATTTGTTTTGAATACGTGTGGCAGAATCGCGTAAACGCACGGTAATTTACTCTAGTTGTAATTGACACAAGATCCCCTTAGTATACCGCCCCATATGACACCTGCAAGCTATTGAGCATTATATTACGTTCATTATACCAAAGACTACATTCCCAGAGGATATGATGAGCAGACTGTTCTCAGTTAGAGTTAGGTGATGAGCATTGACACAATGGTGTCTCGACTAATTTGCTCTTTTTAGTTTGACTAATTTGAATAAAGTTTGCTCTTAAAGTTACCATGACAGTGATCCACTTCAAGCCATGTCCTCGACAACGAAAGAACTGGTAAAGGTGGCGCCCCTTAGATGATTCGTACCAGCGTTATTTCCATTCGTCTATGAGGTCATTATAGACATCGGACTGCTGTTGAAGTAATCTTGTAATTTTATCGCGATCTCGTGCGCCCAAAAAATCGCATTCCATGTCTTGTTGTCTTAAATAGTACATGGTTGCACACTTGCACGTCTTTGCATTGCGTCGATTGCCTCGAGATCGACCGGAAGCACACAAACTAACACCGACAAAGCCTCAGTGCTAACCGTCTTATATGCCTTGCACAAGAATATCAGTGCAAGTCGTTGGCCTTAAAGCAGTTTGAGACGGACAGGCAGGGCCACGGTTGCCCTATCTATAAAGATACTGAGAAATTCGTCTGAAGATGGTAAGTCAGACATTGGAGACAGTGGTGGTTCAATGACCTACTGACTGATCTGTCGGTGATGATCAATATCATTCTCCGGCCGATCGTCAGGTTAGAGTAATTCTAAAAGATATTCTGCTGTTTTTCTACTCCTGTGGTATATCTGTTATTAATTTTGATGTTCTGTATGTATGCAAAGTCGAAGGTCTTAATTTCTTTTTTTTATGGTATAAGGGGGCAAACGAGCAGACGGGTCACCTGATGGTAAGCAACTACCGCCGCCCATGGACACCTACAACTCAAAAGTGCGTTGCCGTCCTTGGAGTCCCTCTCGTTCGATTCATGGGGGAGATTTGCCCTCCAGTAACCTACAAATACAAAGATGACCACTGGCCTTCTCTATCTAGTTTATCAACAAGTTAATGAATTAAGTGTCCCTTTTATTTTTAAGAGCAATGAGAGCATTATTTTACAAATCTCCTGTTACGTTATGCTTTTTAATAGCGTTGCTCATTAAACTTCTAAGTTAACGCAAAAACACATATTTCGACACTGTCAAAGGAATCAAAATTCATAGGGTACTTCCTGCTGCACCAGGGACTTCCTTTCTAGGGTATACCTGGTTCCCCGGCCATTAGTATCCGAGACGGCGTGCGGTTTTAGTCGGTTCGAGTCCGACATGCCACCGACAGGTGGTATCCGAGGGGATTTCCGCACGGAAAAAAAAAAAAAAAAGGGTACTTCCCGTTGACCTAGAACTATGAAATTTGGCAAGTAACATCGTCTTATACTACAAGTACAGAAAAAATCTGAAAACTATACATTTGTAATGTAATCAATCAATCAAATAAACTGCTTGGATTAGAATTACAGATCGCAATAGTGCGTAAACAATATACGAATTCAGTTAGTCACTCGACCTTTCCAACCCCGAATTTGGAAGGCTGAATGACTGACTGCATACGATCCGTTATCGCGGATCAGAGGACCTAGTGCAAGTTTATTTCACTTCTTCTCGAGGTAACCGCGCTCTTCACCAATCACAATGCTGGGACGCGGTTACCTCGAGAAGAAGTGAAATAAACTTGCACACGTACATCTCCTACAATATGGCTGAATCGTTTTTTTACGAGGAGCGACTGCCATTAACCCTCCACAATCCAAGTACTAGGCGATATCGAAGTTCTGTAGAAAGACTGTCGTCGGAGTGTTTGTATGGCAACTGGTACCGACGGCTTAACGTGCTCTCCTAGGCACGGAGGATCTTAAAATGTTAAAAATGGTCATCCATCCACAGACTGACCTTTCTATAATTGCTTAACTTTGCAATGTGTAAACCTACGCGGTTACCAATTAGCCATGAGCCCTTTTTTTCCCTGTCCCTCTTAAATTTGTGGTACCTGGTTAAAGTGGTTGTGAAATTTTTAATCTCTCCCCTACCCTCTTCGTTTAGAAGGAGCTCATATACAGTAATATTCTTACAGAAGCCGTCCCTAACTAAGGAGAATGAAAGAGGGGTAGGGTTGAGGACTCGATTCTACGATAGCTTCAATCGACAATATTTAAACCACTTAGGGGTAGTAGGTTAAATAAAACAAAAGATTACATAAAGTGGTAAATGTATATGTTTATTCCAAAATAATACTAAAAGTAACCTTATCGATGCCAGCATATAAAGACAACATCGATTCTAAGATAAACTTAACCGACTTTTTATCCATCTTCACATCAAAAACAACACAATCAGACATTTTCTCTTTCTTCAAAACACTCCATTCTTTGGTCGATAATTCCTTATTGTATAATTCCAACAATTTAAAGAGATGCTTATCATAAATTTCATAATAACTATTTATTCTCAAAGACATCTTGTCAACCTCTTTGGTAAATATTGTTAAGCGGTTGGCAATACATGTATTTAGGAGCCACTCGTAAGATTTTTTGGTATGGCAACTATAGATTAATGCGTCACTGTGAACGCCATGGCACACAAGTAGAGGTAACTGTTTCGTTTTAATAATATTGTAAGATATCACGCTCTGTAAGAATTTCGGCGTATCTTCCGAAAATACGCAATTTTTTGTCAAATAAACAACTTTGACATCAGACTTATCCTCACTGTATGATTGTTCCTCAAAATCAACGTTTAACGTTGTTTCAGAGATTGCACTTAAATCTAAATTATCACTTTCTATTTTCATATGATTATCACTACCTTTTGACTTAACATCACCGAGTTTATCATCAGAAATATCTGTATCCTCGTTTTCATTGTAGTCAAGATTGGTTGTAAAACCAGATTGATCTGATATACTCATTTCGTCCGTAGAATACTCATTGATACTACTTGTACTAGTCAATTTATATTCATTATGGTCATCCATCTTTTCATCAATGATGAGAGTTTTAACGATTTCATTACCTTCAGTTGTAACCGCCTTCTGTTCCAATTCATTATTTCTATTATCACTTTCAGTCTTATTTTCATCGGGTTCCATGTCATCATTTTCAATTTTTACATTTTCTTTTACATTTATTTCGTCATCATTTTCATTTAAGTCATGGTCAGATTCTGTATCATTATTAATCTGACCTTGCATTTCTGCATATTCATATGTGAGATGGGCTCCCGCAACCATGCTCGGTACTAGGTACTCCTTATATAGCGTGAATTGTCTGAAAGTAATAATAATTTGTTAGCGTGCAATAAAATTAATTAATGTATTCTATGAAAGTAAAAAACATTTCTTTGATGGTATAGGGGGCAGCAGCAGGTCACGGACACCTGGAAACTGAAGGCCAATTCAGGTAATAAAAGTTCGATCACAATTCAGTTCCGATCAAATTTCGATCGCACAACTGTCACAAAAGGTATTTTCCTAGTAAAATAATAAAGTGTTACTAAGACTAGCAGATTACCGATTCAATTAACGGTTACAATACGATATAATCATATTACAGTTAACGTTGGATGTTTAATACTTTACTACGAAAATACCTTTTATGGCATTTGTGACATCGAAAGTTGATCGACCGACCGAACCGAACTTTTATAACGAGAATTGACCTTCTGAGAGACATAGGTGAGTTCATACATTTGCCCACCTTTTCCCTCCCTTTAGACTTAGGAGGGGGGAAAGGTAGCGGGTAACCTGTCTAACTCGTTGAAAAGATATTAGATAAGATTTGCGTCTTAACTCACATTAATGATAATTCTGTCAATCAATTCAGATGTCACCCTGGAGTTTTGGAAATTTTCAATGTGATCGCTTGAGTAGTTAAAAACAATAAATGTGGTTAGATGACAATTCTTTATTTATTTATTTTTATTTACTTTAGTTAGGAAAACAAACAGTTACAAAAATGAAATGGTCGGATTGATATACTACATCAAGCCTACTACAGGTTTTCACGAATAGAATTATTGTAATTTAACGGAGTTCTGGAACACTAACTAATACGACACTACACCTATACAATAAATAACAATCGATCAAAAAATGTTACAATTGGAAAATTTAAGATTTAGCATACTGTGCACGATATTGCTTTTGGTATCAAAGGGATCAGCGGAGTACTCCTTGCACAATTTATTGAAAACGCTGCTCGCTCAAACAACATATGAGTTTTTCTATAGTTGGAGGAAAAAAATGGAATAGAAATAATACTGGACACCAATTTATCTATAATATGTATATATTATATATTTCTAAATACATGTATTTAGAAATACTAAGTAACTAATCTTTATCAGTAGTCTGGTTACCATTCTTCTTTGTCAGCAGTGGGCAGTCTTATCGCTAATAGCGGTCTCTACCGGACAATCTTGGAATGGAGATATTTATGCTACTACAGAATGGCAGTCGATGGAGTACTTTTTAATGATTTTTTTATACTAGCTTTTGCCTGCGACTCCGCCCGCGTGTATGTCAGTTCCATTGGTGATAGACTTTTTAAAATCGGTTTATTGGTTTATAGTAGGGGAACCCTAGAAGCAATTTCGGGATTTACTCGAGCGTGTCAGATTAACATAGGAGGAATACCTTACACCCAGTTGAGTACCTCCACCAGTCATGAGCACTACATATAGCGCCGTGCGTCTAGGGGAGCCTATTAGATTAGTTAAAAAAAACGATGGTCAGAAATACGCGAGTGTGTAAGATTAAGGTAAATTGGGTTAATTACATACACATTACTGTGTATTTAAAAAATGAGACTGTATTTAAATAAAGCAGTGGGAGGGTCACAAAGTTCCGAAAAAAAAACACATGGCCGTGACATTTTTTTTATTTTGAAGCAAACAATGCAAGAAATCTTCTTCAAATGTCTACATAATTTTTCGTGCGTTTATTTGTCACATTTTGTAAAAATCAAAAAGTAAAAATATTTATAACCGTCAGATTTAAAATACCCTGCAAAATTATCGTCAGATTTTCGCTAGCATGAGAGGAACATTTAGCTGAACCGTCTGTATAAAATCTAACACGGGTATTTCGTAATGGCGATTTTTCGAATTCGCGGTTTGCATACTCGATAATTCGCTACCAGCTTGTGTCACTTTAAAATCGTCAGACCTTTCAATGGGAGATTTTTCGGCATCCAAACTCAAACTCTTTATTTCATTTTTTTTTTATGTTTAAATCGTCTTTTATGTACTCTAAAGTCATAGATCAACACACGCAAAAGCAACAATCTCTGTTTTGTCAAATAGTAAGAAAATAAATTTAACAAAAATCAAACTCATACAAAATCTACAATCCAAATAACATATCCCCAAAATATCTGATTTCCTCCCCCCTTATATTTTTGAAAATCTGTAGAAGCTTTTCCCATAGCTGAAAGTGGAAACATTATATGACTTTTATTCATTCTCTTACCTAATCTTTTAAATCCAATACGTCCCCATGACACTCGAGTAAATCCCCATTTAGCATCACGGGCTCCCCTACTATTAGGCGGAAAAGCAATACAAACAAACTGACTTTTTTTGACATTTATAATGTAAGTATAGATTATATAATTAGATATCAATCAAGTTAAGCTATGTATAACATTTACTTACGTATATTCCTTTGTAAACTTGACATCCACCGTATAACTGCCCATGAATTTTCTAATCATCAAGAATAATACAGCATCCGGTGTCTTATCACGAATTTTTTTATTCTTATTGATACTATTGAGACCCTGACGCAACAGATTCTTCTCCCTCAACGTCATCACCATATCCACGACGAGGTGATTAAGAGTGTTATCTTTGACTAGCTTCAATACTTCCAATAAGTACAGAACCTTGAATTTTATTTCGTCATACGATTTTTGTGTGTAGACCATGGGACCGTAGTGTATCATGAAGTCTGACATATTTTTCGTTATCTCCTCAGCCATGGCCAGTCTTTGGTTCCTGGCTTCTTCACTGTGGCATATATTTCCTAAACCGTGTACTTTTGTGAGGACTAGATGCCTGGAAAAGAAAAAAGATATTAATAATATTTTTTGACATTTAGGTCCAAGACCTGGTCTCTTCGACCTACTAGTCTTAGTCCCGTTTCGTCATTCGAGACTTAGGGTATCTTAAGACGTAAGATATGATATGAATTATAATATAACTAGCTGACCCGCGCAACTTCGTCTGCGTCTCTCAATAGTAATAAATTTTCTCCGTTTTTGAAACATTCTTCATTGGTGCTCCGCTCCTATTGGTCTTAGCGTGATGATATATAGCCTATAGCCTTCCTCGATAAATGGGCTATCTAACACTGAAAGAATTTTTCAAATCGGACCAGTAGTTCCTGAGATTAGCGCGTTCAAACAAACAAACAAACAAACTCTTCAGCTTTATAATATTAGTATAGATATGGCATGTGATGACTTACTTTTTATCGTCGTGTATGCAGGCGGTCACCAACATCTCTGGATCTTTTCTATAATGTATTTCTATGTTATCGACTATGTTCTGACCATCGTCGTCTAGTTTAATTTTAGCCCTGAAACACAAAAGGTACATTAATATCAGAAAGGTCTTAGACGTGAGTATGACCTTATGGAATAAAAATGTTTTGAAGTTAATATTATTTTTTGTCTTGTGAAATGTGGAAAAATAGAGTTTTGCACAAGACAATGTTGATACTTGAGTGATATTATACATTATTTTGTCTGATACAGATAGTACAACATACTAAAAGTCTGCAAAATTGGTTCAATCGTAGTGAAAACTACTATAGCGCGATGCAGAATTAGTTACTAAGTAGTTCTATTTGCATTTATTGGATGGGATGGGGTAAATCACTATCAAGTCAAATCAGTATCTGTTTATTACAGACGCAGTACATATGTGTATGAGCTAGGTACGATGCACAAACGTGACGTCATACCTAGCTTTTGTCAAATATTTAATGTTGATTTGAAGATATCAAAGCCAACACATAAAAGTGATACTGGAGGACAATTAATGCTGCACTGTATGATGTTACATTGATTGATTCAAGCGAAATATTTATTGACTACTTGTTGTGTATGTACAAGTGTACAAGTGTGCGTTGTTCGCCGAGCGAGCCCTATGTGTGCGTGTCTGCACCTGCACCTACCTACTTGCATTTCGTACGAACTGTATTATTTTATAAGTCAGTAATAAATGTGTTTATTCTTCCATGAACCGGTCAAATACACTCCTGCACTAAGAATACTCGTATATCCTATGCCGTGGGGGACTTTACAGACATACATTAACGGACCACACAATCGGATCACGGATCAGACAAAGTGTTGACCCTTGTGGGGATCGAACACACAACACTCAGTGCAGTAGGAAGCGGCAAGGCACTTAAACCTTAATTTAATGTTGATTTTAAACCTAGAAACCTATGGATCCCGTGAGTGTCGTAAGAGCCGACTACGGGAACAAACTACGCAGGACGACAGCTCTGCCAAGAAAAGAAAAACTTGAAACAAACCCTATATGAGTCCGTCTGGCCAGCGTGGTATAGTAGGCCAAAACCTCCTTCTTAAAGAGAGCGCTATGTCCAGCAGTGGACTATTAAGGGCTGTTGATGATGAAGCATGATTATGAATGTTGCCACACTTACCTTCCCGCTAAGTTCTTGATTGTGTGATTGACAAAAGCAATTTCCTTCTTATTTATATTTGGGCATAACTTCAATATCGTAGAATCGTCGGTACTCGTCAATAGATCTAGTAAATGCGTCAAGAATATTTCCCTGAATATGTATCCAGGTCTGTTAGATGAGGACATGGTTGCCAAGATACGTGAAGTTACGCTTGGGGTGGCAACGGGAGTGAATCCTTTGGACAGCTTTTTGTTTTTTTTAATATGTATTTTATGGCCCAAACCTGCGCCGTAGCCCTGTAAAATAATTATAAAAATTAGTTATGTTTTTTCTTAATGCTGGCTAAGAATTTATCGTTGATCGTGTGTATAGTGATCCTAACTGCTAAGTCAGAGGTCGTGGGTTCGATTCCTACCCAGGACAAATAATTTGGTGATGAGTACTATAATTTGTTCTGTGTCTGAGTGTAATTTATCTATAATATTTATGCATTTAGAAATTTATAAGTATGTTTTTCAACAGTCTGGTTACCGTAGTACAGTCACTGCCTACTTGGGATCGGACGGCCGTGTGTGATGTTATAAATAAGCTTCAAATATTAGTAGAGCTGAGAAATAAATGGCCACTTACACTATTAAGATTCGGCATGATGGGTTCCGTGATGCCACTGCCTCTCGCTCCTAAAGCGCCACCAGTCCAACCCATGCTAAACATCATTCTGAAATTATAAAATTATATTAAGTATTTTGACATCAGAACACATATACTTTCAGCAGTAAAATAATAAAAAAACAAAATACATGTTATTTGGCCGCCATATTGTTTATTTAACCTTTGGCCTAATTCCGCGGAGGGGGTAGGGGGGAATCAATGTACGTTTGCACCCTATTACATAAAAAAACCGTAACAGCATTACTGAGGAACAACTGGAACTCCGTATTCGCTGACCTAGACACTAATAATCCGTATTTGTATCCTCGGATGTACATTCCGGACAATTGGGCACATCACTATTCGGACTGCTAAGCAGGAGGTCGTGGGTTTAATTTCCACCCGCGACTAATAATTGTGGAAAACAATCATTTGTTCTGTGTCTCGGTAAAATTATCTATAATCTGTATAAATATTTATCAGCATTCTGGTTGCGATTGCACAGGCTCTGCCTAATTTGCGATCATCAACTTATTATTATTCTTTTATTACAATTAATACACATATAAACATTTTTTTAATAAATTTTTTCACTACGTACAAAACTATATTTAAAAATATAAAAAATAGTGGCCAATCGTTGACGGGTACAGGGACCAAGCTACCGGTGGTTAGGACTCCAGAGACAGACACCTCCTCACAATACGTGCCGTATCGAGAAGTACTGCTTTCAGCATTAGGCCCTTATTCCAGCTGTCTAACACTAGCCTCTGAAGGTTTATTATTATCAATATATTGTATAGATACTCATTAACTTAAATTACTCGCGTCGGGAAGTAAGTAAGGCACACATTGCTTTGTAAATGTACTCACTTTAGAGCTTTATCACTTTGGACGGGAACGGACATCGCTTCCAAGAGCTGGTCATTTCTGCAATCTTTGCCCCTCGGCATCACTGGCTTGGGTTTAGGTTGATGTCCAATTGAATCTATTAGCTGTTTTCTGTAATTAAGAATCCATTAATAGAAATACAGTTCAACAAAGATGAACTATGATTAGATGATATGATTATTAGATGATGATTAGTAACAGTATCACAAGATTTAAATAACCCTGTTCACTTACTTGTTTTTAGGGGCACCACGGTTGCCATATTTTATCATCATTTCAGTTAACACAGGGTCTGCTTCAGAATTGATCATTTGATTGATTCCGGAGGGTTGGAAGCTCGCATCTAGCCCCGGTGGCCTGTGAAAAGCAGAAAAAAATTAATGACCAAGGTATCATAGGTTCTGACAAACTTATGACGGATTTTTGTTGTAACAATTTTACGTTAAAATTCTGCTAGTCCGCCACTACGACCTCACAGAAAACCAGTGTTAACAATTATTTCGGTACTTTTCGCCGAGTAAATAAATTTATAGTAGGCCTAAACCCGACTTCAACTCAAGAATTCTGATGGGGGAAGGGCACTAAATCACTGCGACGCACTTGTGTTTCAGATAAACCATCGACTATTTTTATGCAGATGATTTACAGACACATAGACTCAAGTTCTGTTTAGCTTGTGGAGGCACGGGTTTTGGTATTCTCCGAAAAGGCGAGGTGATCCTGCCTGCTGTTGGGTAGTTGTACATATTCCAATCTTCGAGAACTTTTCACATCGCGATTCAGAATTAGCAGTTTCTCGTAGTTTGGTGTGCCTTCGTTAGATGGCGCTGAAGTATGTTTCTGTTTTATTGTATGTGGAAATCATTACAATCCTATTACGTTAAGTAATTTACACAATCAACGCAGACCTTTCTACACTTGTGGGTGCGCATAGGCAAGTATCTCACCATCATCATGTATGTTCATCATCATTTTAGTTTTCAAAATCAAAGCACCATGCATATCAGGGAACACAACACACAACATGTAAACTACTTCTTTAGTTACACCCATCTTGAGCGCTGACCTTCACCTGCACATGGCATTGTTTAACCATAGAATCAATAAGAAGATACGTAGTAAAGTTACTACGTAAATTCTTTCTATGGTTTTGATTTTCTATTCTTTTGTAACTTGGAAAAAAAATAGGATAATAAATGGGTGTGCATTTTATTTTGCACGATGCACAAAGCGAGCCCCACTCCCCCAGCCGAGCGCTCAAGATCGGTGCCGGTAATTATACTACATTTACGTACGCATAGAGTTGATCCCAGCCTAGGTGACCGTGACCATGGGCCGACTGTTGGAATCCTGCCCCTGTTTTGAGGTACGCCTTACGCATAGCACCTTGGTTCCTGGGTACCGTTTCACCACGAGGGTACCTGGTAGAACCAGAAAATAAAAAAATATATAGGGTGAAATTAATATCAGTTACTAGCTTCTTAGAATCACTTGCGGCGGGCCTGACCAATCAGGTTCAAATAACGTTAACGTTTCGTACGAAGGCTTGGAACACTTGTACATTGTACAGCCTGATTGAACTTTAGTGTAGCATAGGTTATTTTTAATATATTAAACAATTACGTTTGGCGAGTATAAGGTTTAAATCTTAGATCAAAGTTACTATTATAAATTAAAAATAATAATTACATTTGGCATATTCTCAATACTTAACCTACTATACTCTTTAACTTGAGTTCTAGACGCAAATAGGATCCTTTGACTTTGACATGTCGAAAAATCTAGTAAAATCGTAAACAAGATAGCACCGCTTGTCTTAATAATATGTAGTAATAGCTAAAGTGTACTCACCAAGTCCTGCTTCTCTGTTGTGGAGGAGACTGATCAGGTGGTGGAATGTCCAAATATTCCACATCACTATAAAAAAGTAGTTTTTATTTCATCACACATGCTTTTTTTTTAAAAAGACAACTCCCGCACTGGGAATATATCCTGGGTCTCGAGGGACTTTACAAACATACATGGACACGGACACAAAGAACACCTAGACTCAGAACAACAATTTGTAGATCACACAAAGTGTCGTTCCGTGTGGGAATCGAACCCAGAACACTCAGCGCAGTAGAAAGAGACGAGGTAACCGTTTAAACCACTACTACGCCATCCTTGCAATTGTTATACAATACAAAAATTGAAATTAAAAAACAAAAACACTAGATTGTATCGTGTGCAGTTATTTTTATGTTATTCCATTCTTTGGGAACAGTTTTAACAATTGGTGGGTTAATGAAATATTATACTTTTATTCATGTAAGTCCCTGTGGTGATGGTTACGGACTCTCATTCATCATAATGTGTAGTAAGAGCCGACTAAGGAAGCACAGTACGCAGGACAACAGCACTGCAAAGAGAAGGTAAACTTGAAACAAGCCCTTATCAACTCGTCTGGCCAGGGCGGTATAGTAGGCCATAACCTTCTTTCTAAGGAGATGTCAGTTCAAAAAGCCATATAAGGACACTTGGGTTTTTGAGACAGATAAAACAATACCTTAAATGTCAACATCCATAACAAACAAAGACACTCACTTTCACATTTATAATATAAGTATGGATACTCACCAAGACGTGCTTTGCTGCGGAGTCGAGTCCTTAGCTAGCGGAACGATCTTGGCTTCCCCATCACTATAAAAAAGTTTTTATTTTATCTTTTTCTGTACAAACATACATGCATAGGTACATTAACAGGAAATAATTTAACATAAAATATTTTCATCTATTACTTACTATTAGAATTATAATGAAATTAGCATTGAGTACTGAACATTATGAGGACATTCTCTTTAAACAAGATGGCGCTGTTTGTCTCAGCAATATACAGCCTTGTCCAAAAGTATTAGGCACCCCAGAAAAATGCACAATTCATGTTTACTGATTGAACAATGGCTTATCTTAGATGGCATGCCGGGGTCACAAGTAACTTCCTAGAAAAGCAAGCAGCTATCTGTTATGGTCATAAAACACCTGGTGACTGAAAACAAAGTATTTGTTTTTATGCGTTCTTATCAGTCAATGTTTGGTCACTTGTGTTCAGGACTCTAACGAGTAAACAAGCTTTTATTTCTAACATAGTGAGTAAATTGACGCGTAATTTATTTAAAAATGCCGAAAAGAAGTGAAATTAGTTTGGAAAACCGAGTAAAAATATAACTCGCAAAGTCGCGAAATAAAACTTCGCGAAGTCGCAAAAAGAAATTGCTAAGTTAGTGAAATGTTCGCGTTGCGCTGTGCAATCTGCTATCAAACGGTTTGCTGAGACTGGCAGTCACGCTAATAAACCAAGAGCAGGCAGAAAAGGTGTGACTTCGAAGCGCGAGGATAGAAAATTAATACGCGAATCTATGAAAGATCGGAAGAAAACATCATCAGAGCTTGCTGCTACTTTGTTCGAAGAGGCTGGAAAGCCAATAAGTGCTCGGACCACCAGAAGAAGACTTGGAGAAGCAGGCTTAAAAGGATGCAAAGCCAGAAAGAAGCCCTGGCTTTCAGAAGCTAACAAAAGAAAACGACTTGAATTGGCTCTACGGCATCAACATTTTACTGAGGAAGATTGGGCCAATGTGGTATGGTCTGACGAACCTAACTTTGAGGTAAGTAAATTTTACTGCTTTTGTTATTAATAATCATGGTCATTTATTTATTTAACTAAAATAATAAAAGTTAAGGCAGTATAAAAAAGTGTTTTTTTTCTTTTTTCAACAGATATTTGGAACGCCAGGTGTGACCTTCGTGAGGCGACGTGTGGGCGAAGAATACCATCCAGATTGCGTCGTACCGACAGTAAAGCATAATGATCTGGGGCTGCATGGCTACGGATGGGGTCGGCGAAATGTTTGTTTGCGAAGGTCGTATGAACAGCGAAAAGTACATAAAAGTGCTTAAAACTGTGCTTATGCCTTCGCTAACGAGTATTTTCGGCCAACCATATACCAACTTAGAGGGAGTTATATTCCAGCAAGACAATGCACCTTGTCATAAGTCAGCGACTACGATGCGTTGGTTTACTGAAAACAACATCGACTTGTTTGATTGGCCAACGCAGTCACCAGATTTGAACCCAATTGAACATCTTTAGAGCATTTTGAAGCGCAAGATTAAAGAGCATAGTATCACATCGAAAACGGCATTAAAAAATGCGTTAGTACAAGAATGGCATGCCATTACAAGGGAGGATTGTACTAAGAATTAGTGCAGTAATTAAATCCAAAGGTGGACTGACTAGATTTTAAGTTCTTTTCATTCTTTTTTGTGTAATTTAATGGTAATAAATCAATTCAAAAAGTATAAGTTGTTTTTTTCCTTTATTTTAAGTAAAATGTACGGTGCCTAATACTTTTGGCCAAGGTTGTATATTAGTGATATTAAAATTATTATACTCCCCAAGACTTGCTTTGTTGTGGCGGTATGTTTATTGATTCCACATCACTATAAAAAAAAGTTTTTATGTCATCAACGTTTTCATTTGACAGGCCTGTTGGTCTAGTAGTTAGTGACCCTAGTAGGTCTAGTAGTCAGGGGAGTGCTAGTAGAATAGTGTTGGATCTGATATTCATTGACCACTTTGTGTGATTCACAAATTGTTGTTTTGAGTCTGGGTGTTCTTTGTGTCCGTTTCATGTCTGTTTGTAAATTTCCCTGCGACACAGTATTTATTCCTAATGGACTTTAAAAAAAAAAAAAAGAGATTTCTCAGAATATTACGAACTATTATTTCCTATCATAATCAAAATTGAATTAACATCGACCACTGAATACTAAGAGGACCCGTTATCGTTTACAAAGATGTGATAAAAATGTAAAAAAATTGTGAGCGATGGCGCTGCAAGATGGCGCTGCAAGATGGCGCTGCTTGTTTCAACAATTTGTATTGGTAATATTAAATTACTAGCTGCGACCGGTGGTGTTACCCGCGTATATTCAATCCCTTGCTCATCCCACGGGAGCAATCTTTTTATCGGAATTAAAAGTAGCCTTTGTGTTAATCCTGTGTGTCAGCTCAGCTACCTTCACACAAAATTTTATCAAAATTGGCAAAGCCGTTTGGGAGTGTAAAAGTAACAAACATATACACAATCACAAACTTTCGTCTTTATAATATTTAGTAGTGTGAAGTTTAATACTCACCAAGATTTGATGCTTTGTCGTGGAGTCAAGTCCTCATGTGGCGGCATATTTATACATTCCATATCACTATAAAAAAATAGTTTTTATTTCATCAAAGTTTTCACTTGACAGGCCTGTTGGTCTAGTGGTTAGTAACCCTACCTGCTAAGCCAGAGGTCGTGGATTGGATTCCCACCCAGGCCCAGGACAAATGTGTGACGAGCACGATCATTTGTTTTGTCTGGGTGTACATCACATAATATATTTTGTTATTGTTTATATGTATGTATATTGTTATACAGTACAGAAATGAGATGGGACAAAGAACCAGTATAAATCCCAGCGGTACCCAAAGTACGTTTTATTTTTCAAATACAGTTTTTTACAATACTGTACATTCATGTACACCATGTCCACAATTTAATTTAATTCGATGGGTTTTTGGTGTTATCTTATTCGTCATTATTTTTTTGATTGTTTAATACCGGATCAAGTGTTTTTGTTGTTGTAATGGATTCTATTATCTGGGTGTTCTTTGTGTCCGTTTCATGTATGTTTGTAAAGTCCCCGCGACACAGGATATACTTATTACTAATGCTGGAGTTGTATTTAAAAAAAAAACTTTATAGTTTGGGTACACCTTGGGTTTTTGTTTTTGTTGTATTTTTTATAAGCGTGTGATACCTGTGTTAACATGTATAAGTGCGAGCTAAACGTAATCGAATCCCCCCCCCCCCCCTTAAGGTGGATCCCTTTAAGATTAAAAAAACTAATGTATTTATTATTATCCATCCAGGTACGGTATTTACAGGTAGGATCGCTTTAAACGCTATGAGGACTTTAGACTCATATATTAAAAATCTAGTAAAATCTTAAACAAGATGGAGCTGCTTGTCTCAACAACACTTAAGTACATATTAATAATGCAGAAGTATACTCACCAAGGCCTTCTATTTTGTTGTGGAAAACGGTCTTCAAATTTCGGTATCTTCATAAACTTCACATCACTACAAAAAAAAAGAAAAAAAAAAAGAATTCATCACATATATTTTCATACAATATAAAAATTGAAAACCTCCAAAGGTTCCACTTCACCGATTACACGATAAGGTTATTATATTCAACTTAACTCTTGAACAGTTACAAACAATTAAAACTCACTTTTGTCCAAATTTGTTTTTGCCGGAGGTCTTAAGCCTATAATTAGATTGATTATCCAGCAACTCATTCAGTTGTTCCATAATACTTCTAGGTTCATCATTAAAAACGCTCCTCACCGCAGGAGAACGGATGTAGTTTATAATGTTTTTGACGAATTTCTTCTCTGCTGGTTTACAAACAGAGATTATCAGACTAGCTTCTGATTCATCTGATAAAAATTTCAACATCTTCTTTAAGCAACAGTTAATAAAATCATGGGGCAATTGATTTACGAATGCTCGGTTTTTTTCATTTTTTTTTTGTTTTCGCGACGATATCCGACTATGGCTCGTTCCACCTGTGTCACTGGAAATTAGTCAGAAGAGCAAATTAAATCCCTAGAAGTAACAAGCCGAGTGTTGACACCTGTACCATAACATATATATTTTAAAATTAAATTACTCAGTACATACATATAGTATCGTACTCAATTAAATTAATTAACACAATTGTATGAAAATCAATGTTTTTCCTCATGAAATTATGCACGAACTGCAAAGGACTTTCTATAGTATCTTTCGCCCAGAAAAAAAAAATGCGAGAGAAGCACTGGTGACAAAACTAGTTTCAAATTAAAAAAAATGTTTCTATGTCAAATACTTACTCTGTACAATCAGACAACTTTATTCGTTTTTCCAATAGTAAAGACCTGCAATTTTATTCAAGTTGTTATCAGTAAGTAACATAAACGAATTAAGTAAAAGAATAAGTCGAAGCCGACCTGCAGTTGACCGCAATATTGCCTGCGATCGGAGCCTTTTCTATTACGGGACGGACTACAGACCGCACGTACTGTAGTACTGCCTCAGTCATTTCTATACTTTGGCGCAAGACAATGTATCTTTTGATAGAAAAAAATTTGATGTTGACGACTTGTTCGTACCAGAAAGAGATCTACAGACTTTATGCTGTATTGATTAAAAGCCAAGTAACAAAGGATAAGTTTAGAAAGCATTCTTGTGGCTGCAATTTCTTCCCTGTTTGGAATCAGTTTCAAAGAAATTCTGCAGTTGTGATTTACAGTCCGTCTTAAACTTGTTCCTTTAAACTCGATGATGTTATAGAAAGTGGTTGGAACGAAGTTCCTTATCGCGCGTTACACGCTCTGGGCGAATGGGAGCGAGACCGAAAAATATGTAACCAGACTTTTTTCCGACACTAAGTTTGTAATGACTATAGCAAACGCCTACCAAAAAGCGAAAGGAAATTCGTTCTGACTGGGGTTCCATAGATCCCTCACGCTGTTTTTTTGATGTCATATTCAAAATCTTAAAAACCTTGACCAATCCTATCCCCTCATGGGTCTGATTAGATTTTTTTTGGATAAGCGGTCGAACGAGCAAACGGGTGACCTGATAGTACGTAACTATCGCTGCCATTGGACACTTGCAACCCAGAATCTGCAGGAGGAAGGGTATGGGCTTGTGTAACCTCACTCACTAGTGTCTTTTATTTATTTTCCATTTCTTTATGTTTTACTTCAATTTCTTTTTTATTCCATCTTTTTCTATATATTGTTTTCTCTTTATTGCTTTTTACCTTTTAGTCCTTAAAGCTTACATACTGGCACACATCATAACATTGTTGTGTATATTTAATAATGCCATTGTATGAACCACAGCGTTAATTAAAAAAAGAGTGACCGTTTGTTTGCAATTTCTTCTCATAAAACTCAACCCCTTGGAAATGGGCGGTTGTAGATCGGCTCAGGCATATAAGAGATTTTCTATACGTATATATTTAGATTGCTAAATATTTGACAAAACAGAGATTGTTGCTATTGTGTGTGTTGATCTATGACTATGAAAATTATTTGAAATGAGATCATTTTGAAATAATTTTAATTTTGTAATGAAATAAAGATATTTAGAGTTTGAGTTCAGTAGGTAAAAAACAGCGACAAGTTTGCTTTACACCAGTTTTCTGTGAGGCCGTAGTATCACTCCGATCAAGCCGGCCCATTTGTACCAAAGCAATTTATAACTTAACGATATTACGATAAGCGATTGTTTATATTAAAACACTTACTTTGTATTCAAACTACATCTTAAGTTTCTTATACGAAAATCAAACTTCAAACTACAAATTTTTACGGCCTCCCATATCGCACGATACACATTTTTACATAGAGTACCATTATCAAATTTCTCATCTATAGCACTAGTAAACACAGAATGAAAATAGACAGTTTCACTATTGTTCAAACCAGAGAAATTTAAACTTAGTTGGGTTTGATCTTTAACGAAATTAAGAATAAGGCGTAAACAGTGCAATATGAAAGGGTTTAATGATGGTTTGATATCGAAGTTTGACCTTTGTGAGTCCAAGGAGTCCACGCTTGTTGAGCGGGACATTGGAGGAATGCTGGACATTGACCTGAAAAGAAACAAATGATAGGAATTGTGAAACCTAAAGCCTCAGTTACACTAGTGTTACATTGTCAATCCTGACCTGCAGTTGCCTTTGCATTGATAATTTGTTGAGCATGTATACAAAACTTAATATGGATATTAAGAACTCTTCAAAAATGTTGCACACAGTAATGACTTTCACAGAGTACCCAATAACATCCAAATACTATTCTTTATAACTCTGAACCTCGGTTTCGCCTACAGTAACATCATCCACTTGGTGAAACACAACAAAAGAATTGTTTAACACCAGATTATGCATCTTTACAATAAAAATACATTAAGAAATAAAATCAGTCTTTAATTTTTCTAATAGCTATATTTCTTTTACCAAAAGAGTACATAATAATGTAAATGGTCACCATGACCGATTACATTTAAGTGGTTGTGTAACTCTAAAGCACATTAGGTGGCTAAGGGTTAATTGTGGCCGTTTTATTGGTCATCGGAAGAAAGAGTCAAATGCCTCAATCTAGATCCTAGAAATCAGAGACATCATAGAGCAATAAACTATTGAGTATTGAGAAATAATCCCTATATACGAGCCCCGATGCAAAATAGTTCGTCTAGTATGGAAAGTAGTGCAAAGCGTAAAATTTAAAAAGTAAATATTGGTAAAATAATTAAGAACGTTTAATAAAACGTAAACCACAATTTGAGGAACATTTTAAAGTTTATTTTAACATAATTGAAATTCTTTCATGACTTTACATTTCATAAAAAAATTAAAAAATATTCTAAAAAACATAACGCAAAAGTATTCGTCTACCCTTGTCACTCACGCAAAATAGTTCGTCTACCACTTAGTTGTGTCGCCTTTGCTCTCAATGACAGCTTTAATGCGAAGAGGCATGGTTGCAACCAACGCTGCACACTCCTCAAGCGTAATTGACTCCCAGACAGCCAAGAGTTTAGCCTTTAAGTCGCTCTTCGATCTTGATGGATTTTTACGGAGAACTTTTTTCATTTTCCACCATAGAGTTTCGATCGGCGACAAGTCCGGGCTGTTAGATGGCCATTCGATTGTAGGGATGCTTTTCGCAAGTAGCCACGTCTTCGTTGTCCTTGCAGTATGGCAGGAAGCACCATCCTGTTAAAAAATGAAGTAATCTTGATGCTTAAGTGAAGAAATAGAGGGCAGTAAATTCTCTTCCAAAAGTTTTTGATACCTTGCAGCATTGATAGAACCATCCACAAACTGCATACCACCAACATCTTGTGCAGACATGCAGCCCCATATCATAAGAGCCGCCGGAAACTTCACTTTGCGTTTGAGACAATCAGTATGAAATGCCTCATTTTTGTTCCGAATCACTTTTGTCCTTTCATCGCCGACTGTCTCTTCAAATTTGGACTCGTCACTCCAAATGATACTACACCACTGATCGGAAGTCCAATTTAAATGATCACAAGCAAACTTCAACCTCTTTTTCTTTTGTACAACAGTCAACAGTGGTTTCTCCTCAGTGCTGTAAAATCCTTAACCCCCTCCAGCTCAAGCACGATGATTATTTTTGATAATTTTCTTTAGGATTCTGTTTTCTATTGCACTTGTGATGCATGGTCGACCAGTTTTCTTCAAACAAGTAGTCATTCTATTCTTTTTATAGTGCTGAATGATAGATTAGACTGTAGACCTGGGAAATATCAAGTCTTTAGATATTTTGTAACTTGATTTGCCATTGTCAACCCCACAAACTATTCGCTTTCAAAGCTCTTCACACACGGGTTTGCCACGACCCATTGTTATTTGAAAACTAATGAAAAAGACTGAAATTTTCAGAATTTATACTGTCTCACTTAACAAATGACACAGAATTACTTTTACAAATTTAAATTATGCAACATAATTGTACAAAGAAGGAATAATCTTGAATTGAATTGAACTCACCGATAGACAAACTCTTTTGCATCAATTAACAATTAGACGAACTATTTTGCTTATAACTTCTTTGAATTTAAAACAGGATATATATAAATTTAAAAAGCTAAAATAGTTTTTTAGTTCATAAATTTAAAATGGCATAAGTAACGTGACATATGATAGTAGAACAGCTTAATATTTTATGTAGGTATACAAAACTAATGAAGAATTTCACACTAGACAAACTATTTTGCATCAGGGCTTGTATATTTTTGTAAAACTAATAAAAAAAAAATTGAATTCAAATTTCTTAAAAATAAATACTTACATTATTGAAGTTGGTCCATCAAATATTTGCATTTGGGTTTTATAAGGTGATGTGTAGTATAGTTTCTTGTAAGTTAAAATCCTGTAACAAAATTACCACATGTCTAAAATGGATTTGGTACATGTCAATCATTTTAACACATTAAGTGTAATAATAGGCGTTTGTGTTTTGACAATTGCTAAACAGTAGGTAAAATTAACTTAACAGCACAACTAAAGTATCATTGGAAAAATACATCTTCATTTGGTAATACAAATTAAAACCCGTTTTAGTTCATTTCATGCACCGCACACATTTTTTTTAATTTTAGACTTAAGCCCTCCAAGTAAGAGATCTCTAAAGGCAACATGATTCTTTAGAGATTGATACAATCTGGGTGATGATCGTTAAATGGTCTCTGGATATTAAAATCGTCTCCGGTGCAGCCTTAGTGTAATAGTGTGTGTCAATGCACTAAAATAAATTAGTTCAACTTACTTATAGTTTATTAATCGGTCTCGTAAATGGTCTTTTTCATTTTTGTAAATACAAGCTACCATGTAGATTCTTTTACTTAAGGCGTCTTCAATTAAATCTATTATTAGCTTGCAATATAATGCGCAGGCTTGTGTAAACCTTTCTGACCGCAGAAGTCCTACATTTCGAACAATACGTACTAAAATTTCTTCCATATACATATTTGCGTAACGAAATTCGATTTCGTCATTGTTCCCTTTTAAAAAATTATAAATTGCACGAATGTTTTTAAATATCATCTCATTACTTAAATAATTAAGAAGAACATCAAATTCGCAAGTTTTTAAATCAATGTTTGGCTCTAGAGCTCTAGAGCAAGCAGCTGAGCTTACAAACTGGGATGATTTCTCATAATCATCATTCGATGATACGGTATTTGATACTGATATGTTTTCTTGATAATCCATTCCAGAGTCTAGATTGTCTTCTGAAGAAGCCATGACCAAGAAGTTAATAGGTATTCGACAATAATGATGACAAAAGACTTGAAAATAAGATTCTTAACACTGTAAATATATCATGTACTGCACTAAAAGTAACAAATTATTAATAACCAAAAAATCGATATAAAAATAATCGAACATTAATTGCAACGTACAAAACCGAATTGAATGAATTATCAACTATCAGTGTGGACTAGTGTGGAGTGTGGTGGTCGCCGGTCGGTACTTCGGTAAACGCCGTCTCGTCGGTATCAGTGTTGCCAACAGTTAAATGAACTCTCCACCAGATTTAACATCTAAAACCACCAGAAAACCACTAACGAAAAACGACCCTACTCTAATAGGCACTACATTTTCCACTAAACATATTATTTTGTAATTACGAAAGAAAACCATAAGTATATTAATAACTAACTAACTAGTTTCCTTTATTAAAATTTAATACTGATACTAATCATTTTGTCAGCACCATCATCGTCGGTACCGATTAATACGATTCTTTAGTACCGATTTGTTTTACAACATTTATTTGGATTTCATATTTGTTGCAACGTTTTCCTTCCAACTTCAAACCACGGGCTATTCTTAACATAGCAGATAAAACATTTAACTACATTCTATTCCTCTGTTTATACCTATAGTAACTCAACATCGGCATTGAAATGAAGAAGTATCAACAGAGTAATACCAAAGTTCGCTAACTCCTCAAATGTCGAAGTCCTTTGCCCCCTCTTTACCAGTACCAGTAGCCGGAGAACCAGGTGTACCCTAGAAAGGAAATCCCTTGAACCCTGACGTACCTCGGGCCGTCTACGGCGTGTGAATGACCCCCTCCTGTGTATGAACCCCCATATTCATTTTGTGCTCCCGAAAACGAAGCGCGCGCTCCACACCGCGTCTCGCCGCCACCCCGGAGTGCTTCTGCTATGGTGACAGATGGCCTCACCTGTTATATACAGGCCTACACTTATAAAGGATGGAGGTCATTCTGCGACCTCCGGCTCCTGAGTCATCTGCAGTACATGACTGCACGGATGGCGTAGTGGTTTAAGCAGTCGCCACGCCGCTTCCTACAACGCCGAGTGTTGTGGGTTCAAACCCCACATGGGACGACACTTTGTGTGATCCACAAATTGTTGTTCTGAGTCTGGGTGTTCTTTGTGTCCGTTTCATGTATGTTTGTAAAGTCCCCCGCGACACAGGATATATTCCTAATGCGGGAGTTGTCTTTTTAAAAAAAATAAATAAATAAATAAACATGGCCCGTTTCCGGGCCTAGCGGGCCTGGAGAGTTCTAAACCTCTCCCGGCCCCCCTCGGCCATCTCCTTCGCAAGCATAACTTGCTCGAAGAAGGAGAGGGTGGAGTTCCACACACGCGTTCCACACACACGCTCCGTAATATGGCGGAATCATGTTCCACCCCGGCAATCATGTTTCCCTTGGCCCCTTGGACAGCTTTAAAAAGCAATACCTCTAGAATGTGGCAGTTCCTTAACAAGTTGGGCAATGGTAGACAACAACGGACCGAGTTTCATTAGTTTGAATGATATTCAAATTCAAATCACTTTATTTATTCTTATCAATCTTAATAGATAAGAGCCTGAATTACGTCCCCGAAGTTATAGGCGACATTATTGACTTCTTTTTCGACTCCGAAACCTTTTCCGCTCTCTGGTATAAAGACTACATCATGCCCTAATTAATAATGCTTTCCTTCCTGAGCATTTCCATCCAATCCTCATCCTTCCTTTCTTATCAAAAGTTATGGAGGTATTCTAGTTTGTGTACTTGCGTACACGAATAGTTCTCACAGTTCATCTTTCAACAGCATTTCCTAAGTCTAAAGGACTATTAAAGGCTGTTGATGTGTGATGTGATGATGATACAATCTGACTATTACTACTAAATCACTAAAAAATCCAGTAGCTACTAAAAACAAAATATCGCTACTAAAAGAGGGGTCAAAGCCACCAGTTTTAGTGGAAAATTCACTAGGTTGGCAATTCGATTTACAAATACAAAAAGAAAATCCAAGGTATTGATTTGATTTGATGGATTCAACAATCAAATCAAATTGATTGTAAGTGTTGCCAACTTCTTTCTGATCTGCTAAAAACTGCCGAAACTAAATTGATTTTTTATACTATTATAAACATTGACAATTTTGTAAAGAAGCTAGTATGATAATTATAAAATTGACATCATTGAAGAGATTTCATTCGGTTATTATAACTAGACAAGATGTTTAGGTAGCCTTTATGGTTATTTTTCAAAATGTAAAAGTTATTTGTTTCTGGCCTTTTCTATTCTAAATTCTTAAACTCATTTTTTCTAGACCCATTGGGCAACAGCCCAATACGTAGTGAGAGTAAATGATTACTATTAGCTGGCCCGAATGTAGCTACCCAGACTAAATATGTGCCATTTCAGTGACAACTGATCCATATCGGTTCGGCTATGTGGTAGAACACGCTCAGAACTATTTAGTAAACGATCGTCAAAATATGAAAAATACATGTGTTTTCTAACACTGAGCCTTCTTAAAATCTTAACTAACTATAAAGTCAAACAAAAACTAACAGAGTGGTTTCTAAAAAAGGACTATGCTGGTACTAAGCGATTGCTAACGTTCGTCACATAACAAAACATACAAATAATATGTCTGAGTTTTCTTACGTGATTACAGACATTCACACACACACACGAAGACAACTTAATGTACCTACATTGACGATCGAACACTACTACTTATAAAACAGGTTAAGCTACAACGGAGGTCGTGGGATCGATTACAGGACAAATATTGTGTGATGAGCACGGTCACTTGTTCTGTGTCTGGGTGTAATTTACCTATAATATGTATCTATTTAAAAAATTAGTTTGGGATCAGACGGCCGTGTGTGAGAGGTGTGAGATATATTATAATTTTGAAGTCTTACATCTGCCAAATGTCACATCTTTTTTGAAACAGATAAGCCATAATTTGATTGTTAGTGAATCAAATTATTTAAAATCAGTAACATACGTATAATATAATTCTTAAGTTATTAGCCTAGGGAGGCAAACTACTTGATCTTTTGGATAATCAGGATACGGACTACCCATGACATATGCACCATTTATATGGTATGGCCATGGTATATGTACCATTTTTCAGGGTCTTGTACCATGTACCAACTAAATGCTGTGTTGGAATGCAATAATACCAACTTTCTACATTGATCATACAACAGTGGCACTCTGGGAGTACCGACAGAAGTGAAAACTTGTTTTTTTTTATAACTGATTTTTTGGTTTTTTTCGATTCCAAAAGTACCGATACGAATATATATCTATGTTGTACGTATATACACAATATCTGTTTACTTTATACATAGTTATATTATCAATGTATTTCAACCCAAACTCAACTCTCGTGTAAACGGGGTTCATATATGTAGATACTTAAATAAAGAGGTGTCGGTAACGGTAACAGTGTCGCGAGTTCAATGGTTTTTTCCATCTCAAAAATACATTCTATAAGTACTCACTAGAGTCGTTTTAAATAGTGTACTATTCGACATCCATCGAAGAGCAATGTAACATATTTAAATTTATACAACTATCTAACAATAAAGTAAAATACAACTATCTAAGAAAAAATGATTGAAATTAATGCAAGGCTAGATAAGTCTGTGGATGGATGGTGGAGTGAAATGGCAAATTATATACGAAAGATAGCGAGAGAAGTACTTGGGGAAACAAAAGGAAAAGGCATTATTGAAAGAGATACATGGTGGTGGAGTGATGAGGTACAGAAAGCTCTAAAAGAAAAGAAGGATGCCTTTAAAGCGTGGAAAAATGAAAAGGTCTGTGAGAGAATGAAGGAAGTCAAAATGAATGAATATAAAGAGTGGAAGAAAAAGGCAAAAAAAGCGGTAGCGGTAGCCAGAGCTGAAGCTCAATATAACATATTTAAACACCTACATGAACCTAGAGGTCAAAAAGAACTCTACCGCATTACAAAGAACAGGGAAGAAAGAGCAAAAGACCTGAAGCATGTGAGATGTATAAAAGATGAAGAGGGGAGAGTGTTGCTTAAAGATGAAGATATAAAAAAGCGATGGAAAACTTACTTTGAAAAACTTATGAATGAAGAGAATAAATGGAGCGGAATGCTAAAGCATGTGGATGTGAATGTCGGACTGGTGAACGAGATTAGTATAGATGAAGTTAGATTGGCAGTACGAAGTATGAAAAAAGTATGGAAAACTTACTTTGAAAAACTTATGAATGAAGAGAATAAATGGAGCGGAATGCTAAAGCATGTGGATGTGAATGTCGGACTGGTGAACGAGATTAGTATAGATGAAGTTAGATTGGCAGTACGAAGTATGAAAAAAGTATGGAAAACTTACTTTGAAAAACTTATGAATGAAGAGAATAAATGGAGCGGAATGCTAAAGCATGTGGATGTGAATGTCGGACTGGTGAACGAGATTAGTATAGATGAAGTTAGATTGGCTTTACGAAGTATGAAAAGCTTTAATGGAAAAGCAGTTGGCCCCGACGGAATACCAGTGGAAGTTTGGAAGCTACTGAAACAAGACGGATATGAGTGGCTGACTCTATTCTTCAATATGTTGTTGCTTGAAGAGGTAATCCCACAGGAATGGTGTCAAACCCAACTCGTACCCATTTTCAAAAATAAAGGAGATGTTCAGGAATTCAACAACTATCGAGAAATAAAGCTCATGTCACATACTATGAAAGTCTGGGAGAAAGTGATTGAGAGAAGAATAAGAGATGAGAGTCAGATAACCCAAAGTCAATTTGGGTTTATGCCAGGACGCGGGACAACAGATGCTATATTTGCAATGCGCCAACTATGTGAGAAATACAGGAGTGCGCACAAAAACTTGCATTTAGTGTTTGTGGATCTCGAAAAGGCATATGATAGAGTACCCCGAGAGGTTTTGTGGTGGGCTTTGAAAGAAGAAAGAGTGCCTGTTAAGTATGTAGAATTGATTCGTGCTATGTACAGAGAGTCTAGCACTCATGTAAGGTCGGTCACGGGAAACACTGATCAATTCAGTGTCTCTGTAGGCTTGCACCCGGGAACAGCTCTGAGCCCATACCTCTTCCTGTTGATAATGGATGCTCTGACATCGGACATACAAGAGGAGGCACCTTGGTGCATGCTATTTGCAGATGACATTGTGTTGGTCGGTGAAGATGGGGTTGAGGTCCAGAGCAGACTGGAAAAATGGCAGCAAAGGCTGGAGAATGTTGGCTTGAAAATCAGCAGAACCAAAACTGAGTACATGTTCTGCGATTTCGGCGGTCTCTCCAGTCCTGAAACCATTTCGCTGGATGGGATAGCGATAGCAGTCTGCTCCAATTTCAAGTACCTCGGCTCCCTCTTACAATGTGATGGTGAGATTGACCGAACTGTACAGCATCGAATCAATACGGGATGGATGAAGTGGCGGCAGGTAACGGGAACAACTTTTGACCCCAGTTTCCCCTTAACACTGAAGGGAAAAATTTATAAAACTATTATAGACCTGCCGTCCTGTATGGTTCTGAAAGTTGGCCCATTAAGAGAACGGATGAGAGACGCCTGAACGTAGCCGAAATGCGAATGCTGAGATGGATGTGTGGTGTGACTCAGATGGACAAGGTTAGGAATGAGTATATACGAGGAAGTCTGAAAGTAGCGCCACTGGATGAAAAGTTAAGAAGTAATAGGTTATCTTGGTATGGACATGTCATGCGGAGGGATGAGGAAAATGTGGCGAAGAAAGTTTTAGGTATGGGAGTTGAAGGGTACAAGAGAAGAGGCAGACCGAAGAAGAGGTGGATGGACTGCGTCAGGGAGGATATGGCTAGGAAGGGAGTAAACAGTGAGATAACGCATGACAGAGTAGAATGGAAAAATCATACATACTGCGCCGACCCCAAATAAAATTGGGAAAAGGGTAGGCAGATGATGATATCTAACAATAAAGAAGTCAACGAATAATGAGAATTATTATTATTAGTTAGTAATATAAACTATTATTGTTAATTTTTAAAAGCTATGATTTTTTTGCCAATAATCAAGAATTTCTTCTATAATTCAAAATTTCATTTAACAGAACCTACAAGATGAACATTTTTTTTTAATATAACGTTTTTGTGAGTGTACCAATTTTTTTTGAAGAGATAACTTTTTATGGAAACCACCTCGTTACGTAACGCATTACGGCCCCAGTCTGTCTGGCTTCTCTTTCTCTCACAAATACGGCAGCGCTTGGCAGGCTCCTCCTCTCTCACTCTACCCAAAGCGCTTTACATAAAATTTAATTAATAACCTAAACTTTTCTAAAGTTAAACAATTTCAATATTAAATAGTTTAACTTAGATTAGTTTAAGTTATCACTTCTGTCGGGCGTCCCAAGACGCACACGTTTTTTTCAAATACTAGCTTTTGGAGCTTTTTAGCGACATCTGTACCAGCTTTGGCTAACCACAATCTAACATGAACAACATCCCTGGTACTGATCATTTAAATGTCAAATTACAATTTGTTGCGAAGTGTTGAAAAACAGTGTTGAAGTTGAACAGTGATGTTAATTTGTTATATTTTCAGTATTTATTAACATGAACATGTCATTTGATGTAGATTGGGATATAGATAAATACCGAGATGACCACGAAAGTGACGACCATTGGCAGTTACGCAGAGCATTTATGGAAAAATGGAAGACAGATTATCCAGAAGATCGATTAGTTTGTCTGGCTAGGCTATTTATTAATGTCGAAATACTGGGCTGTAGGTACCCTACTGAAGTCATGCAAGAGATTGCCAGATTGTCTCATGAGGTAATGTAAAATAAGTTATTATACTAGTATTGGTCTAAGCTAAAGATCTCACCTTTGTTTTGGTCATTTTTATTGTGTTATCCCTTTTTTGGCTTTAGTTACATACCTATTTAATTAATTATTTATCATACTAACTGCCACTTTGTCTAATATTCTCACAGTAACATTACTTTTAATATAATTTACAGAAATAGGGTAGTTGATTGTATCATAAAAAAATTACAATTTCTGCTTCATTAAAACAAATATCACATATTATAACTGTTACTAATATTAATCAAATAAACATGGAAATATATTCTGAAAATGCGTTAACTGATATTCACGTATATCGAGGTTTATGATTAAATATAGTCAACATTTAATACAATAAATACGAATCATTTTAATCAATCACTTTAATTCTAAGAACACTTTATGGAGTACATACTCTTAATTATTTTTTATAGAAAAATACATCTATTGTCTTTTGGGTAGCGTTGTTTTTGCATTCTTGTAAAATACATTCATAACATCCAACACTGTTTTTAGTTGTTTGACACATGTCTATACTCTGCAATATGTCCAAACCTGAATAAATTTTTGAAAGATCATCTTGTATTCCTCCTGAAGATAAAACTCTCTCTTCTACTTGTTCTTAGTCATCGTAGATGGGATTATTCTGTAACTCAATCAGATCTTCATTGCTGAGAGGACAGTCAAGTTCTACGAGATCTTCTACCGCAATATCTTCAAGTTCAGACCCCTCAATCATTGCAGCAATGTCTTCAAGCACTTGTCTCTGCATCTGGACAGATCTACGAGATTTTCCACCGCAACATCTTCAAGTTCAGACCCCTCAATCATTGCAGCAATGTCTTCAAGCACTTGTCTCTGCATCTAGGTGCTTCCACTACATCTGGCCAAAGATTACGATACACTGCGTTCATACAACTCTTTTTACTTCGTTCGAAGCCTCTTTTATGTTGTGAATAGCCTTCATAATGTTGAATGACTTCCACCACTCTCGCATAGACTGTCTTCCTTCCCAGTCAGTTTCATGAATTGGTCCATAGGTTGTAATATTGACGTAGTGTTTGGTGGAAGGAACTCCACATACACTTTTAACTCTCTTAGCGTATCAAGTTAGGTTGGATGTCCTGGGGCATTGTCTAAGAGTAATATAACTTTAGATTCAAGCCCATTTCTGTCACAGTAGGACTGACTGACTGATGGGCAAAAACGATTAGAATACCATTCTTGAAAAAAATCCCGTGTAACCCACGCCTTTCAGTGTTAGTCGATCTTTCACAGCTTTGAAACCACTGTCTTGAAAACGAACGTCAACATCACTGTCTTGAACGTCAACGTTCTTCCTTAGAAATTACTGTTTGGGATGGCATTTTTTTTTTAGTAAAGTCCGGTCTCATCAACAATGAAGATGAGACAAGCAGGAATTTCTCTCGAAACTCAGCTACAGCTTGAATTTCTACGCTGGCCGCCTCGCCTGTTACGTGGATATTGTGAAGATTGGAACGCTGCTTGAACCCATGGAACCAGCCTCTGCTGGCAGCAAAAGTCGTAGTGGATCTCTTCTCCTTCTTCTGTCTTCAGCGTCTCATACAAAGATTTTGCTTTTGTGCATATGAGGTCTTGAATTATTATTGTATTTTTCTTGTTCAAATCTTCGTATCTCCAGACTGATAGTAACTTCTCCATTCTTTCTAGGATAGAGGATCTTGGACGAGAAAGTTTTGTTGCACTTATAGGTGTTGAACTATCGCTGGAGATTCTCACAGTCGATTCTGAGAGTCCAAAATCTCTCCCAACAATTGTTGCTTTACCTACATTTTCCAGTCTTTTTACACTTTCATCTTCAATTCCAAAGTTACTACGCTTTTACGCTCTTTTTTCTGTAAAGGCGGCATTTTGGACGTAACGTTAATTATGTATGTATCTCCATTAAGTGTTAAAACACGACTGCCAGCCGAGCTAAACACGACAAAACAAATGAAACAAACGAGGGAATCCCCATAGAACAAAGTCGGGGAATCCCCAATTCTTCTATCAGAATGTTCAGAGGAAGCGAGGATTCCCGCGACCCAAGAGAAGATAATGACTACATTCTTTCAGGTAATGCGAGGCATTGAACGCGAAGTTTGAAATTCGCGTTATAGTGAAACGGCGCATAACAGGGTCGCGTAAAGCGGGGTATTACTGTAGACTAAAATACTGATAAGTTGCTATTTATTTTATAAGTTTTTGCACAAATATACGCATTCTCTGCCAGTTCTCAATTCTCGTTTTGACAGATGATAAAAAGTAGCTAATTTGACTAAGGCGCCAACTACTCTATTTCTGAGCCTGTCTATAGTTTGTGTAAATTATTGGTATATAGGTTTAAAGACTCATTACAGTTATTAAGCGAAAATCTACATACACGATTAAATATAAATGATTTCACACACCATAGTATCTTGTCCAAAGGTCTATATGACCAACTTTATTTTTTCTCTTTTTAAAAGTTTTATTTTTCCTGTGTCGCGAGGTACTTCACAAACATACATGAAACGAACACAAAGAACACCCAGACTCAGAACAACAATTTGTGGATCACACAAAGTGTCGTCCCATGTGGGGTTTGAACCCACAACACTCGGCTCAGTAGGAAGCGGCGTGGCGACCGCTTAAACCACTACGCCATCCGTGCAGTCAATTTGTACACTCTCATGCAGTCCTTAATCATTCCTTTAATCGACTATGGTGATGTATGTTATTTCGACCTGAATGCAGACCGCCTTAATAAGCTGGACCGCCTTCTTAATAACTGCATTCGGTTCATTTAAAACCTTCGAAAGTATGACCACGTTTCTGCCTTACGTTCCCAACTAAACTGGTTACCCATTCGCCTGCGCCGCAATCAGCGAGCTCTGACTTCTTTATATTCATTTCTTACCGCCCCATCCTCACCTACATACCTTGCACCCTACCTCTGTTTCTTGTTGTCTAATCACGACAGGAATCTTCGCTCTGCAAATAATTTGCTTCTCTCTCACAATTCCGACTTCGTGAACTCTTCGTTCTTTGTTCAAGCAGTTCTACTCTGGAATGCACTCCCGGTTGAAGTCAGGATGTCCACAAACCGTTCCGTATTCAAAAAGAAAGTACACAACCTTCTTCTCAATGAGACGGCAGAATCATCGAATCGAGAGTACAGCAACCAATTTGCCTACACTCATGGTGTACGAATATAATAATATATATCTGTATGTGTGTAGATACATATATATGTATAGTGTGTGTATGTGTATTTATATATATAATTGTGTATGTATATGTATATGTGGGTGTATGTATGTGTATATATATATATGTGTATAGTGTGTATTTGCTTGTGTATAAAATTACGTGTGTTGTGTTGTGTAGTGTATACCTTAGTGATTAGTGTTATAACCTATATGCGCCTACCACTCACTATTTCTACACTACCTAAAGGTTGACTGGGAGAAATTGCCTTGGGCATTAAGTCCGCCGATGTACAAATGTGCATAAAGTTACAAATAAATAAATAAATAATTACATACATTTACTTTTCAATCCCCAAAAATAATAGTAATATGATTTATTTCTCAAAGAGGTAGACAGAGACATATTAAACCCACTTTTGTGATTATTTATGACATAATTTCTTTTTCTTTTTTCGTAGGTAGTGCACTCCTATAGGAAACAAAAGGAATCAAAGGTGCAAAGAACATTTGTCTCTGCATCTGATGCTGCAGAAGACAGAGCGAAAGGTATTAAGCGACAAGGGGGAGTAGTCGTTGAAGATGGGCCAAAAGCTCCAAAAATTCAGTTTGTAGCTGCCAGTAATGATAATGAAAAAGATAAAAGCGACAGTGAATCAGATTATGATATTACGGATAATGAGGATACAAATATAGTTGAAATTAATGAAACAAATACAGTGGAAAATAATGAGACTAGTACAATTGAAAGAAATGACACAAGTACAATTGAAAACAACAAAGTTATGTTAGCAGAAGAATCAATCTTGGAACGGAAAGCTGAATCAAATATGTATATAGAGGAAATGTCAAAGATTAATTGTTTAGATGTCAAATCTTTTAGGGAATATATGTTTAAGTCTATATTTGGAAAAATGGTATTACTTATAAGACCATGGGCGCAGAAATTGTGGAATATTCAAAGTAAGTTTGATGTTACTAATTTAAAAGTTGTTGAGACAAACTATGTCTGAGTTATTGTGTAAGCATTAGAGAGCCTTCAGCAGATATAAGTCACAGCCTCACAGAGAATTGGTGTTAAGCAATTCTATTGTTACATTTTTTTTTTATTAAATGGATCTCCAACAAGAAATACACCTTACATGCTAGTTTTAAAGCAAATAAAATTTTACATCTTGTGCCTCAATTATAGGAGACGTTACAAATAGTGGCCACAATAAATGGCCTTTGTAGAAGAAAAATATAATCGAATGAAAGAATTATAACAATTAATTGTGCAAAAACTGTAAATCAGTAGTAGTTAATATTTAAATGGTAGGAAGGTATGTCAACTATTAGACAGTGTTCAATGTATGACGATGACTATTTTTATTAAACTTGTCCTGTAACTTTGTCCCCGAAGGGAATTTCACTAAGTGAGTGAAGTTACCGGAAGCCTGAACTCCCTCGTCTCCCCTAATTTTAGGGGAAACTCAAAGACTTAAAACACACTTGTGACTTTTGAGTTATGGAGGCCCATAGGTTGCTGCTCGTGTAACGCTATACCCTGAGGTTTGGGCCTCCAGTATTCTCATTCACTCAGTGAAAACCAGCACCAGTTAGCACCAGTTTTGACTGCCTCGGTGGTACAGTGGTAGCATATGCAACTGCTGTGCTGATGTCTCGGGTTCAATTCCCGACTCGGACCAAATGTTTCTATGATCTGCAAATATTTGTTTCGAAGTTTGGGTGTTTTCTATGCACAATTTGTATGCATTTACAAAAAAAAAAAACGTATTAGTATTCTATCAGTCAATTTAGCTTTCATAGTACAACCTTTGCTTAGTTTGTAACTAGATGGCGTTGTGTGTTAGGTGTCCGAAAAATATATTTTAGTTTTCTGTGAGGCTGGTGCATCACTCTGGTCGTGCACAAACCCATTTGAAATACATCCATTCAATAGCCTTTAACATTATTTTTTAGCAAGCTGTCAAGTTTGCAACATAGAACTAAATACAACATATGAAAGCAGATGTTTCACACTCACAATAAATGGTCAGTTAATCGCTCAAGGTATGGGCGAATCTAAGGTGGAGGCTAGGAGTTTAGCTGAGAATCTAGCTTGGGAGGTATGGTTTGTTCATTAATAATTATACCACATTGTAGTGGAGGAACACAGCTAAGGCAGAACATACGTTTATGGCATGCAGACAATCACATCTATTTTGGTAATAGTTATATTGGTAAAATTTTGTGCCCGTGGTGCTTCCCTGTTTAAAAGGGTGTATGCCTATTTTACTTCATTTTGTCTCCCGCTTTGCTAAGGAGAGAAGTGGATTTACTGTATTTCCAACTCCTGCAATTTTCTTCTGATTAATTTCGTTGTGGGTTCCAAGACAGTTTAATTTCTTCCTGTGACTTCCCGAGAGTCATAACTCGGTGTGTACGTGGTGGTGAGATGCAAACTCCCACAATTAAGCTGAGAGTGAGCAAGCCTACCGGCTTCAACTGGGCACTTAAGAAATTAGATTGTATTTCAAAATAGGAGTATATTCACAGAGAGCAATTTAATTCAATTTGTCCATTAAATATAAGCATTACACCAAATCGCTTATATCTATACCAATTTTATTAAAAATAAACTACAAGGTAGAAAGTAACGTCCTGTCCGTGTGGTTGCAATGGTTCGTTGCAATCACTGCACAGATGGTGTAGTGGTTTAGGCGGTCGCCACGCTGCTGACTACTACGCTGTGTTGTGGATTCAATCTCCACATAGGACGACACTTTGTGTAATCCACAAATTCTCGTCCCGAGTCTGGGTATTCGTTGTGTCCGTTTCATGTATATTCGGTCTCCTGCGGCACAGGATATATTCTTAATGCAGTTGTCTTTTTGAAACAAAAAAATGTGGTATCTGCTCTGTAGCTACTCTATTATTTGTCCTATGACTTAGTTTTGGACTTTTAAGTCTCTAATACTCTCTCTTTCTCTTTTCTCACAGAGGATACGAAATGAAGTCATAAGTGTGGTAGTAAAAGAACAGTTCATAGCGCAAAATGATACTCGTATCACTGTCAACGACGTCTCAGGAAAGAAATTGAGAGATGATATGTTTGGCACCCCGGTGGAGAACAGTGTTGCTATGAAGATGATGCAAATGATGGGTTGGAAAGGTGGGGGGCTTGGAGCTGACGCACAGGGAATAGCTGAACCTATCAAGCCTAATTTACAATTAGTGAGTATTAAGTGTCTCTTTAAATAAAGACTTATCCTCCATGAGCATGTGATTTTTTTATATATTTACTAGAAACACCGAACAGGCCGAACATATAGCACAAAATGGCGATCATTGCGGCTACCTGACAATCTCCATTTAACAGATATGATTATGGGAGATGCCTATAAGTAGAATATTTTTGTTTCCGTAATTTTAGGTATTACTAGCTGACCCGGCAAACGTTGTTTTGCCATATACATTATTTCTAGGAAATATCTTGAAAAAAATTATTTAGGGGTATGAAAAATAGATGTTGGCCGAGTCTCAGACCTACCCGGTGTGCACACAGAATTTCATAAAAATCGGTCCAGCCGTTTCGGAGGAGTATGGTAACTAACATTGTTACACGAGAATTTTACATATAAGATTTGTAACAGTAATGATGCTTATGTATTCGTCTCTGTCACACTCCTTGAGTAAATCAATCAAATCACGATATATGCATTCTTTGGTAAAGATAACGTGACAATCTACTGCCTAATGCTATCTATGACATTCATTAAGATTATGTTAAGAATTCTACTTTTTAATATTAGGTAAACCGCGCGGGCTTGGGAAGCACTTCATCCGATATCAGACAGTTGCGGAAAGCTGCCTACACTCTAATGGAGCGATACATCGCCTCCGACACCCTCGATCTGGACCTGGTATTCAGCTCGGAGTTCAGCAAGGAGGAGAGGGCACTACTGCACCAATGTGCTCAGAGGGTCGGCCTCTCGTCCAGGAGTTACGGGACTGACAAAGAAAGGTATGACTTCCTAAGGAGATGTCATTAGCATTTTTTTGTTTTTTACTATCAATAGGGTTGCCAGTATAGCCTACCTGGGTCAATAAGTATAGTCATCGCTTAGGGGCAATCCATAAATTACGTCACACGGATTTCATGTTAAATCACGTTTGTGAGCCAACCCCTCGTCCCCTCCTATTGTGACATCATATATTTTGCAATTTTCAGGACGGGCCTGTTGGTCTAGTGGTTAGTGACTCTGACTGCTAAACCGGAGGTCGTGGGTTCGATTCCCACCCAGGACAGATATTGTGTGATGAGCACGGTCATTTGTTGTGTCTGGGTGTAATTTATCTATAATATGTACGTATTTAAAAATATATAAGTATGTTTATCAGCAGTCTGGTTACCATAACACAGGCTCTGCCTAGTTTGGGATCAGCCGGCCGTGTGTGAGATGTGTGAGGTTATTATTATTAAAAAAAGAAAAAAAAAATTACATCTAGAAATTATATAGCGGTTCCAAAATAAGCTTTATTTCTTAATTTTTTTTTTTTTTTAAATCAACATTAAATCAAACATTTCAAAAAATTAACAAAACAAAAAATGATTAATTGTATTACTGTTAATAATTTAAATTTCTTTTTTTAGTAAGTTTTCAAATGTGACGTCACAAAACTTAGGACCCATCTCACCCCTTGTCACTTGACGCTACACTTTGCCTATCCCCTACCCCTCTTAACGTGTGACGTAATTGACAGATGGAATTTTAATTATTAGAAAAAGATCAAGTACAGTAATAATACTTAAAATTTGGTTGAAATCGATGGTGCTAATTTTTTTAAACATTACTAGTTAATAGAATTAAAGTGGTTTCAGGAGCCCCAAATCCTCCCCTCCCTCTAATTCTGGTAGGGGGGACTCAAGGGGCTGACATGAACTTATGACTCTTTAGTTGCAGGTGTCCATAGGCGGCGGTAGTCACTTACCATCAGGTGACGCGTCTGTTCCTTTGGTCCCTATCTAAAAAAAAACTCACTTAGCGATTAAATTCTGTATCATAAGTGTGATAGAAGAACGATCCCCTCTAAACTCTCTGTTCCAGTACTCCAACATTATTTTCCTATCAACCTATTTGGCACGTACCGTCCTTTTTAACCGACTTCAAAAACATTAAAGAGGAGGTTATCAATTCGGCTGTATTTTTTTTATATGTATATTATTATTTTCACTTTACATATCTCACACACACACGGCAGTCTGATCCCAAACTATATCCACCAGACTGCTGATAAACATTATAGATAAAGTACACCCAGGCACGTAACAAATGTTCGTACTCATCACATAATATTTGTCCTGGGTGAGAATCGAACCCAGGACCTTTTTTCTTAGCACCCATGGTCACTACGCAACAGGCCAGCCAAATTCCGAGTCTTAATTTATTGATGTTTTTCTTCCAACAGGTTTTTGGTAGTAAAAAAGAAGCTAGACCCGTTCTCACTCGCCCGGGCCGTTATTGAAAAGGGGGGCACGACGCCAAAATATCAAGTATTCATCCCAGCAAAACTAGCTTCAAGAAATGGATGTAGATTTTGACCTCAGTTTGAATTTTTTTAATTATTAATTTTTATTCTAGTTTAATTGTTCAAGCCGGTTTGGTGATGACAAATCAGCTTTTACTTTAAACTTGATATAACGTCTAAATAGTATGTTCTGTAAAACATACCATTTAGACGAAACCTCGTTTCTAAGGAGAGGCCTATGTCCAGCAGTGGACAATTAAAGGCTGTTGATATGATGATGAACTCACACTCTCTTTATTTCATAAAAAAATTAAAATTGTTTGAAATCGTCTTTTATGTAGACTCTAAAGTCATAGATCAACACATACAAAAGCAACAATCTCTGTTTTGTCAAATAGTAAGCAAATAAATTTAACAAAAATCAAACCCATACAAACTCTATGATATGCCTGTGCCGATCTACAAACTCCCTTTTCCAAGGGGTTGAGCCTTATAAGAAGAAAGGGCAAATGTGTGTGATGTGATGATGTATATCGTCATATTAACGTCATATTAATAACGTCATATTCTGCTACAGTTGTTTTATCTCACGAACGCGGGTATACTACAGAAGTGGCAGTGATTTGTAAAGATAATTCCATGTTATCTCTGTGTTCTGGTACTCTTTGCACAATTTTGACGTGAAACAATTAAGATTGTTCTGAATAAAATCACAATCACCTGCGATAAATCATTTCATGCATCAACCCTGTGCTAATCTACAAAATCACAACGACTGCGTGTGATTATTATGATTAAGCGTATGAGGACGTAGTCTTTGATAAAAAAGAAAAATCAATACATTTGTTTTTTTCTTTGCTTAAGTTTGATGTGATTTATCATAGGTAAAATCGTAGTTATAAAAAACAATCATTTAATCATATGATTATTATTTTGAACGAAGCAATAATTTCCATTACTAGTTCTGAAACTTACGCGCACAGCAACAATCAAATATTCATGTATGTACATTAACAAACACAACTAAGACTCGAGTCGACTAAGACCCGCCTCCGTGAGTTAAAACAACTGTATCTAGTACCCATCTGTACCCATCCACATAAGGAATCCTACCATTCCCTTTCCCCTTTCCTACCATTGACATACCTTCCCTTCTTACCTACCTTCCTATTAGACATAGGACTAAATCACAGTGAACTTAGAATTAAATAAAAGATTTATTATTATCATACATATACTTATTGTAATTTTTTTCGTACCCAACATATCACACTGGTCTGTTCGCGTTTAGAAAAAAGTAACGCATCGAATCAACCCAAGCACCCTGACCACTATTTTCTTAACGCGAATCAGGATTCTAGTGATGTGTCTGTTATCATTCGGATTATTTTTCCAGATCTTAAACCTTTTACATTAGTATATTACTCGTATATAACAATTAAAATTTTCAATATACCAATAAATGTTATTTAAATACATATTGCCAAAATGTTTCCTTAAATAGTTAGTGCATTATGTTATCAATTCAAATAACATTGAAATTTCTGAAATATAAGCAGTTTTAAATCTTAATGTTAGTTTAGTGTTTAGCTGTGTGCGATTTCAAAGTACAACGAAACAGAAACGTACTTCATCGCCATCTAACGGAGATCCGCTGAACTACGAAGTATAGTTAAATCCTACATCGCGTAATGAAAGTTCTCATGCCGATTAGTATTAAACACAACTACACCACATCAACTTTTGGGCTGCTGCTCGCCAGGCATGATCATCTCGCCCCGTTGGAGGATACTCCCTGTATTAGAGGGATTGTAGGGGAATATTTCTGTTTCGTTGTACGTGGAAGAATCCACACTAATTGTGTAGAAATAAATAGTGTCAGTATTTTTATTGTAAATTTTGAATGTCACACGACTAGTTTAGATGATTGTGGCATACAAGTTTATATATTTATCTGTACTTACTATTATAAAGCTCAAAATGTTTGTCTGGTTGAAAGCGCTAATCTCAGAAACTATCTGTTCGAATGGAAAAATTCTTTTAATGTTCGATAGCTCATTTATCGAGAAAAGTTAAAGGCTATATAACATCCACAGTATCGCTATCACGTAAATGTTGCTAAAACCAGGAAAAAATATTTCTTTTGAGAGACGCAATTGAAGTTAGTCAGCTACTAATAGCTACACCAACAATAAATCATAACATATTATGGCAAACATGGTAAGGCAAGTATGGCAAAGTTAGAACATATTTATATAAAACACTTTGGCGTTATAGATTGAAGTGATCTGTTTCTTTCTATCACTGATGTTATCTCTTTCTTCAATAGCAGAGATTTTATTTTAGGTGAATACATCTAGTATGTGTCTATGAGTAATCAAATTTTTATACTCGTAAAAAATGTATTGTTACTGATCTTTGAATGTGATTAGAGATGTGTAATAAAACGACGGTCGTAAAGGATAAAACAGTAACCACAATATTTAGAAATTACAGAACATTGTTTTTAACGATAATAATTAGTAAAATTACCTGTAATTGTATTATTAAGCCTTTTTTGTCTGTTCGGAAATCCCCTCGGATACCACCCACCGGTGGTTATGTCGGTCATAAACCGACCAAAAACCGTTCACCGTCTCGGGTACTAGTAGCCGGGGAACCAGCCGTAGCCTTGGAAGGAAATCCATGGAAAAGTCCAGCCGCCTGCCTAAAGGCAAACCTTCTTGGGAATGTAACCATTTTCATAACAACAACATTCAAATTCTTAAGACAACGAAAGAAAACGAATTGGGTTAAAATAAACAGACTGACTGTGACTAAACGGCCAGGGTCCGCCTGTGTGCGCGTCCTGTGTTTAGAGAGGCGACTACCACATTTAGGACATCACTGTCAATTTACACTTATGTAAATAATTGTATTTCCTAAAAAAATGGTTTTATTCTTCGCGGCCGTCGAATATAGGTGTTGTGCATGACTGTATAGTTTACATAAGTAGTTTATAAATACCGAGTAACAGTCAAATACCGACATATTTATTTTTTTAAGAGTTTTTGTCCCTCCTTAACACCTGAACTACTCAACGTATCTATCTAATTATAAATATGTAATTATATTATAACTTAACGGCTTTTGTTGCTTTTTGCAGAATGAACAAAAAAACGTAAAAAACGGTTTTAATTTTTTTGTCACTTTCCATCAGGTGACCCGTCTGGTCGTCTGCCCCCTCTAACAGAAAAAAAAGAAAAAAATGAGTAGGGTTAGCGGAAGCTAGTGGTGGTGGAGGCTCAGCGTGAGGAATAGGTGACCTGTCTGCTCTTTTACCCTCAATACCATAAAAATAGGGGTACACAAAAGGTTATGGAGGTACCTTTATTTAGAGAAAAAGTAGTGATGTACAGTTTGCGAGAGATATAAATATAACTGACGCGAGTAAAACCCTGTCAATAATTGTCTCGCACTTGTGGCTCAGTTGCTGGTGTTCATGAGCGTGACATGTCTGATGGTATTGCCAATATATGTACATAGTTGGTTTATGTACGCTTCAAAGACTCAAAAAATTCTGCATCGATTGAGCTCAAATTTTTACACGATAAACCCCCTTCAAAGAGGCTTATTATCTATTTTTCGCGTCAGTTATGTTTTTCATTTCTCATCAACGCAACAATATTACCACAGCGGATCGTGGCCGGGCAAAAATTGTGGTGTTTGACGTTTACCTGGTGTTATACTCTTATTAATGGTTATATTTGCTAAATGAATAGTTGAATCTGTAAATAAATATTTTGTATTTAGAATAGAATTTGAACTTCTAGATGGACTTTGTTAAATTTGATAATATAGGTATTGAATCAAAAATAAATTATAGTGATTGATGACGATCATACCGATGTGAAATGTTCTTTTATTTATTACTATTCCTGCCTGTTTTTTAGAACGAAGTTCCTTATCGCGCGTTACACGTTTGAGCGGATGGGAGCGAGACGGAAAAATGTGTAACAAGACTTTACTAGTTAGTTACTAGACTAGTTACAGCCGTAAATGATTTTTAATTTTATTTATATTTTTAAAGTAAATAGGTAATGATGTAAAATTTACATTTATTTAAACAGTTCTTAAATTTTATTTGTTATAAACTAAATAAAACCATGATCGTGCAGTGTTTAGTTTATCATTATTTATTTTATACATAATAAATATATTTTTAATATAACTTATAATGACTGTATAGCAAACGTCTCCGAAAAGCGAAAGGAACTTCGTGCCGACTGAGGGTCTATAGACCCCTCATGCCGTTTTTTACTACTAAGATGGCAAACAACTCGACACCTGATGTTAAGTGGTTACCGTAATGTACACACGCAAATTGTCATCTGTACACATTTTTCATTTGTAGAGCTTTACAAGCGCTGCTATACTGAAGAATATAATAACATCTAGCCGTGGGAGAGCCATGCTTCTGTGCAAATGGACAGGATCGAGCGGAGTGATACCTCCTCCGACTTCACAGAAAACCGCTGTTAAGTAATTTTTGAAGTAAGAACTTTTTTATATATAAGCTATAACAATATATAATATGAACATATATTGTGTATATACGTACAACATAGATATATATATATATATATATATATGTTGGAACTGTTCGAATCGAAAAAAGCAAAAAAAGATTCCTGTTATAAAAAAGAAAACAAGTTTTCACTTCTCCCGGCACTGCCGGAGTTTTTTCGTATCTTATCACCGAGTGAGTGAAGTCAACGGAGCCCAACAAATATCCCCTCGCCCTCCCTCTTAATCCGGGGGGACTCAAAGAGAGGGGCAACGCATTTGTGACTATTGAATACATAAGGGTGGGGGTTAGGGATGGAATAAAATCACTATCACCTGTGATAAACCATTGGATTTTTAATCATAATCGCTGCTGTGACTAAACCACTGCGACTCATTATTATTACGCTAGCGCCAAACTCATACAGACAGAGAAAGGCCTAAATAAATAAAAAGATTTTGATAAAAATAATTTTGATCTTTGTCTATGACCAAATCATTTCACACGTCAAATCGCAGTGACTAAAATCAATCATTTCAACATATGATCATGATTATAAAGCAGCAATAATTTCCATGTCTAGTGGCGGTAGTCATTTACCCATCATATACATTAAAACAAAGAATGAGTGCTCTAAACTATGATCAATATGACGAATGAATGTGTAACAAACCAAATTTTCCAGGTTTCTTTTATAGTTGGCGGCCTGTCTTCAGACGAATCTTCTTGGGAATGTAATCCTTTTAGGGAAAAAGTAAAGAGAAATATATCCTATAAGAGAAATATAGCGACATCTCGTACTTACCGTGCTTATCGCAAATCTCCGCAGTGTGACGCGCCAAAGTAGCAGACGTGACTAGGTACTATAGTTTGAAGAGCGACACATATTCGTATTTTGGTTCTGTGATTGAAGATGCCACCACGACAAAGACATGAACGGGCCACAACTACTTTATAAAAGTTTTTTTCACTTTTAGTTTAGGTCTAATTTCGCACGCCGTCTCGGATACCAGTAGCCGGGGAACCAGATGTACCCTAAAAAGGCAATCCCTGGTTCCCCGAAGTAAACGTAGTTAGATGCCATGGCGATCTCTATTTAAATAAAACTCAAGAGTTCATCTATTCTCGTTGAAAGCGCATATCTCCGGCGCTCCTGTACATTAGGTACCTACTTGACACACACTTAAAAACAACCTGCTATTTCACAACGCAATTAACCAAAAAAAAATATCCTAAGAATCTCTTTATCTCTCTCACAATACCACATTGAATTTACCTTTAAACATTATCCGCGTTAAGAATTGTCAGTCCTAAACTTCTGATTAGTAATGTGCTGTGAATCCACAAACATTAGATATTCATCAGTTCAACTCATCCAACCCTCATCATTAAAGTAAGATAACATCTTGTAAATTTTGGCATTCTAAAAGCGTATCGCAGATTTTCATCAGATACCTATGGATATACGGGACTAATCGAAACATGTTAGTATAAATAAGTAATGAAAGCCAACACTATATCACTAATCATTCGAAAGTTGTTCTGTTCAAAGGTCTCGCGGATAAAAAAATGAATTTTAAATTGGCAATAGTGTTGATGGCGTACTGCCTATTTTGTATTTTTAATGGAGTTGAAAATTCGTTTATAAAAGCAAAAAATAACGTGCCTAGAGTTGGCAGAAGTAATGAAGAAATTAATCCATTCGATCAGGGAACTATGGGATACGTAATCAAAACTAATAAAAATATACCACGAATGGGCAGAAGGAATTATGATTCGGTAAGTAATTTTCAATATCGCTTGCTTTTTTTATGGTATAAGGGAAAACAAGGAGATGGGTCATCCAGCCTTTGATTTCCTCTCCGCTCCCCAGAGTTAGGAAAGAGGAGGAGGGGTCTACCCTTTGATCACCTCAATCACGACTCAGTCTGAGAAATGCAACGAAAAAATTGCTTAGCACCAGCCTTCTATAAGGTCGTAGTATCGTGCCGATCTATTAAGAAAGGCTATGTAATAGCCTGTGCCGATCTATTAAGAAAGGCTATGTAATAGCCTGTGTAAAATCAAAAGTGGATCGTTTTAAAAAGTATTAATAAAAGCTTATATATTACTCGAAACTATAATTCGTCGCTGTATACATTTCATACAGATACGTTCTAGCAAACATACATTCAAACTTTCGTATTTTTAAGAGTACTAAGATTTTGAAATCATTCTAACAAAGCCTATGTGATTTTAAGTTACCCTAATTTGAAACTTATTATTTGCAGGAAAACCGGTACGATATTCCCAAGTTTTATCAATTACCTACAGAAGGTTACAAAATGTATGAAGGTAAATTTATAAGTGTAACCTAACTTTTTTATAAATAATTCAATAATGATAGTTCTTAGTTAAAATATGTCTGTATATTTTGTCTTATTTTTAGTGGAAGAACAGGAATTTAATGACATACCAATGGAAACATACTCACCCAAACAATTCGCCAACATGAAACGATAAGAAAAAGCACAGTGTGACTATTTCCAACTGCCCATTAATAAGAACTGTTAAATGTTGATTTAATTCTTAATTTAATTCAATAAAGATTTACAAGCATGCATGCCAATTCTAGTTTTATTCAAACAAAATTCCTTTTCACCTCATTTCCGAGGACATAATTATATAAAACTAATTCAACGTAGAATGGAATGTAAACTATCTGTCAATGACAACTTATAAGACTGCTAAAGTATAAATAAACAGGTTATACTTTCTATCTCATTTACTCTAACTCACACTTGCTTTTATTATCTCTTTCTACCGATTATTGACAGCGCCTAGTAAATCCGCTCAATTTACTCTCCAATTTCTTCCACGGGTTTTCTGGAAGAAATTTCACTATTTATTTTGATTGTAAGAATATAAATTTGCCGTGTGTATAAACTAAAACAAAATGGTTTTAACTGCTGACGTTTATTTACCAGAAGAGTCAGATTTGACCGTGCAAGAGGTCTCAGTATCCTCTGCAACACTTTTCGCTGGTTCTTTTCATTTAGGAAAATATTGTGAACATGCTAATAATGTGAGTTGAATAGTATTATATTTAGCAGATTTTCATTTTTCTAATATTCTCTATAAAAAGTTTTTATTCACTTGATATTTGAGTTAACTTGATTGCATAATCGAAGTTTCATGAGGTTATATTTTGATATCATAACTTTGATAGACATACAAACTTCAAAATAACTCTAAAAGCAAAAACTTTACTAATGAAAACCTTTTTTTAGGCTTTCTTTAAGGGTACATAATAGTTCGTAAAATACAATCAGATGAATAGTCTTCTGGAGGAACACATCTCTGTTCAGAGCTCTATAATAAATAGATTTTCCTTGAACTCCTTATTGATTTTTTTAGTAGCAAAGATTAGCTTCAAAAAGATTTATGGTAAAAGGGGGCAAACAAGTATTTATTTTTAGTGTTATGAATTTGGATGTTTATATTTTTTTATGTACGTTCGGGCATAACTCTGTCATACATAGACGGATTTTCAAAATTGTTTTCTTTTTGTTCAATAGGGGTTTATTCCAAAATGGTCCAATTCAAATCTCATAGAGATTTGATGATGAGTTTCCAATACAGACAATGGAACTGTTTAAATAATGACAGCAAATCAACCACAATTTCTGCTAGGTTTTTAGAGCTCTTTGGTGTTAAAAGCTTATTGATTGAAATTGTAATATTACGTTTCAATTGAAAATTGTTATCCATGTGGTGAGGGATTAAGAATACAGAGTGTGACCACGCCTATTCATCTGGTGGATGTCGTAAGAGCCGACTAAGGGAGCAAACTAAGGACAACAGTACTGCAAAGAGAAGGAAAACTTTAAACAAACCCTATACCAACCTGTCTGGCCAGCATGGTATAGTAGGCCAAAACCTCCTTTCTAAAGAGATGTCCAGATGATTCTATGTTCAGCAGGACTATTATAGGCTGTTGATGTTGATGATGATGATGAAATTGTGTTTATTTCTATTTTTGTCATTGAAAGAGTTTAGTAGAGTAAATAGTCTGTAACATATAATTTTTTAATCTAAATTAGAATTAAAATTTGACCTGCCTCTTTTATTATTCTTATATTATTATATATTAATTTTTTTTTAAAGAGATTGTGGATCAAGAACACAAACACATAAACATGGGTGGCAACAGACAGTCACCCCTGATCAGATGCATTTTTTTGCCTTTTACCTGAATAGGCTGTTGTGATCAATTGTTCCAATTGTAGTGAGTAAAATTCTCTATCTAGTTATAATACAAATTTTCAGGAGTTCATGTTATGCCGACAAGAAGAGAAAGATCCTCGGAAATGTATCAATGAGGGAAAAGCAGTGACTGCTTGCACCTTGGAGTTTTTCCGTAAAGTCAAGCAGACTTGCTTGAAGGAGTTCAACCAGTATGCTACATGTATTGACAAGAGCTCTGGAGAATTTTCTTTGAGATAGTGAGTTATTTCAGATTTTTATCTTGCCACTTAAGTTAATGTATCTATGTAAGGTTTAGCTCTGAGTTGCAAAACAACCTAGAAATGTGTCTATTAGGCAGAACAAAGCATATTTCAGGGCCATCTAGCATCAATAAGCCAAACTACACAGTCATTACTAATTCTGTATTGTGCAATATAAGCTCTGATCCCACTCTCCATTACCAAACATAGGATTCGGAGATATACAAAACTAATATGATCGCATGGATGGCGTAGTGGTTTAAGCAGTCGCCACGACGCGTCCTACTGCGCTGAGTAGTGTGGGTTCGATCCTCACATGGGACAACACTTTGTGTGATTAACAAATTTTTGTTCTAGGTCTTTTTGTCTGTTTCATGAATGTTTGTATAGTCCCCCGAGACAGGATATATTCCTATTGCGGGAATTGTCCTTTGCAAAAAATAAAATTGAACCATGCCCAATCATAAACTACACAGTCTTTACTAATTCTGTATTGCGCAAACAAAGTTCTCCTCAGTTTAATTGTCCATTACCCAACATAGCATTCGGTGATATTCGTACATGTTTTGTTTAAACTTCCAGTTGCCGAAACACTCAGGGTGTATTTGATAAGTGTATGCTGGAGAAGTGGAATATCGAGCGTCCTTCGTTTGGTTACTTCACTGAGGCGCGTGTCCACGACACCAAGAGGTAAAAGAACACTACCTACGAACCTACACTCAGAAGGCTATATTTCTCATAATAAAAATTCTGTCAAAGTTCATTTCCGATCTACTCTCGATCTCACAATGTCAATTTTCGAAGTAAAGTATTTTTAGTTAAGTCAAGTAAGTATTTAAGTTTGTATTTAAACATCAACGTTGATTGTAATGTAATTATATCGTATTGCGCCCGAAAGTTGAATCGATAATCTGCTAGTCTTAGTAATATTTTACTACGAAAATAATTTTGAACAAATTTATAAGTTCTGATAATGTTTGTTAGAATAGAATATTATGTACAGTAAAAATTATTAAATTTATCTGAGAAAATATTCCCGTGTCTGAAAAGTACTTGACAATACTTTTTACTGAAACATTAATTTCCGCTAAATTTAGATGAGTAAGTAGGTAATATTTTATGAGTCTTCTAGTGTTTTTATACGCCTCTTCTAACCATACTATATGTCTAGTGCCCAATATTTCTCAATAGAAAGTCCGTAAATAAAGTCAGCAGTATGCTAATTAAACTTCCTATTTCCATTTCAGGCCGAAACCCTTGGAAGAGCCTAAGGCTGTTTACCCAGATGCTACACCAGCCCTACCAGAGGACTTTGAAAAGAAACCAGCTAGAGGTGGATCTCGATTCTACTGGATGACCGAATAAATGAGATGGAGAGACCAAGTGTGTGAGAGAGGGATAGCATGAGGTTCCATGCTAAAAATTACGATTTATTTTGGATGCAGCAGTTTGTTTTAGAATTGAAAAAATTATAGACAATCAGCCTTCTTTCTTAATTTTCTACTTTTTTTGTGGCAATGGCCCTCATTTAAAATTCATTCTGTAACTTTTTCACACACAAAGAAACAGTTTAAATGAGTAATACATTGGATGAGTTTATATTGCAACAAAATTAAGTGTTACTTTTATTTATAAGTTTAAAGTGTAAAGATCCCTTAAATCATGTTTTACAACTTGTCTAATGTTTTACTTTGTATAATAGCTAATATTGATTTGTAGAGTAATACATGTTGGAATTAAAATTTTGTTTTATTAACACTTATCACAACTGTAAATCTTATAGTCATAAAGTTGAGAAGGCGTTAGCAATGTTAGCAAGTCTTGAAACTGTTCATATAATCATTATCTATGAGATAGAAGGAGTCGGTGAAAAAAACTGTTTGTTGATGGTAAAAGAAAAGTACAAATGTATGAAGAGAATAAAACTGCCAACAGACATTATAACAAGCTAGGGTGGTAAGATTTTAGAATACCAATTTTCAACTATGGCTTAATGTGCTCTATGAGGCACGGAGGGGTCTCAATGTGTTAACAATGGTCACCCATGCATAGACTGACCTGGTTAGGATTTCTTAACTTTGCAATGTGTGAACCTACTCGGTTCCCACTGCAAGGTTAGTAACTATTGCATTGTATGTACTTCGGAGCGCAGCACTTCTGGCATGCACGCTTGCGGATTACGTGGACTCGAGTGTTTTTGCGACCATTCTTATTAAAGTTTGGAAGTAAATAATAATATTTCGGAAATTAACTCACAACACCGTCTAGTTTCAAGCTAAGCAGAGCTTGTATGAAGCTAGATTGACTGATACTTATATATTTTTTTTGTAAATACATGGCAAACACACAAACTCAAAAAATTAAAAAAAAATTGCTGGCTTGTAGCTTCTGTTTATTACTAAAACATGCCCACGATGCAAATGACTAAAACAACATTTTTCAAGATAAAAGAAAGATATAATTGATATAAACTTGGTAGGGCAATGCTTCGACAAAAATAGGTCGGCTCGACCGGAGTGATACAACGGCCTCACAGAAAACCGGTGTTCAGCAACTCTTTCGTTGCTTTTCAGTGAATGACTCTCCAGTCGGATACCGCCCACCGGTGGTTATGTCGGTCATGAACCGATCAAAAACCGCACGCCGTCTCGGGTACAAGTAGCCGCGTAGCCAGGTATACCCTAGGAAGGAAACGACATGGTTTAGAGCAGGGATTTCCAAACTATTTTGGGCAAGAGACCCTTTTTCTAAAATGAACTGTTACCTCAGACCCCCATAGCCAAATTACTGCACGCTTATCGACTTGTTGAGTTTTTTAAAGTACAACAATGATACTTCCTACTAAAATTTTATTCATTCTTATAACAAGTATCTTGACCAACTAAGATTCTGGGCCAGGTAACGGACTCGTGAAGGAAGGAGGTGGAAAAACTCTGCAGACAGCCCAAACTGGTGCTAACTGAAAGCACACTACGACTCACCTGCAGATTGATCAGCCTTAGCAAACTAGAAATCCTAATAGTTGTAGGAACTATAACAGGACACCTAGCCCTGAACCGACAACTATTCACCATTAATGCAACAGACAGTTCTCTTTATAGAGGATAGATAGATAGATAAATAGGGGGAAGTCCCCTAGTGCCGGACACATAAGGTTTTCAGGAAATAAAATTAAAACTACATCGAGAAATATGTATTTATTTATGAATTACTTAAATTAACAAAACATAAAATCAAAATCAAATAACAAAAATACAAATTCTGCGTAAACATAGTTTAGGAATGTTAAATAAGTTTTGGTAAAAAAATAAAGGACTTTGACATTGGCACCTAGTGCCGGACGGGTTAATCTTCAAACCCCAAGCACCGGACATTCTAAAACTTTTAGCATCTATCACATATGTAGGCATCTCCACATTCTGGAACGTCTGCACATGCTTCATGAGCCCATTATTGGCATCTGGAGCATTGTATCCAGTCCTCGTCGTGGTCTTCTAAACACACTACACAAGTCGTTTTTTCTATATTTGATACTTCAGTTAACGGCTCCTTTTTGTTGTCGTTATTGCCACGTTTGGTTTGTTTACTCATGGGGAATCTTCATAGCTTCAGCCAAGTCGTAAGCTAACTTCAAAAACTCGTTTTTGATCAGGGGCAGACATCTATTAGACAAATCTCTTATGTGGTCCACTAAAACTTGCTCATACTCGGGTGAGAAGGTTTTTGTGAATCTACCAACTTTTGGTTGCAACGTGACTTCTTTTCCACTGCTCAATGTCGTTCTTTTATCATGTAGAGTACTTTTTGGAACATTGTAACGTGACGAAGCTGCCCTCAAACTCATTTTTTTGGACAAAATCTTGTTCATCGCAGTTTTTAAACTTTGCTGATCCCATTTTCCTTTTTTTTTTCTCTCTTGCATTTTCAAATATCTCTCTCCTTCTATCCTGTAAAACAACAAACAATCATCATTACAATAAGTACAAATGCTTGATAAAAAAGCTAACCTATAAACTGTCCGGTGGTAAGGGACACCTTTGTGTCCGAAAGTAGGGGACAGGAAACGTCCAAAATTACGTATTTCATACTAAAACTGTTTAGGTATTTAATAAAAACTTTCACAATATAATAATTATAGTGAAACACTGTCTTTATAAACAAATAACAAAAACAATTAAGGATAAAACCATAGCAGTAATACTTACTTGAAATTTACGTGACGCAACGCTTTCCCACCATCGGCGCTAGGTGCCGTCCGGCGCTACGGGACTTCCCCCTACTTTATTTGTACACCAGGGTTTTACAGACATTATAAAGTAATTAAAAAAAAAAAAAAAAAAAAAAAGTACATTTGTATTTATGTCAGTTGTCTAGTACCCATAGTACAAGCTCTGCTTAGTTTGGGACTAGATGGCGTTGTGTCAATGTGGTAGAATATTATTATTATATTATTATATTATTTTTAATTAACAACATATGTAATGTACAAAGAGCGGCCTTATCGCTTAGTACAATTTCTTCCAGGCAACCTTTGGATGGACTGGATTCATTTTGAACTGGTGATAGGTATACAGAAATTAGAGATATTTATTTCTCTAATTTCTGTATCTTTTACCTTAACCTCTTGAGGTCTTAACCTATGAAATAATTAATATACATAAATCCTACTAATATATATTTATACATAAATACTATACATACTACATACGCTAATTTCCAACTATTAGAGACAGATAATGCTCATATAGCATAGTCTTGAAGGTGGTTAAGGATTGCGCACGTCTGATATTAACCGGCAAGGCATTACATGAACGTACAGCTTCTACAGAAAATGATTTTGTGTAGAAATTGGTAGAATGCCTTGGTATTTCCAAACTCAGGCTTTCAGAGGACCTCAGGCATTTCATATGTGTGTCATGAAGGAACTTAAAGCGTTCTTTGAGGTAAATAGGAGTTAATGGATTAAACAGAATATTATACAGAAGCGTAAGGATAGGAGTACTCCGGTGAAGGCGGATTGGAAGCCACCTGAGCTTTTTACGTTAGTGGGGAACATGATCATATTTGCGAAGTTTAAATATGAATCGTATGATAAGATAAGATGTCCTTTGGTGAGATCGAGATAGCTAACGTCGGCATAGTCAAGAATCGGAAGAAGGACCGTTTGTGCAAGTGCAGTTTTAGTAGCAGTCGGAAGAAAATTTCGTAACCTTCGCAAAGATCCCGCTGCAGCGAAGACTTTGCGGCTCACCTTTTGAATCTGAGGTCCCCATGATAAGGTTTTATATTCGTTCATTATCGTTTAATGTAACAAAAATAAACTTAAAGCGTAGATGATTTAAACTGTTTTATAAATTTTATGGGAAAAAACATTAATGTAGAAAAGTGTGTAAAATTTCGCTTCCGATTTTTATTCTTCTCCTTATTTCAATGTAAGTATTTTTGGTCGAAGGGTCAACCGACTGAAAGTGTAGGTATTCCTTTAGAGGCACCATGTAAATTAATAATTTTATGAGAAACGTTCTTATTTGATTACATAAAATTGCTGCTTCTTGCTTTATCACTATGTCAGGGAGCTTTCAATACAATGCCAAAAATAGGTCACTAGCTCAAGGGTGGGTATGTGGGTAAAGTAAAATACTGCGTAAATCGAATTTGATTATTTAAATGTCAAAGTTGACGTGAACGTGAGGAACAAATTGCGTTACAGGTTGTGCAGACGACTGTAAATGTAAATTCATAGCATGCGTACTTCTTCGTTCATTAAACCTTAGTGTGCAGCTATCTCTTTTTCACATGTTACTTTACAGTTTTACATTACATTTCAGAAGTTCGGAACTAAATATAAATACATACACCTTGAAACATCAGCGCGAATGATCGACTGGATCAATTAATTTTTAAAAACAATTAAATATTTCCATAAAATTACTTTAAGTTCATGTCCATCATCAAAAATATCATCGCACCGTGTGACATTTCGTGATCAGTGTCACAATGTTTGGAAATATGTGAAAACAAATCTCATTGCGCGATTGTAAACAAATATACTTTTGTGTTTTCAATTGTAAATAATGAGTAATTATTGTGACGAGTCTTTTTATCAGCAGAATATATACACAAACACGTATAGTTTATGGGAGAATTCTGCTTATTATGATATTAATAATCTTAGTCCTCAAAACTTCTCGTCAAGTTGGCATCGAGGCAATGACGAAGATTTTGAGACTCGGTACACTTCCGGCCCGACAGAGGCCCAGCCCTCGGAACCCCCAGATCAAAGGAACAGGAGAGTAGTAGACAGAACATCTTTGTACGAGGATCCCGACTCATTTTACCGAGACATCACGTGAGTTGTTTACAAACATATTAATGAAAATATCGCGATTATAAGATATAACTGATAATAGTATATATAACGATCTCGATTGTAATACGTTCTATGTGTACGTATTTAAGATCTTTTCTTTTAAACAGTCGTCAGTCGTCATTTTATAAGATTTTTTTTCAAGGTTATCACAGTGTACTAATTTGTATTGTATTCCCTTAAATAGATATTCCTCAGGCCTGTGTTATCCTGAATATAGTAACATAATATATGTGTAGCGATTTTTAAACTATACTTGTGGCAAAATAGCATTTCAGTTATTAGAATTAGAAGGGATCTCTTGTATGGTACATTGTTATAAAACATTATTGTTGTTTATTACAAAAGTAAAAGTCTTATTTTGTATTATTTTAAAAGTGAAGTGATGGCCCTGTTTGCAAACAGTTGCAGAGATGGAACATGTGATATTATATTTATAGAGAAGAAATTATTGTAAGCTTACAGATAAACCTAAATAATTAAAAAATAATGACCATTTCTCGAAGAAAATCAAGAAATGTATGTATTTAGAGAAACCGGTTTTTTCTATGGCATAGGGGGCAAACAAGTATATTGGTCACCTAATGGTGTCACTTACCATTAGGTGACCGATATACTGCTGCTTACGGAAACCTGGAATTCAAGAGTCACAAGAGCATAGCCACCCTTAGAGTCCCATCCCAAAGTATAAGGGGTGTGGAATTCCACCCTGGTAACTTCACTCATTCACATTTATAGAATAACTTAACTCCTATTACACATGCAAATTATTGTTACTTTTGAATCATATGTATTTGATTAAATGATTGGTTTTAGTCACAGCGATTTTACATGTGATTAGGATCTCGTCATAGACAAAGATACATTAAAATCCATCAAAATTCTTTTTATCAAAGATTATGAATTATTTTTTACCTTTCACGAGTCTTGCGCTAGTGTAATAATAATAATTAAGTAACAGTGGTTTTGTAAATCAGTCCCAGGTGTGATGATATGATTTATCACATGTGATGGGACTGGACACCTGTTCCTCCACATGATTTTATTCCATCCCTATCTCCTATGGATTAATAAAGGCGTTTTTTATTTATTTATGATGTGTATATCGCTACTGTGAAGCCGGTGTATCACCCCAGTGGAGCTGGCTCACTTATACCAAACCTCTCCCAATGTAATCATTGAGGTCTCATTGAGACCTAATAATAATGAAGAAGAGGTAGTAAGAAGATAATGTTAATATTAATATTATGTTAATGTTAATATTACACAGAAAAAAATATTGGTCACCAAAGAAAAGGAGATTTAATTAATGCAAAAGATTTTAGAATTATAAAACATACATCTACTACCAACTTATAGGCAGGTAACACACTTGTGACTCCTGAGGCCTCCATGGTTGGAGCCCCTTACCATCAGGTGACCCATCTGATCGTTTACCCCTCACTCCCACAAATAAAAGTTAAGCCTAGAGATAGATCAGCAATACAATTGCCACAACGGTATGATGACTTTGTACTGGCAGCTGTTAGTGAAGTCCAAAATTTACACAAGCATTGGACTCGCCTTATAAAGAAAAATGGCTAGAAGCCATGCTGAGCGAAATAAACTCACTGAAAGAAAATAAAACCTGGGAATTAGTCGAATTACCTAAAGGACGAGGAGTACTACCTTGCAAATGGGTTTATAAATTGAAAACGAATCCGGATGGCTCCTTTGATAAATTTAAAGCCAGAGTTGTCGTTAAAGGGTACTCACAAAAACAAGGAGTCGATTACAGTAAAACATTTAGTCCTGTGGCTCGACTCAGCTCTATACGAGCAATTATTGCAATAAGTGCTAAAGAAAATTTAAACCTACGCCAATTTGATGTAGCAACAGCCTTCCTAAATGGTTCAGTTGAAGAAGAAATTTCCATTAAACAGCCCGAAGGCTTCCAAGACGGAACTAACCGGGTATGCAAACTAATTCGCAGTCTCTACGGACTTGAGCAAGCGCCGCGATGCCGGAATTCATGCATTTCTGAATTTCTAATAAAAACTGGCTTTAAACAAAGTGAAGCAGACCCTTGCTTATATTATTGCCTTGTCTATATATAAAAGTGGTTCCACATTATAAAAGTTAACAAATTTAGGTCCTAACAGAATAACCCAACAAGATAAAGAATAAAAGCTTTTTGATTTATCTATACAGATAAATAAAATTGGAGTGTCTGTTTGTAATAGCTTTTTACTAAATGCATATGTATGTTTACACGGTACATATGCCAAAATAACATTTTTTTTCAATTTTTGTCTGTCTGTCTGTTTGTTCCGGGTAATCTCTGGAACGGCTGGACAGATTTCGACGGGACTTTCACTGGCAGATAGCTGATGACATAAGGAGTAACTTAGGCTACTTTTTTTAGACTAGCTTCGCCCCGCGGCGTTGCCCGCGGTTATAACAACAACAACGCAACAACGCGGGTAACACCGCGGGTCTCAGCTAGTTTATTTATAAAATTAATGTTACATTCAGTCACGCTGAAGTAAGTAAAAAAGTAAACCAGCAGTACCATAATTTCCAATATTTTTTAGCGAAAGTACCTCTCCATCTCCTACCACGGAATGCGTACCAATACATTGGCAGAATTCTGTTACGGAGTCCAAAGAGGGTTCCAGCACTTTGAATAAAGGCAAGATGTTAAGGACCAACAAGATCCAGAAGAAATTTGACAAAATGCTCACTAAGCCTGTGAAGATGAGTAAAGCGGAGAGGTTTGTTAGAAAACTTTGCCCTTAATGCAGTGTTAATATTAGCCTAATAAAAGTCACTTAGTGTAGTAGTAATTCTCTTAAAACTCATACTTATTTTACTTCCAAAGTCAAACCCTACAGTTGATTGACTGACTATGATGATATATGCCTTTTAAGAATGATTGTCCAAGAATTTATTGATACTGCTGTCACAAAGCACAATCTCTGATTAACGTTCGTATTTTTATTATTGTAGCATGATGCAGAAGATGGGCTGGCATGGTGGTGCCCTGGGCAGGAGTGGATCTGGCATCTTGGAGCCTTTAGCTTCTAATGCGGTTTATGTAAGATCTTTACTTTGTAGTAAACACTAAGCTTGTTGAATATGATGAGTGCATTTCTTCGGAGTGACCCGTCTCCTTGAGTGGCTACTATACCACAAAAAAACTATCAATAAACGTCATTACTCCAATTTTTTTCCAGGCTACACAAACGAAAGTTTGCGGCAAGAATTTTGTCAAAGTGGAGAACGAAGACCGCTTCTCAATGAACGTCCTCTACCAAATATACGAATTTGTCAAGAATAATGCAGAGGTTGAGTTAGTTTTTGACCGGACTCTCTCCAAGGAGGAGAGGAAGCGGATCCATAACATTGTAGACTTCATGTTGAATGTCGACGGAATGTCTATGGTTGAGTTTGAAAGCACCGCTCAAATGGATATGGTGCTGCAGATTTGTGATGTGAATTGCTATATTTTACAGACTCAGAGCGAGGGGGGAGATCCTGATCGGTAAGTTTGGAAGGCTTTTAAATAATCAGGATGATGCTATGATAACTACAGAACTTTCTAATAATATAATGTATGGCAAGCGAAATGTTGGTTATATTGTTTGACTTGACTCAGATTGAGCACCAAAAATACTCGAATGCTTTTAAAATGTAAATAAAATATTAACCTTATCTTATTAAAACAGAGCCGAAAATCGTATGCAAGATGTCTTCAAACATTTTTGTCTACACGAACATGTTTGAATATACGCGAGCATGCTTGAACATACGTGAGCATGCTCGAACATACGCCAGCATGCTCGAACATACGCCAGCATGCTCGAACATACGCCAGCATGTTCGAACATACATGAGCATGTTTGAACACGCGCACGAAATTGACAGCATATAAGAACACGCCGACACACGCTCCTTCGCTAACACATAAATATATATTATGTTGTGCTCTGAGTGAATTCACAAGCGTAATGTTGAATGTTATTTGTTATAATATGAGCCTGAAATAAGACAGGCCTGTCGGTCTGGTGTTCGATTGTCGGCCGGGGGTCGGGGTTCGATTCCCGCCCGGGACGAATAGTTGTGTGATAAGCGGGTTAGTAGGTGCTGTGTCTGGGAGTGGTTTGTCTGTGGTGTGTGTGTGTTTGGAAGTATATGGGTGTGTTTGTCGGTCCGGCTGCCGGGATGCGGGCGGGATGAGTAAGGTTGTTAAAATTGTTAATGTAAGAGGTATTATTTATTACGATACATGTTTTTAACAACGAATACACACTACACACACTATTGCACTATTGTACACTTGACTATACTATTGTATTTGGTAGAAAACCTGTAAAAATAGTTGTATTGCGTGTCATAAATATAAAATCTAAGAAACAGGCTCGGCCTGGTTTAAACGTTATCGATCATGGATTGTTGTAAACACACAGTTAACAAGTATGTTATAATCTATAGTCATATGTTTAGAAATCGTTGACATAATGGAGGTATCTTGGTATCAATAAACTTATTGTCATTATATTATTCTATGTTGCAATGCGATGGTCAAGTTATTCGATTGAAATATGCGAATACGTTTAAATAATTAAAACTACATTTTTTAGACGTTTTGCGAATTAACTCGTAAAAATCCATACAATAAAAACAACTCTTTTAAAATTTTGCGCGTAAACCTTTTTGTTTCTACAATTCCAGTCACATCTGCATCTACAAAGAAGCTCCTGAACACGTCTACCTTATCATCCCTGATGACCTTCGAGAGGAGCGTCCTGCTGTAAACCCACCTGCTGAGCAGTCAGATTCAAAAGACGAAATCTCGGATGCTGAACTCGAGGAGGAAACTAACCCCTTTCTGAGGAGCATCACTCGTAATCTGAAGAAGACCAAAGAAGTGGTGAAGGTCCAGAAGGTTCAGCCGGTGGAACTACCTAAAGAGGCCAGGTAATATCAGTTTGTGTAACAATTTGTTATCAGAAAAACACCTAAAGAGTATCTTTATTGTATACCTAGTACCTATATATCAGTAGGATTTTTTCTCCATTTGTAATATTCTTTAATTCAGTCTCATCCTTACCTGTCCCAAATATACACCTGCCACACACAGCCTTGCAACATCCAATGGTTTGATTGGGAGAAAATGCCTGTGGCATTAAGTCCGCCTTTTGCAATATATTTTGCAGGAAGTCTCAATAAATACATAAATATATTTGCCATGGGGAGACTTTATGACCACAGACATTTCCTCCCAGTCTACTTTAGGGTAATGCAGTAATGAGTGACTAGGTGCACTAGATATAAGTAATATTTTCGGACATCTGACACACAACGCCATCTAGTTACAAACTAAACAGAGCTTGTACTATGAAAGTTAGATTGACTGATAGAATACTTTTTTTTGTAAAAACAAACACATAAAACACCCAAACGCTAAAACAAATATTTGTGGATCATACAAACATTATGTCCGACTCGGGAATCGAACCCGAGACCACAGCACAGCAGTCGCATACGCTACCACTGCACTACAAACACATATATAGATACAAATCGTAATTTACGGTCTTAAAATATTTAAACAACAATTAGTAATTACTAAAATGACCTTTGGCATAATTGACCGCCTTTGTTTTTCTTTTCAGTGTTCTGGAGAAGATTCAGGAATACTTTGCGGAGTTCGCCGAGAAAAGGCAGTACAGCCAGTTCAAGTTCCTAGGTCCGTTTACTGATGAAGAAACGGACGGTATACACGAGTTTTTCGAGAAGGCTGCTCAGTATCTTAAGAATGAGCCGTGTGAAGTTAAGGAGGTGTTCGCCAAGATTTCGTTTGAAATCGGAGAAGATATTACAGGGAACACAGTGTAAGTTAATATTTTGCTACACTTATTTATTTACATTTTAACAGGCCTGTTGGTATAGTGGTTAGTGATCCTGCCTGCTAATCTGGAGGTTGTGGGTTCGATTCCCACCGTGGACAATCAATTGTGTGATGGGCACGATCATTTGTTCTGTCTGGGTGTAATTATCTCTGGAACGTCTGGACCGATTTCGACGGGACTTTCACTGGCAGATAGCTGATGACATAGGAGTAACTTAGGCTACTTTTTTTAGACTAATTTCGCCCCGCGGCGTTGCCCGCGGTTATAACAACAAACGCGGGTAACACCGCGGGTCTCATCTAGTCTATAATATGTTGTATCTATATTAATAAATAAAATTGAAGTTGCACGATACCTATGCCTAAAAACAAGTTTATATTTCTTGCCTGTGTGTCTGTCTGTTTGTTCCGGGTAATCTTCTAAACGGCTGTACCGATTTTGATATTATTTTACTAGCAGGTAGCTGTCTATATACGGAGTAACTTAGCCTATATTTACTCTCAGAAAACCCTTTAAAATTTTGCTTGGTCCGGGAATCGAACCCACTAAGGCAGCGCTTCTCAAATTCCACGCGAACGAAGTCGCGGGTACCAGCTAGTTTAGAAATATATAGCTATGTTTATCAGCAGTCTGGTCACCATAGTGGGGCTCTTCCTAGTTTGGGATCAGGTCATTAGTACTATCCCTTGTAACAGTACTGTTTTCTTGATTAAAAGTACTGATCAAAATCTATTCAGTGGCTACTAGAAAACCTCTTGAATTTGAAGATATTTCGCGGAGCGACTGTTATCAGACCTCCAACCCCCTTTTTTTTTTTTTTTTGCCCGTGCGGAAATCCCCTCGGATACCACCTATCGGTGGCATGTCGGACTCGAACCGACTAAAACCGCACGCCATCTCGGGTACTAATAGCCGGGGAACCAGGTATACCCTAGAAAGGAAGTCCCTGGTGCGCCCTCTAGTATTAGGTGATATCGAAGTTCTGTAGAAAAAACTGTTGTCGGACTTTTTTGGGCTCCAACTACCCGTAACGATTGCCTCAAGAAAGAAATTGATCTCAAGAAATGGTCACCCATCCGTAGACTGACCTGGCTAGGGTTGCTTAACTTCGAAATGTGTTACCCCACTCGGTTACCACTTAGCCACAAGCCCCTCAATGAATATTATTTATTAATACGTCTCTTTTCTTCTTTCAGGATCAACAAGAGGCCAAAGTAAGAGATAAGCTACCACCCTCCCATTTTAACTATAAATTAGATTTAATGACATTGTATGCAAATACAGATTTTGTATAACAATATAGACATTTCGACTGCAAATTAACTCTAAAGAAACAAAGATATAAAGTTTTACGACGATAAAAGTATGTTAACAGGTCGCTGTCTCTCTTGACTATCGGCCCCCGTTGGGTTGGAAACTAGTTTGGTATACCTTAAATACGCAAGTGAGTAGAACTTTATATCTTTAATAAATCTGCAAAGCAACTGCAAAAGTATTTTTCGAATACAGTTTGTCTATATTTTGCACAATTCTATTCTGTTATACCTTTTTTGGTTTTAGTAACACTAGTGTTTGCCCGAGTTAGTTCAGTAAAATGATAATAGACTTTAATAATAAAATTCGACGTCAATTTATTAAATTTATTGAAACTCCAGTGAAGGTAAAAACTGTTTTTAATTTTTTTAATTGGTAACACTCAAACGTCAATAGCTACTAAAGAAAGAAAAAAGAAAATTGTTGGCATATTACTAAGAAAAAGTTACTGAACTTTTATTTTTCTCTTAGCTATTTGTCTACCCATTAGTAGCTATTAGCGAATTTAAGTGTTATTTAAACAAGCTAGGAACTTCAGTTGCAAAATGAGCTTTTATTTAATAGATTAGAGTCGATTTTCGACCTCTGGGCGACCGCCAGTCTTATACAAGCCAACGATAAGAGATATATGTCTGTACTCAAACTGTATTTGAAACATAACTTTAAAAGTTTTTTTTTTGGACTTGGCCTTACGCCGTATGTTTTAAGTTACTTGGCAGTCATAATGTGAGTAGTTTGTATGAACCCTTAAGTCGTGTTGAAGATCTTGATGTCGCGATTTAGAACATAATAACTGTAAATGAGGTTTCAATTTTGGTAGTTTAGATAAGAAAAATCATATTTTTATGTTTTAATAGGTGGACATACGTTTTTAAAAGCATTCAGATATAATAAAGATTTTTAAGAACCTCTGAGCGGTTGATGAATAAAATGTAATGCTATGTCCGCCTAATAAGTCTTAAACTATAGTCCATTTGCATTAAGAAAAAAGTAATGCATCGATCAAGCCCCGCACTTTAACCAATCAGTTGTCAAGCTTTCGTACGAAACGATAATTTCTGCTTGATCGATGCGTCACTATTTTCTTAACGCGAACGGACTATAATAGTATTACATACAGAGAAATATATTTTATAATAATAATAATAATAATATAATTAAACTACAAATATAACATTCGATAAGGTCGAATGATTTTATCACAATTAAACTGACACATGTCTATGACATAATCGACTTGAAACGCGACTTATATAACGACATTAATTCGATGCAGTAAGATGATACCTTTATTTTTCTAACGTATAATGTTTAAATTAAGAATATTTCTGAAATTACTTTCAAATGGAGAGGAGGCTAAGACTTCACAGATTTATCACCATACTTCATATTGACTATTACAAAAAACAGTCGATATCAAGTTGATAAAAATCTTAGAATACATTTGTATAAAAAGAACTTGAGATCTCACATACGGCCGTCTGATCCTAAAAGAGCCTGTACTATAAAACCCAGACTGCTGATTAACATACTTATTATACACATATTACTAAATATTTCGGATCGTGCTCATCCCAAAATTAGGTGCTGTGTGTAAAAAAAACACAACCTTTGAGACAGATCTTAGCTGTCGAAAACGTAATCCATCCACATCGTATTCAGTGATGGCGAGTCCTTCGTGTTCAGCCCGAGTTCCCACTTTGATGGGCTCTGATATGACTTGTAAAACTGAACTTCCGATCCGGAAAGTCCGGTTACATTGCGCACAGTCGGAGTGTATTAGTTCAAGGTTTTGGGTCTAGTTTTGCGCATTTGACGCTTTGTGTCAAGATCTTTCGAATTTTGCCTGAATCAATAACTACTGGACCAACCAGCGCACCAAGTCTCGTTAAATTAAGTCTCAAGACTTATTACATTTTTCTTCTTCTTCCTTCTATAGAGGAGAGTCTGCCGTTATTAGTTACTCCATATTTGTAATGTCATATGTATCAGAAGATGTAAAATGTTGCTGCGTCGAATTAAAAATGTAATTTAATTGTTAGAAAAATAATATATAAATACTTGTGTCGCCACAATAGATTATTAAGGGTGCTATAGAAAATTAAACGCGGTGAAATACTGCGTACATAGTTAAGAGTATATGACAATGGAGTGCAGAATTGAATTGAGTGCGTTCGGTCCCGTTTGCCGTTTGAACATCTGTCGCAAACGTTACGGGTAGTCGGATCCTTAAAAGTCCGAAAACAGTCTGTCTACAGAACTTCATATCGCCTACTTGGGTTGTGGAAGTCTGGTGGCAGTCGCTTCGCGTAAAAGTTCAGCCGTGTGCTATTAGTCTTAAAGCCGACCCCATGTTAGTTTAGGAATAACGCTCGGAGGAAGAAAGACTTGTTCTTTCTTCAGTCTTTACTTATACTATCAGTTGCTTCTTGTGAAACGCACTGCAAGTGGTCGCGAGAATTCTTTACCTAAAATTATGTGATATCAATCATATTTTGTATCCAATCATAGAAACACTTCCCATATAAATAGTGAATTGCCATACTAAATATTTTTAAGCTGTGCTAGCGACAACAGTCAAACTAATTCTTCATTTGTATGGAAAAAAATATTGACCCGTCGCTGTCGGTGGACGACAATGGAAATAATGAGTATAAAAAGAAGCATATGAAAGGTTAAAAATATAGCCACACCGCATTACATGTTACACCACGATATGTGAAATATGTATCACATAGCGTGGCGACGCATCCCGTGGTGACGTGTCGCCATGCAACAGTTTCACATACACACGCCGCGTGCCTGGATGGGTCCTATCCAGGCACGCGGCGTGTCTAAGGTCACGTCAGGTCTAAGGTCTACGCGGTCTAAGGACCGGAGCCCTTGATGAATAATTTTAGTATGTAATTGTCGATTCCTTGAAATAACGGGTCTGTCAGACCCATCACACACCCAAGGGTTAATTCATAATGTGATTGTTGTGTATCTAAATATTTTTTAACTGTAGTTGCGACAGAAGCTACCTACTTTGTGCACAGAAGGCTTTAACCTGTCGCCGTTTGAGCAGCTATACTGGTCGTCATACATTTGTAATGAAAACTTGTTATAGTACCTGTGCTTTCTTAGTTTAGTTAATAATTTAATATAGTAACAATGTAAATCAATATTTATTTTTTATATTCCTAAAGAATTTCTATGGAGATTTATCAAATAAATTTCAATGGACCAGATATCACCAGTTGCCACTGATCAAGCGAAATATTATTCAGTGATTTTTAAATGTGCGAACATTTAAAAAAACCCTTGGCTCCTGAAAATATACCCGTTAGCGCTACTTTAAAAAAGTAAACTGATCAGTTTTCTGCAATAAACATTAATTGTGAAATTTATGGTTTTATTCTATGGCGAGGGTCATTTTCTCTCCCATGGAATTAAACCAGTACTCCATATGACTCATGTACGTGACCTGAGAATGTCTACTGGAGTCAGGATGTGGCTAATGAATTTGAAAAGAAATTCTTTGTCTAAAGTTACATTGTCATCATTATTGAGTAGTAAAATTATTCAGAAAATATTCAAGGTCATGTGACTGAGGCAGGTTGTATACCCGTCTCGTTCTCGTCTCTTGACTGCTTTTATCCTAAAAAACAGCGTAAATTTCCCTTGAAATAAAATCCTTTGTAAAAAAATTTAAAATGTAAACCTAATATTTTTAAAATGTTCCTCTCTTTTTAACAACAAAGATAGTGAAATAGGTTGCACTACAAAAAATTTGCTAAAATTTGCGACAGTGCGAAAACGCATTTGAGCCTGTCTTAAAATAATTGTCATTAAGTTAGATAATTTTTATAAAAGTGTTGCCTCTTTTTTTATAAAAATTGCACTGTTTTTGAAAAACAACTATATTTTAACGTAAATTGATTATGCTACTATATAAAATTTTTAGGTTGTATTTAAACGTCCAACAAACTGTAGTAGCTATGAGTCATCTTACTCCTGTATTCGCAAATTGATGTTTATTCCCAACAAAAAACCCTTCGTCCTTAATATATGTATAAAGAGAGTCAGTATGAGGGATGGGTAACACTGCATTGGGCCCTCGTAATTGTTGACTCAATTCCTCAAAATCTTTTATGAATTTGATGTCAAACGCAAAAGATTTGACAAAATTGTGAATGAAAGATTGGTAATTTTTAAATGTTTTTTTACATTATACGAACCTTATACTTAATTGTAGTAATATGATCATGTTTGAAATAGTTGGTCTTAGCCCAACGCATCCCTTTGTATTTCAGTCATTTTCGCCAACGTAGAATTTTATGTAATCAGTTGGTTTGCCGTTTGCTAAATAATTACTTGGACAGCGAGATAAGACTTAAAACGCACGCCTAAGGTCAAGAACGCACTAGCGGTTAGCCGGAATGCGGCATGGCATTGCGGCTCGCAGCAGTGTATACTGTCAGCGGTCAAAATCGATGTGCGGTGAACCGCACCAGCACACCGCAGTGCCTTAAGCCTGAGTGTTTGCTGACCAGATGTTACCAATCAACTAGCTAGCTTGGCTGACCGAATACATTTTTTAGTTCATTAAAATAAGAATACTTTGCTAACCGTTTACATGACACCTGTATTTTGTTGTCTGAATATCGTGGCGAGAAGCTTTGTGTGTTCGCAAGGGTAGTATAGATAGTTCAACTCAGTTGTGCGCGCGGCCCTATGTGTGCGTGGCTTGTAAATATACAACTTTCATTCGTGTGGTATTCGTCTTGCTCGGACGACGACTGCCGCGTCACTGCCACACGAATACGAATACCAGCTTATACATAGATAAATATAACCTAACGAGTTCAGGATTAAGGTTAAATTGCTTTAAACGCAGGATTATTTCAAAATCTTATTACTACGTTAAAGATTATACCAATGATAAATCTGCTTGGGATTGAGTTGCTCTAACCACTAGCTGAAAGAACAATAGTCTGTAAGCGCCGTCACCGATGGAGGTTCCATCGACCCGACCGGGTGTCGTGGAATTTTCATTACCCGTCAGTTTTTCTTGCAGGAGTTTTTTCTGGTGGGTCGCGTTACGAACCTGCATAGTTTTAGTTATAAGCCCCTGTGGTGACGGCAGATTGGTTTATTTTAAGCCTTGCAATAGGGATGTAAATGACTCTTATGACCATTCACTTGGATCACCAGAATTCATAATGAAAGTTCGTTCAGAATTTCAGGAATGTTAAAAAAAGTATTTTTGTAATAGAATAATAAAGTATTACTAAGACTAATAAATTACCGATTCAATTTTCGGTTACAATACAATTACAGTCAAGGTTGGATGTTTAACCACCACGCGGTCACCGTGACGGTCGAGTCGATGTGAAATAAACTTACACTAAGCCCACTTACAGCGGTGAGGAAATTACTGAACAGACACTGCAAAGCACATTTAAGCGAGTAGCCAGACAAGATATAATTGTGTAAATCTAGTTCTGTAGTTGGCCGTATACCTGTTGATATCAAATTTTTATTTAAATGTAATTCTCGGTATAATAAATGTAACAATGTGACATTTGTATCCGTTCTGATTGTTTATGAAGGTAGTGTAAAGATTACATTCAGGTTTCGGTCAGGATCGATCTTGGAGGCAGATTAGTGTATTATGATGTAAAGTTGAAATATATGTTTAAATGTTTTATAGAAGTCTTCTCTCCCTCTTTATTTGAAAGTAAAGAGCGAGAGAAGACGTGTAATGAATGTTTAGTGTTAATATTAATAGTCTACGGAGATACGGAGGTTTATGGTTACTATTTGCTTAGTTTAAAACACTGAGTTTAATAAATGTACCTACTCTACATAAATGTGACATATATTTATGGAATAAATGTAGATAAAACGAGTACTACTCGATTATAATTTGATGTAAATTAAAAAGAAAAATATTTTTCAATAATTTAATTTTTATCATTAGGTATAAATCTTAATATGAATGTATAGATTATTTATATACTAGTAATTAGATATATAAATATTTAAGCCGAGTTCAAAAAATATTGTGCTGATCTGTGTTGATTAGTTTTAGTAGGGGAGCCCTAGAAGGGATTTCGGGATTTACTCGAGCGTGTCAGATTAACATAGGAGGAATACCTTACACCCAGTTGAGTACCTCCACCAGTCATGAGCACTACATATAGCGCCGAGCGTCTAGGGGAGCCTATCAGATTAGTTAAAAAAAACGATGGTCAGAAATACGCGAGTGTGTAAGATTAAGGTAAGTTGGGTTAACTACATACACATTACTGTGTATATAAAAAATCAGACTGTGTATTTAAATAAAGCAGTGGGAGGGTCACAAAGTTCCGAAAAAAAAACACATGGCCGTGACATTTTTTTATTTTGAAGCAAACAATGCAAGAAATCTTTAAATTTCTACATAATTTTTCGTGCCTTTACTTGTCACATTTTGTAAATAATAAAAATATTATCATCCGTCAGATTTAAAATACCTTGCAAAATAATCGTCAGATTTTTGGCTAGTATGACAGGAACATCAAGCTGAACCGTCTGTATAAAATCTAACACGCTCGGGTATTTCGACATGGCGATTTTTAGAATTTGCAGTTTGCAAGTGGTAACATTACCGTGTCTTTCAAATCCAATAGGTCCCCATGACGGTCGAGTAAATCCCCATTTAGCATCATGGGCTCCCCTACTATTAGGCGTGTATCTGTCGATGATTTTGTTGAAGTAATTTTTACCTATTACTCTCATAAGAGTGTGTTAAAATCAAATGCCGACAATTTCCCTACAGTGTGCAAAGAAGGTTTATTATTGTCTGCGGTCTCTATACGACTATATTGGTTGAAATTGGTTGGAATATGGCTGCTTCTGACGAGTTCTCGATCGGAAACTGGAAAGTATTTACCTAAGAACTTTGGTATTTCACTGTTTATGTAAATATATAATTGTAATTAATTTATTTAAGAAATAAATCACCACTCAGAAATGACTAAGAAATGACTAATCACTAAGAAATGACTCACCACCAATCAGTCCTCACTGATTGGTGTTGAGTCATCCTCATTAGGGTAGATGTAATCTCTAATTAAGGTCCCCCAAGATTATATGTACTCCCATACAGCTTCGGTCTAAGTCTGTGGTTGTATTGTTATTGCAGACTGTGCCCGGCTGATCATGACAACCTCCCCCTCTGAGAACCCCATCTCTCTCAACTCATCCTCAGTTCTAATCTTATTGGGAACCGCCCATCAGCCCCCTACCCTCCTGATTAGTTTCCCGAGGTACCAGGACCACTAACCATGGACGAAGCCAGAGAACTGTAAGTCATGTGTGACTTCATCTTCACCATTAATGCATTGTTCTTGAGGACGTTGACTATATCAGTTAATCTAGTGGTGTCCCCAGCAATGGCCACAACCCCTGCTTTAACAAGGATCCTAATCTACGCTTGGTCAGAGATTGTGGATTCATTGCCGCATCTACATACTGGCTTGACTCTTCCAGCAGATCTGAAACAGGCTTCATAAAGAGCTTACGTTTTTCTTTCGGAGTTGCCAGCATGATTGACATTTCCATGTTTAGAATCTGGGCAATCTCTCTAAGCTCTTCAGGGTAGGTTGCCCCAGTTGATATCAGTCTTGAAAAGATAGTATATTGCATTATTATTTGCAAACCTCCAAGAAGCTTTGAAACTAGTTTCCCCTTGAGATTGTGGCCAATGATAACTGCTGCAGTACATGGTGCAAATGCCTGAGCAATTCTAGAGAGAGTTAACTCCTTGGTGCCTAGTGCTCCCCTATTCTTCGATGGGTCTATTGTTATGCCATATGACATAACCTTTCTTTTCAGGATTTCTCCCATCCCATCTTCACATCTAGTAGAAGCTTTGGCAATGTTGTTCCCCCTCTCCAAGAAAACATTAATGAAGAAGAGCAGGTCACTCTTGGGGTCACACTTCTCCATTAATTTGATTCCCCCATAGTCCTTTAGTACAGGGTCTCCCTACACATCGAACTATAATAATAACATATATAAAATACTATAACTATACTGTATCTCTGTTTGGTTTATTTATTTTAAGCGTTTTTTTTTTATGATAATTTTATAAAAAGTATCCATTTTATTGTTCTTTAATTTGTTTTGCTTATTTTGCGGTGTTGTAAATTTATGGAAAATCTGTTTATTTTGAAAATATGTAAAAGAAATGTCGACTGCTTTCAGTGTTGCTAGTAGAGTTGATGAGTTGAGTCGGAGTTTGTAAATAAATATTGAAAAATAACTAAAGAATTTCAATATCGCCTAGTACTTGGATTGTGGCAGTCGCTCTACTTTAAAAACGAAGTTCAGCCGTGTTGTAGTAGGCTGAAAGCCGACCCCAACCTAGTTTGGAAAAAAGGATCAGTCGAAAAAGAAAGGAAATTTTAACTATAACTTGAAGTTTTTAATCACCATTTCTATATATTTCCAATCATAATTTCTATTTAATATTTACTTTAGCCAACAATTCAACAAAAATCTGAACGAAAATACCCGACAGGAATACGCAGGCGCCTGTCAATATGAAGTGTGACTTCAGACTTGCAGTGTGTTTTTTATTATATTTTAGACTGTTTTTATATTTAATTTCAATAATTTTTATTTAATTTAAATGTTCGTAAACACCGGTGGCAATGTGACTGCACTACAAACCTATTTTTTTATTTATTTTTTCTGTGCGGAAATCCCCTCTGATACCACCGGTGGCTTGTCGGACTCGAACCGACTAAAACCGCACCGGGTACTAATAGCCGGGGAACCAGGTATACCCTAGAAAGGAAGCCCCTGGTGCCCCGACATACCTCGGGCCATCTACAACAAGTAGACGACCCCCCCCCCGTGTGGGAACCCCATGTTCCCTCTGATCCCTGGAAGCGAGCGCGCTTCGCAACGCGCTCGCCACCACCCCGGCCTGCTTCTGCTAGGGTGACAGATGGCCTCACCTGTCACCCCCAGGCCTCGACGTATCATGTTTCACTCAATCACTTACTGCTATTATTGTGTAATCTACATTGGTTCTAATCTATAAAAAAAAGTCCATACCAAAACTGGGAAGTATAGAGATGGTAAAGCGGAATCCAACAGTTTTCTACGGTTTTTCATACAATGAAAATTATCTTCTGTGAAGTGTCTTGAACACATCACACTATGTTTGGTGGAAAAATAATCGTCCCCTCGACAAGTTGCATCGATCCACTTTTTCCTTTCGGTGCATTAAGGAAGCCTATAACATATAGCAGAATGATACGCCACTATTTTTTTTACAAAATAAAATGACCAGTACACAAAGTTCAAACGATGACCAAACAAATATCAACTTATAAGTCACAACACTATCGATACACGTGCTGTTATGAGACAAAGACAACTATTGTAGTTTACGTAATGAGTGAAAGGGACATTTCAAAATGACATCAATGGGTGCCTAATTGTTATTACTTTGCACCATTATGTACCAGTATAAGTTGACCTCCGGTGCATTTGAAATAGTTAACCGTGATAAGAATAAAATTTACTTACCGATGAAATATTATGCCATCTTTTCGATGGACGGATGTCTTAGCTGACTTGCCACACCATTTCACTGCACAGTAAGCCATTTTTAATGTATTTAGGATAGTAAACTATTAGTAAATTGTCAAAAACTCGGACGTTCCTAAGGTCACAAACTTGGTCGTCCCTGAAGTCGTGATTCTTAGCGTCACTTAATATAATAGCTATAATAAGTATGTGTTGCGCGTCATTGTGGCCCTGTGGAATCTATTAGGGGGTAATCTGTGGGATAAATGAACATTAACTGATTTAATGGGTGCCATAACCCTCATTTAATATAACGCCTACGTTGCAGTAAAATGCAGTGTCCCAAGGTAATTTCGCCATCAATTAACTCCCGAATCATTCCTCATTTTCAGTGTATTTTTGATTTAATACAGCCACGTATGTCGGTTTTGTTATATATTTATTCTTTCTTCAAAATTTAAAATAATATTTTTTATCTTTTGTCAATATTTGGCAATATATTTGACATTAGTTGACACTATATCTTACGTTGAAATAAAAATTGTCTCCCGGGAGTTCTACTCTTGAAAATGCTATCGTTAATCAATAAATGTAATTAAAATAAGACGTTCGTCTTTCCGTTAAAAACCGTTGCATTATTCGTTTTGTAAAATTATATTACATTAAGATGTTAAAAGGGCAGACAACCTGCGATCACATTTTAAGAGACAATTGTGATATTCTTGGACTTTTGAACACGCGTAAAGGAATATAGGATAGTGAATTCCTATAGAGTAGGTCTACTAGTCAATATGCAGTTTGCTACAATACCGTGTGTCTGCCGATCGCTAGTTCTCTGCTTATTAGCTTAACGGAATAAATACTTGAGCCACTCCCAGTCCAAATAAAACAACACAATAAATACGAACATACTTGATCTTTATTTACACACATCAGAAGACGAATACAATTTCAGTCTATATCGTCTACTAGCCACACGTAACAACATCAGCTAACGCCGACAGATGGCACTACGCTTAAACTGCAGTTGTTTGTTTACAAAGTCCAGCCACGTGTTGTATTAACTTAAAAATAACTAAAATAATATTTTGATTCATAATTCATTCACATTTCTTACCTATGTATTTTTTGTTTAAATCTGATTTTCTTAGATAAGAAAGACTTAAACATACTAAATACCGACATTTTGTTTGCTTTTAAACATGCTTTATATAAAATTATACCAAAAAAATCTATTTGGACGATATTTATTACTTGAATGATGCTGTGAAAATAAGATTTTCACAATACAATAAACTAATGTAATATATAAATGTTGTATTCGTAAAATCAAAGCAAAATCAATTATTTCCATTAAAATATTTTGAATTATCATTATTTAGGGTCAGTTGTTGCCTATACGTAAGATCATATGGAGATCAAGCAAGGAACTGCAATGGCAATGTCTCAAAAGAACAAATATGAATTATTAAAAAATAAATATTTTTTTATGATGTTATGAACCTAAGTATATTAGTTTTACGGAAGTTGTATTGCTTTTAGTAAAAAGAAAAAAAAATGTTCTTTTTTAATTTCATTTAGTTTCAAAGGAACCTTTATTATAGCAATTAACGATGGATCAAAATATTATAATTTTAAAACCTATCTTAAACCACTGGTACTTATCTAACATACCACCCTTTCTAAATAAATTTCAACTAAAATCGTTCATTAATAACTAAATGATATTGCATGTTTCACACCTAATATTTAAATACTACAAAATTATTGTGATATTGGCGTGTTGCGAGAGCTGTGGTGTATAAATTGAATACAATTAAATTTACAGAGCTCTACCCAGGAAGAGAGCAGACAAGGTTAGCTGCCCCGCTTGGCTTCTGTATGATTAAGCAGTTGTCAAATAAAATATTGATTTGACTCTTCCCCTCCTCCTGAGCCAAAAGCTAGAAAAATCTATGCGCATTTGTATAAAATTAAACAATAGGGATAATGCTATAAGGGTAACTGATCACATAGAAAATATGTTTAAATGGAAATTAAAATAGTAAATGGATTTGTCTACAAAATGGTCAAATTAACATTTCTACTAACGTTCACGGTTGATGCCAACTTTTACCTCGGCATCGGGACACTTGAAGCCTTTTTTTTTTATTTTCTTATGTGTTATTTAATTTAATATTATTCAATTAAAATTATAGTTGGCAGTTCGTGTTTATTAACCATTTCTGGAAAGGTTAATCGAGGTGATAACCTCCTTCTTAGGGTAGGTTACGCACGATTTCAAATAGGTAATGAAATTTGATTACATACATTGATTACATAAAAATGACCCCCTCCGTGATGGTCATACGATGATCAACATTTCTTTTAGTCATGTTGTTTATCACGTCATGTGTAATTGATGTTTTGTTTTATGGTATTTTCTTTAAACTCATTTCATAAACACATTGTCTATGTGATGCAGAGACAGCTGACTAGCGTATGAACAGCTTAAAAATAATGATCAGTCGCAATCTATGGGAATGTTCAAAAATATAAAAAAGTGATAAATAGTGACTATTTATAATAAAAAAAGTTTAGATAGGAAATCCTAAAACATGCCTAGGTTAGAGGTCTACAAAGATCTCTTAATCAAATATTGCTATACAAAAAAAAATGGCAGCTTCGAACAAAGTCGAAATCCTTGACTGTTTCTTGATTTCGATAAAGCCTTCTGCTTTTATAAAATAAAGTATTTAATTATACATTCGAATTGTCTTTAAATTCTATAAATATAATCATCACAACTTAAAATTCATTCATAGACAATTTTACCAAGACATAAAATATTGCCAGCTTAAATTTAAAAAATTCTACTAACTACAACTGCAAGGAAAGAGACCCATTTCCTATAATTTTTGATATAACGTCATGCTGTAAAATAATTTCGGTAATTTATGATATCTCTAACACAATAATTATTTAGGTACATACATAGTAGGTAGACGTTATGATTTCTTTGTAGGTAGGACATTTTGATTTAATAAGCACAGGAAAACTAGCCTCTATGACTTGCAGTTCAAAACGCAATTTACTATACCTATAAGAATTATTAATAAAAAGGAAAAACCTCAGTCACTCTATATGAAACAGTAAAATTGATAACTAATTCGTGAGAATTATGAAACATTCTTTAAAACTAGGATAAGCAGTCTATAATAATATCACTTAAAAGAAGATATGGCAACACTAATTGCTACTTAAATTGGCAAGGTAATGTTATAGATTAGTGGTTAGAACGTTTAGTCTAGACCTAACAGTTTTTTAAATTGCTAAAGAAGTTTAAGTTTAGAATTATTCTTGTGTGGCAAGTTTCTTTTTCTTTCAACTTTTTTTTTAAAACAATGTAAAATGGATTTTGCGCCTAAATTTAAAAACATATTTTATGGTCTAGTCTAAACGTTCTTAATTAATGTATGGCACAGCTAGACTTGCTGTAATTAGGAAAAAAGCATCTCTATAGTATATGAACTAATGTCTGTGTATTTACTACAAAACAGATGTTTAAGAGTTGTTCATATCAAAATATCAGCTATGTTCAGTACAACTGAAATATAGGATAAGGTTTGAGTTGTTTTAAAAGAAATTAATAAATATATTAACAAACTATTATTTATACAAAAAGGTTATTTTAAATTGTCAAATTACTAACTTTTCAAAGGTCAACAAGTAATATTGCCGCGCCGTGTTTTTGGATCAATAAATAATAGAATAAACAATAGTATTGTTAATATTTTCATTAACTCAATTCAAAACATTACTAGTCTTTGCTTGCTCGTCTACAACTAAAATTATTCTGTCCAGTCTTCAATTGGGAATCCTCACTCCTCCTTACCTTATATCGGTACTACTAGCGGTCAGAATCAAGTTATCTATACAAATAAATAAAATTAAAGTGTCTGTTTGTTATGTCAAAATAATAGGTTTTTTTCCATGCTCAGACGGTTATTTGCAAGAGACCTATGGCTAAAAACACAGTGTTTTTTTTTAACTTTCTGTTTATTCCGGGTAATCTTCTAAACGGCTGGACCGATTTTGATCATATTTGACTGCCAGGTAGCTGTCTATATAAGGAGTAACTTAGGCTATAAAATTTTGTCCGGTCCGGGAATCAAACTCACTAAGGCAACGCTTTTCAAATTCCACGCGAATGAAGCTGCGGGCACCAGCTAGTATAATATATATGTTGTGGACATCGAATAGTAACAGTACGGGGGATCCCCGCTGTTTGCTGTTCTATTGTCACCCCCTAGACTCTATATTGTGGCGGTAAATGTTACAACAAATATTAAATTTGCGACTTATGGCTGAAAACTCTATGTAGTTAACAGCCAATAACATTTTGTGATACTAGACTTACTTAAACAAAGCAATCTTTCCTCCATAATTAGATAGTATCCATAACTAGTACAATAGTTGTCATCTGAATAAATAACTCATGTTTAATTTTCAATGTAATAAAAACATCCATAAATTAGGAATCGTACGTCGAAAAAAATGTAAAAAAAAGAAAATTTTAAATGCTTACACAAAATACTGTAGACTACATTTAACTAAAAAAAAATCATACACAGTAATTGCTAGTATAGCTCAGTTCATGCCATTTTGATACTTTAATCAGTAAATTTATAATTTTGCCTACGCATTCTTTGCTGAACTGCTATAGAAATTAGGTCACAGCTCAGGTACTAGGACTACAGTAGCCTTTTACAGTTAGGCACCTTGAATTCCCAAAAAAAATCAGTTTTTTCAAAATTAATTTCATAATTTAGATAAAAACCTAGTACTGTGGATATATGAAAATCAATTTCGTGTAAGCATTCATTTTGTTTAACTCATAGTAATGTAATATACAACCTTTAGCTTCTTCATCTTCGATATGTTCAGCCTTACTTACTTAAACTACGTACGCATATTATTATTTTTTCGTAATAACAATTGAAAAATATTAAGTTAAAGCTACCAATAATATTACATAACGTTGGATTTTTTTCTACTATTATGTTTAGATAGTTATTTCTATGGCAACACCCGCCGCGTTACATTAGAATGTGTTCGATTTTTAAATACAAAAAAACGATCATTAAAGTAGTTTCTTATGATGTGTAACATCTGACATCTCGCTCACATTGCTCCCTATCAATTGACGTTTAACTCTAGCACCTCGCGTGCTCATTGGTCAAATCAAATAGCAAGCGCTTCCCCGACTTCCTGTAACACATTTCCGTCCCTTCTCGCCAATTTAAAAGCGAGAGTAAAGATGTTACACATCAAAGATTTTCAGTTTGTGACTGTTTGATTTATAAATTCGTGCGCATTTTTTGGTTTCGGAATAGAGGGTATCGAAGGATTGAGATGTTTATATTTCACGTCGTAAAAAATTCACGTCCCTCGATAGCTTTCACAAATTAATAAAGTCTATTTCTTTCAGTTTGTATTTAATTTTAACATCATAAGATTTCCACCTCATAAATTTGTTCAATTAACTTCAAGTAACTATTTTTAATAACTTTAAGTGCATAGCAAATTATGTTCTGAAAATTTATTTGTTATAAGACTTCAAAAAAAATAGGATCAGTATTATTTTTAAAATAGTTTTTACTTTCACACTAACCAAACCCTCAAAGTAATCAACTTGGCTTGTGATAAACCCTTACATTGACTTGCGTTTTACAGAAGGTATTATTTTGACCTTTTATACAGAGGGACTATTTTGACTTGAGATACTGCTTCAACAATAGGAACAGAGATGACAGAACTAGTATTTTGACAGAAATATTTATTTGTTTGATTTTTTCTTTCCATACAAGTTGCGTTAGTGTCGTAAAAACAATCTGGAGTATTTGTCGACATCTCTATTAGCTAAAACAAAATATTTGACTCGAATTAGCTACCAAATTTTACTAACTTCAGGTATTAGGAGTATATTCATCAAATGATGTCTTCCGTTTCCTGACCACTCCCGTAAATAAAATTTAATTTATTATTTATTTATTTTAGTCAAAAAATTACCAAAATTATAAAAAAATTAAGCTATGACTAAACATATCATTGCCACTAGTTTGTATTATTGCTTGTTAGGATATGAATTGATAATTATAATAATCATTATTTCATTAATCATAAAACTGTGTGACATTGAGTTTTTACGTTAGTATCGAGATCATAATAACTCCTGAAGGGTCAAAATTAATAAATAATTAATTTTATAATTAATAATTAAGACCGCATCAATTCAGTTTATTGACTTCTTCTTTAAATTATACGAACCCTTTTTTAAATAAATAATTTTTCAATCAGTCAATTACACTTTGGTATTAATAGTGCCTCAGGGACAAAATTATACAACCAATTGTGCCTCAAAGATATAATCATACAACCGCTCGTGCCTCAATGAATTATACTACCATTTTTTCCTTGGGGCAAATAATATAACAACTATTATTTTTCAATAAAAGAGGCTTAAAGTTAAAGCTGCACAATTTAAAGACTCTTTCTAAGGTATATAATAATACCTACAATTTCTTTTTCAGTTTATTATACTAAGTGTTCCTTACTTATTTTTTTTTTCTCACTTCAATCCTAATACGTATAAACACTGATGCCTTACATATTATACGTAAAACTCTACTTGATAGAATGCATTCCACAAGAATCATCTCTCAGGTTTTAGCTTATCGGTGGTTTGATTTACAATCGTATCAATTTAATATTATATTTATATCTTGTGGCCGTCACGAATTAACAGCTCAAATGTCTTTCATCTTAAACGACAGCTATTTTGTGTTTTACATTTTTGAGAATCACAATTTAGTCGACTGAAGATATATTTTTTTCAATTTATTTAATAACTACTTCTGAAAACATGAAATTCACATTTATGTATATTAATTTTATTATAAGACAAATTATAATAAGAGATCTATATAGGAGTTGTTCAAACTTGAACAAATAAAATCTTGAATGACGTCATGGGCGAATCATACGACGTGTTAAAGAAAGGAGTGTTCATATTTTAAAAGCGTTATAAACGAATTAAGTTGGAGAGAATTTTTTTTTTGAAGATTAGTCTGCAACGCATTATGGCACTTTCAACGATTTCAGGTAGTTATGCGGGCATTTTTGGAAAAAGCTGAACATTACATTAATATTCTCTTTATTAAATACCTATAGTTTCAGTCTAGCCCTGTAAGTCCTACTTTCAAATGCAATTTCTCAATCCAATAATAATATTTTTATATTAAAAATCGCGCATCTTTCAATAATTGTAAATGTTTTATTTCATTCTCGAGGTCTATTTGTCGATCATTAAATATGATCACAGCTTTCTCTAACACTAGTCATATGTTTAACATAATACATGTATATATAGTCCTTTTACGTTAAGAAAATAGGGAGCGACGAATCGATAAAGCCCCGCACCCTTACCAATCAGATTCCAAGCTTTCGTACGAAACGATAGTTTTTTTAACCTAACTGAACTCCGGAGGCGGGGCTTGTTTGACATGTCACTATTTTCTTAATGCGAATAAACTATGGACGTTTATAGATGTTAGTATTAGTGAAAAATTGAAAATCATACTATGTTCCTCAGAACTGGAATACATTTTTTCTTTCTTCTCTTTGTCATCGTTGTGTCTGTAAAAAAAGTAACATAAGTATTATATTTATATTCTGTAATACTTAACGGGTTAGTAAGATCTAACATTACACCTACCATCTAAGGGCCAACATCACTCGTGAGTCAAACAAATAGCTCGCGATTACTTTCTGTTATACCCTACCGATCTTCATCCAAATCTTTCATTGTTACACACTTTCGTCCCAATTGGGATGGACGTGTGTAAAAAACAAGCAAGAAGAACTTTATCATCAGATAGCTTTTGGCCAGCTTTACTCGCCTGAAAGTTTTGTTATATATCATTCGAAAACAGTACTTTCTTCTGGATGAAAAGTTTCCATGAAGATCGGTTAAGTAATTGAGGAAGACTATTATTACGTTACCTCTCTAGCGTATATTAGTTGCTAGACACGTGGCGGCCAAAGCGAGCACAGCGCAGTGCACTGCGGATATAATGGGTCCCCCCTCCCCCACCCCCCACGATATAGCCCCCACCATGTACGTCACTGACAGGATTAGGCCGTGGGCTGTGCATCTGCAAATTGTACAGTAGTTACTTTTTATTCAATAAGCAAGTCAAGCATTACTATTTATTTTTTGTATTAGCATTGAAGATTAATTGTCAAATACTCTGTGTCAGAAAAAAACAAAAAGATTAAAAGAAAAATCTAATATTTTAGAAATCTTATTGATTACTGGTTTGCCTTTTTTGTCTGACTTGACACATAGTTTTGGATTAGGCTTGAAATTGGAACACTCGTCGAACAACAACAGTTCATTGCTGGACATAGGCCTCTTCTTAGAAAGAGCTTTTGGCCAACTATACTACGCTGGCCAGACGGCGACGTGATACTCCGTATTTTCAGTCCGTCACCACACGGACATGGAATAGCCAATAGTTTTATTCACTTTTTCCTGAATACGAGGAGACGAATCACCTGATGGTAAGTAATTACAGGCGCCCATAAACACTGGCAGGTAGAATTAGTAGGAGGGGGATTGGGTTTCCGGTTACATCACTCGGTGAAAAGCAACCAAATCTTAATCTTATATAATTCACCACAATAACACTTTAATGTAAATAGATTTGTGATTGACAGTAAATACTAAACTTCATGATGATGGTTAGGGTCTAAAAGTGTACCAAAGTAAATAGTTAGATTTTATTCTAATGTTGTAATCACCTCAAATTAGCCGGATACGAGTCGACAACATTGACGCCGACGGTGTACATCACTAGCGTTATAAAGACGCGGTACACCGCCTCCAACACGTACAGCGTGGTCTCGCTCTGCGCCACGTAGATGAGCGGCGATATCAGGAAACATGCCGCGCACACTGCCACTGAGGGAACAATTATACATACGTTTAATAAATTAAGAAAAGAACGATAATTAGTTGATACACATCGTGGTAATAAAAAACACAAAAGATAAACATACAAAATAATACAAAACTTCTAGACGGTTGTATCTTAGAAATATTTTCTTTCTTAAAGTTAGGGAATCACTAGGGAAGACAAGTTAGTGATTAATATCCCTTTTTTTGTCTGGGCATGAACCATTATCCACACGCCGTCTCGGGTATCAGTGTAGCCGGGGAACCAGGTGTACCCTAGGCAGAAATCCCTGGAACCCCGACGGATCCCGGGCCACCCACGGCTTGTAGATGTGCATCGTGTGTTGGAATCGCAGTGTTCCCAGTCTACAACCTAAAGGGCGCGCGCGCTCCACAGCGCATCTCGCCGCTCGGCGACAGCGGCGATGTTGATGGACCACTGTGCCATACTCTGAAGCAGAAGATACTATATATGTAGTGCAGTGTAGTATATATGCAGTATATGAATGTATGTACTCTTGTATGTATACGTTGGTATTTATATATTATTTAATTGCTTTTTTGCTCAGTATTGCTATCACTACTTCTTTTATGTCCACTTTATAATACTCAACCAAAGGGTAGTGCACCTCCACACTCATTTCCACACCACCCTAAGGTAGACTGGTAGAGAATGCCTATGGCATTAAGTCCACCATTGTACTTATGTGCATAAAGTTGATAAATAAATAAATAAATAAATAAGATACTGAGCACTGGCACCGTGGCCCACGTTCACCTGGAGGATACGTAGATGTGGATCTATTATTGTAGTTCCATCTCCGCATCCCGCCGTGAACTTTGCCGCTCTCTAGAGGCAGCCTCCTTCTCCATCGACGGCCTATAGGCCGAAGGCCGGCTTCGGCTGCAATTCGGCGCATGCCTTAGTGCCAACCCGGTGGTCGTCAGGCTTTCCACCTGCTGCGCACCTAAAGCAACGCAGCGCAACGCAGCATTACAACCACCCGCCTTGTGACCATTCTGGCCACAGCGGAAACAGAGGTCACCTACGGTGACCTCCGCCGTGCACTGGCCCTCCACGTGCCCTACCGACAGGCACCGGAAGCACCTTGCCGGCCGGGCCTGCAGGAGTCGTGCCTGTGCTCTCAGGAAACCACCAACCAGGAGGCTTAGTTTATCGGTAACCTTTTGGGCCGCCGCGATGATACAGCTGACAATTGCTGCCCCATGTCCACTGGGCCCGAGGCGTATTACTCCGGCCTTCACGCAATCAAGGGAACAGCCTCCGGCTTCGCTCCTCCACCGTGACAGAGTCATCTGGGTCCGTGATGCTTTGGACGCCTGTGAACGGACGTCTGCGCATTTACCGGGCCTGGATACCCGGATGTCAGCTGCGTCCAGTGACTCCCTCAACTTAGCCGCTAAGGCGTCTACTTTGGGAAGCCGGCCTCCCCTCCGTGTGTTTTTCTTGGGACCTCAAAGCCCACGGGATACCGGACTTTCGCCAAGACCTCGGCGTACCCCACACCCTTCTTCGTGACGACAACGGCCGCAGAGCGATGGGCACGAAAACTCCTCGGCGCTCCAGTCGCTTCGGCGGCGGCCTTTTTTGCCGCTTTTTTGGCGGTCTTCCGCTTCTTATTTTCGTCCCCGGCTACCTTCAGCCCCCTTCCAAAAGGCACTGTATAGGAGCAACCGGGGCTGGGGCTAGGGCTAGGGTTGGGGTCGCCTTCCCCTTCCCTTCCCTAGGGTGGCTATCTGACGGTTAGGCTGTTAGGCCCGCCTTAGCAGCGGCCGCGTATGTCACCCATGGCGGAGCCAAGGGTGGACGACACAATGACGCTCTCTATTGCATAGATGCGCCTCATCAGTCGCTCCTTCAACACCGCCATGAGTCGGACCATGTCCGGCTCCACCCGACGCGAAGACACCACCGGTGTCGAAGAAGACGCTGGCGTGGCACCAGAGTCCGTGCGAGTGTAGTCTGACGCCGTCTTTGTTGCCTTGGCAAGATCTGCTTTGAGTCGGGCCTTCTCAATTTTGTGGGCCTCATTCTCCGCCACGAGTAGTCTTCCTCAGCCATAGAGCGTACAGCCGCTACTAGCCGCTCCTGTTCGAAATCAACTAAGCCAATTGCCTCTTGAATGCGCTCTTTTGGGTTACCGACTTTGCAGCCTAGCACCTCCAAGCTACTGGTTCTGGAGGTGGTCAGGCCCGCGTGTGCCACGTAGCTCTTCTCGGCGAGCTGCCCCCCAGGGGGGAGGGTACTCACCCGTGGGTCGCAGGGAGCTGGGCAGGAGCGCGAGCACGCAGGCGAGGAGGCCCGCGTGTGCCACGTAGCTCTTCTCGGCGAGCTGCCCCCCAGGGGGGAGGGTACTCACCCGTGGGTCGCAGGGAGCTGGGCAGGAGCGCGAGCACGCAGGCGAGGAGGCCCGCGTGTGCCACGTAGCTCTTCTCGGCGAGCTGCCCCCCAGGGGGGAGGGTACTCACCCGTGGGTCGCAGGGAGCTGGGCAGGAGCGCGAGCACGCAGGCGAGGAGGCCCGCGTGTGCCACGTAGCTCTTCTCGGCGAGCTGCCCCCCAGGGGGGAGGGTACTCACCCGTGGGTCGCAGGGAGCTGGGCAGGAGCGCGAGCACGCAGGCGAGGAGGCCCGCGTGTGCCACGTAGCTCTTCTCGGCGAGCTGCCCCCCAGGGGGGAGGGGTACTCACCCGTGGGTCGCAGGGAGCTGGGCAGGAGCGCGAGCACGCAGGCGAGGAGGCCCGCGTGTGCCACGTAGCTCTTCTCGGCGAGCTGCCCCCCAGGGGGGAGGGTACTCACCCGTGGGTCGCAGGGAGCTGGGCAGGAGCGCGAGCACTCAGGCGAGGAGGCCCGCGTGTGCCACGTAGCTCTTCTCGGCGAGCTGCCCCCCAGGGGGGAGGGTACTCACCCGTGGGTCGCAGGGAGCTGGGCAGGAGCGCGAGCACGCAGGCGAGGAGGCCCGCGTGTGCCACGTAGCTCTTCTCGGCGAGCTGCCCCCCAGGGGGGAGGGTACTCACCCGTGGGTCGCAGGGAGCTGGGCAGGAGCGCGAGCACGCAGGCGAGGAGGCCCGCGTGTGCCACGTAGCTCTTCTCGGCGAGCTGCCCCCCCAGGGGGGAGGGTACTCACCCGTGGGTCGCAGGGAGCTGGGCAGGAGCGCGAGCACGCAGGCGAGGAGGCCCGCGTGTGCCACGTAGCTCTTCTCGGCGAGCTGCCCCCCAGGGGGGAGGGTACTCACCCGTGGGTCGCAGGGAGCTGGGCAGGAGCGCGAGCACGCAGGCGAGGAGGCCCGCGTGTGCCACGTAGCTCTTCTCGGCGAGCTGCCCCCCAGGGGGGAGGGTACTCACCCGTGGGTCGCAGGGAGCTGGGCAGGAGCGCGAGCACGCAGGCGAGGAGGCCCGCGTGTGCCACGTAGCTCTTCTCGGCGAGCTGCCCCCCAGGGGGGAGGGTACTCACCCGTGGGTCGCAGGGAGCTGGGCAGGAGCGCGAGCACGCAGGCGAGGAGGCCCGCGTGTGCCACGTAGCTCTTCTCGGCGAGCTGCCCCCCCAGGCGCGACGTGAGATCGGCGTGGCGAGCACAGCCGCCCGCCATGCCGCGGATGAAGGTGTTGTTGAATATGCAGTACTCGTCAAACTCACGCCCAACTTCCATGTCTGTGTCGATTATACTGGAGAAAAAAAACCCTAATTTATATTATCTTATTGTCTTATGGCATTAAGACCACCTTGATACAACATGTGCATTAAGTTTAAATAAATAAATGTGGGTGTTTAATCCTATTCGGGGACTTCGACTAGCAGGCTGTCGCCAGTTAATGTTATGATATGATGGTACTCACGTGCTATTAATAAACATAGCGCTCTTAAAGAACGTGAAGGAGCTCTTGATGTTCGACAGAGAGACGTTGTTGAAGGAGCAGTTACTAAACGTCACGTGCGACATCAATATACTGCTGAACGTGCACTTGTTGAATGTAACATTGTTATATTCCGTGTTCTCTAACGTGCTGTTGTATATTTCTTCAGTAAAAGTCTCGTTGGATATGGTCTTTTTGGATGCGTCGAATTCTAAAGAGTCCATGTATACCACTGTGGCTGGGATGTACAATGCTAGATAATACTGTGAATGATATAGAAAATATTATTATAATATTATAATTATTTACAAAATCTGCGAAAAGACAAAACAGTTTGGTACCTAATTTGTTTCTTTGTAATTTTTTTTTGTTTACTAACATTGTCGTAATTTTTTTTGAGCTTTAGGGATACCAATATAAAATTTGGAAACATTTTTTTTTAACTTTTGTCTTTTAAAAATATATATTGGTGACAGATGTACAATGCACAAAATTATAGAAGTAAAAAAATACAAAAAGAAAAACTCAAATAATTCTAGTAATAGACGAAAAAAGTTTTACCTAAAGCGAACTACAATTTGTTACTAAACTAATTACCTGTATTGCCATCATGAACAGTAGCATACCACCCAGGGACAGCGTCGTCCTTCTGTACGTACTCGAAAATAGTTGAAAGAAGGACTGCCAGAACTATGAACAAAAACACTTTCGTAAAATTTATGGTTCCTTTAGGTAAGGTAAAATATATCACTAAAATACAGGCTGTAAGGGACATCGTGACGAATACTGAAATAGCGTATTCAGACCATCAATTAACCAAACTTAATCAATTATTTTTCTTAATTTTACATTGTTTTGGTTAAATATGATATCACAATGAGTAAACAGAACATTTTACCGAAAAAAAAACTAATAAAAACTAATGAAATACGGCTAAAAACTGCAATTTAATTAATCCAACAGCATATAAACGTTTAATGCAATCAGCTGTCAAACGTCAAACGTTAAGGTTATTCCCCCGTATTGCCCAAAACTTATAGGTAACTAGTTGTATTCTGTGCAAAATAGTCTACACACACTAACATAGTTTACCGCGGGACACATTTATTCCTGTCTTATAAAATAAAACGAAATGCAAATGCAGGTGCAGGCACACACACATACGACCGCGCGCGGCGAGCCGGCGACCAACGCACACTTGTACACTTGTGAGCATACATATCATACTGTCGTCAAAGCCACGATAGAGTAAAATCAAAAATTAATCGATATCGAAGCTTATGTGTACAGATCACAAAATCGATATGATTACAAAATAAAAAGGAGGTAGTTGCGTTTATTAAAGAAAATTTTAGGAGCACATTGCTATCTAACCTACTCTATTAGATAATTATTTTTTCATACCTCGTAAACAAGTATAACTGGCGGTACTGAAGCAGCAGGTAGAACACGCATAAGCAGACAAAAATAAAGCTTTTATGGAATTGTTGTGTACTTTAATGACAATCATCAACAGCCATTAATAGTCCACTGCAGGACATAGGCCTCTCTTTAGAAAAGAGGTTTTGGCCTACTATACCACGCTGGTCAGGCGGGTTGGTATTGGGTTTGTTTCATGATTTCCTTCTCTTTGTAGTGCTGTTGTCCTGCGTAGGTAGTTCGTCGTTAGTCGGCTCTTACGACACCCACGGGGTGAAAAGGGGTGGTGAAAGTCCGTATTTTTAATCCGTCACCACACGGACAACTTAAATGACAAATTCACTGTTATCTAAAACCAATACATCTTACATACTGAATGTAATAGTGGATACGTCGTCGAAATATCTATCATAAATAAAGCAGTAACTCGTTAGGATTCAACATCGCTTGTGCATTTGGGATTGTCGACGTTTCAATATTAAGCACACCGAGCTTTTTTATTACTAGCTTGGTTAAGAACTTTAGGGCCTCAGTAAAAGGTTTTTTAGCGGTGAACGCGAAGGTTTGTGTTTTGGTGGAGTTGAATCGAACATTATTATTGACATACTTTCGGTAATTAAAATAACACTTACGATACTCATACAACAGTTCAACAGTTTTTGATTTTGACGCAATAGCGCGTCTTACCATTAGGTTTATTCTTATCATTAGAATCGGAATTATTAGAATGACTTTGTACTAAAATTATTACCTTATAAAGTTGATATAAAACTCCCCTAATTGGTGGAAATATGGGTTTAAATATCATATTATTAAAAAGAAATAGATACTCCCTTACATCTTTATCGTCATTAAGTGTATGAAACAACTCGATATTATCGATATCGATAGCTTTCAGAAGTAGTATATTACGTATGAATGTAAATTTATTTTAGTTCGTGTCATTGCTTTTTCGTAAATGCACGTAATCGCGAGTGATTTTAGAACTTTTAGTGCGAATTTTAAGGTGAAAAATACCTGATCGGTGTTAGTGAAAGTGATTTACAATAATTATGAATCGGTTGACAAGACAGCCTTTGGTTATTTTTAGGAAGAAGATTCATCATCTTCTTCATTCATCTTCGGGATAAGTAAGAAAATAATGAAGTTACAGAGGTTTTTTTTTTTATTCAGGTAAATTGGACTGAACTATATTTTAAATTCCATAATACTTAATAGCGTGTTTGGTTGCGATTCAGCGACTTTTATCAATTAAGTTATGACACGAGCACCAATGACCTGAGTTCGTAGACACGTTGGCTAGTAGGTACTTAATGTAGGTAGTTATGTTAACGCGCGAGCGTTCGTCAGCTGTACGCGCGCGAGTTACGATGCTGCAGCCATAGATTACGTTAGTACATGTACACTACGTAGCGTAAAATAAAACTAATCACTATAAATCCTTTATCTTTCATTTTTATGATGAACTGACTTTTGCATCGTGATAAGTATCCTCAGAAAGATGTTTTAGTGAGATCTATGAGACCTGCGGTTTCGGTTCCAATGAATAGTATTTCTTTTTATATGGGATAGGGAGGGCAAACCGGCAGACCGTTCACCTGACGGTAAGTGACTACCGCAGCACATGGACCTGCAATTCAAGTCACAAATGCCTTGCCACCCGTCGAGTACCCTCAGAATCAGTGGCACTCCGGGAGTGCCGACAGAAGTGAAAACTTGAAAATTTAAAGTTTTTTGATTGTAACAGGAAAAGTTTTCACTTCCAGCATTGCTTAGCATTGTTTATCGGTGGATCGCTCTGGTGGAGTCGAAGCATGTTTACAATACAGGTAGTGTGGCTCACCATCTTGACGCTGTGGCGCACGTGGTGCAGGGCGGGCGGGCGGCGCTTGCCGGGCAGCGCCAGCTCGCTGAGGCGGTAGGCCGCGTCGCCCGCGCCCGCGGCCCCGGCCCCGCCGCACCCGCGCGCCTGGTTGCTGCGGTGTATGCTCTGCAGACAAATACTTTTATTATTCATTCATCAATTAAATATTCTTAAAAACTAATAATACCAGTATAATCCGTTCGCATTAAGAAAATAATGACGCATCGATCTAGCCCCGGCCCCTGATCGATCAAACTTATTATTATCTACTTATTATTATTATCTTTTCTTACGAAATCATGGCCCATGATTGGTCAGGGGGCGGGGCTTGATCAATGAGTCACTATTTTCTTAACCTTGAATGGACTATACAAAAATTTAAAAAATATAATTTCTAGAACCCGGTTCAATTGCTGCCAACCAAGTCCTATCATGAGTCTAAACGATCAGTGATCTCCCACTGGCCACTCTCATAGATCGTTACGACGCACGATAGGACCCTGTAAGCAGCTCTTGAACCAGGTTCTAGAAATTTCAAAGCTTACATTTTTGCTTGTTTTTTTTTACTTTTTAAAAGACAGATTCCGTTTTAGGAATATATTCTGTGTGTGTAATATTAAGCGACGTGGCGATCGCTGAAACCACTACGATATCTGTTTATGTCTTAACATCCCTCTTCTTTTTATTTCTTTTCTTTTTATATTCCTAATTTTCCCATCTAACTCCTTACTAAACATCCGTTTTGAGACTATTACGTGATGGGGTCAAAATTACAGTCAGTAAGTATCCTCTCAGTTGGCAGCTATGTATGCATGTGTTTAAAAAAAAAACATTTACCTGATACAGCATCATAGCGTCCACCTCGCGACCCACATCCAGTAGATACCGAGGTGATTCTTCTGTCCATATAAAGCTGACTAATGATGCGAGGATCGGCAGAGTACATAGTAGCAGATACCTATTAACATTAAAATATACAACGTACGTGATGTGACCGATCGTTAAAACGTATATCCCTCTATACAAATGTGGCTTCGGATAAGGACTTCATTGTTGTAAATCGCTTTGGTTTCAGTGAGATAATTTTGACTTGTATTTTGCTTGTTTTTGTTTATTAGATATTGTAAAAAGGATATCACAAATAAATTACTGTTTAATAAATAAATGAAAAAATACCCTTTTATGAAAAAAACAATAAAAGTGCGGTATTTTTCATATTCTGACCGCGCGCGCTCATTGGTTAAATAATATCTGTTGATCGCGGGGTGAGTGAAAAGAATGTGCGGGCGAGGAGGCAGCAACACACACTCACCGGTGCCAGGCGCTGAAGTGCTCCATGTTCTCCCGCAGCGTGGCGGGCCCGGTCATGGGCAACACGGCGGCGGCCAGCGCGGCCGCCAGCAGCGTGCCGGCCGCCGCGGCCGCCGCGCACACCACCTGCGCGCGCCGCCGCACGCCGCGCGCGCACAGCTCGCCCACGTACGTGTACGCCGTGGGCACGATGCCGCCCGACCCTATCGCCGAGCAGAACCTAAGGAACCACACCACCTTTAGTACTGCAGTTGTTCAAGGGCCCTTTCACACGGCGTATTTAAAGCGCCGACGATGCGCATTTTACATGGGCGCTTTCAGCGCTGTAGATCACTAAAAAGCAAATTTTCGCATTTATATTGATACAAACGCGTGTACAAAGCGATATGAACGTTTGAAGCGCTTCCGAAGCTATGTCCTAAGCTGTAAGTATGAATTTCGTTTAAAACGCGCGTCAATGCGTTTCGTCTACTTGTCACGCGAAATATGGATAAAAACTATCCTTGAATCGGGTTTTACAACGTATGAAAATTTGAGTTCAATCGGTGCAGTACTTTAAGAGTTTTTGGATGGACAATGCGGCTTTTACCTTCGACTGCGTTTTGGATAAGTTGTTGAAACGTCAGGCAATTATTTAAACGTATGTAATAAATATTTAAATGTTTATTACCAATTTTTTAATGGGCTGTACTAAAATTCTTCATTAGCTATTGAATAGAAGAAAAATCTGTTATATTATTTCTATTTTTTAGCATTTCATAATTCAAATTACGTTTAAATATATTCTTTATATAAAAAAAATTGTCATTTTAATTTTTTATGAGTTTCATATACACAGTGTCACTCTCACAATTAAGACAAATCTAACGACACCGCAGTGTCAAAAAATATGCATACATACACTTGAAATACATGACCCACCTAGCGCAGTCAAGTAAAAAAATTAGTCGTCGTTTTTGTCTTCCTAAGACAAAATACTTAATAAAGTAAGTTTTTTCTTTTTTTTTTCGGTAATCTTTACTAGTTATGACTTTGTGACATAATTGTTGGTCTCCGCTGTAAAATCTGATTTCTAGATACGACAAAATCGCATTTTGGCATCGATATATTGATAACTCACCTAGCCATCATGAACGTCCCATAAGTGGGCATGAACGCTGCTATGGCAGCGAACACCGCATTTACAGCCAGACACGACACCAAGGTCCGTCTTCTCCCGAGCCTCTCGGCCAGCACTCCCCACCCGACAGAGCCGAGTGACCCGCCCACGAGACTTATCATCACTGTTAAAAAAACATTATCACTATTACCATAGTAAAGTTATTTAAAAAAAAAGACTCAGTATAGGATTTTTTTACTGCATCAGCAAATGGGACGTACTGTAGAATTCATACATAATTTCATACTTTAAAAATTCTCCTCGATTTTGCGAAATTTATCATTGATCGGCTCCTATTGGTGGTAGCGTAATATTATTCGATGGCGATAGTATTCGACGGCCCTATTGGTCTAGTGATCAGTTACTACCGGAGGTCGTGGGTTCGATTCCCACCCAGGAAAAATATTGTGTGATTTAATTGTGTAATTTATCTATAATATGTATGTATTTAAAAATATGTATGTATTTTTATCAGGAGTCTGGTTACCATAGTAAAGGCTCTGCCTAATTTGGAATCAGACAGCCGTGTGTGAGATGTGTGAGGTATATTATTATTATTATATAGCCCAGAGCATCCTTTTATAATTAAAATTCAGTCCAGTAGTTCCTCAGATTCGTGCATTCAACCAAACAAACAAAAATTCAGCATCATAATATTAGTTTAGATATAGGACAAAAAAAATTATAGACTCCATGGGGGGCAAACAAGCAGATGGGTAACCTGAAGGAAAGTGACAACCCCGCCCATGAACGCTCGAACGCCGCGATAAACAAGAAGGGAATGTAAAAAAGAGGATATTGCTTATACAAATGATTGGCAAGTGTAAACTCCTGAAGGTCAAACTTGCATACCGGCAAATCAAACAGCCGGGCATTCCAAACCCACTATCTTAATCTAAACTTACTACTTAGTTTAGTATAAGAGTACTTGGCTCTAGGTTTGGCCATACTTAACTTTTTTTATTCTAAAAGGGACGCCTAATCGGGGGTCACAGCGAAGAGGTATCAGAATCGAAGCCACTACAATCACATGTGAGTATATTGCAAGGATCGACAGGAACGCAGTGGAGAGATTTTTGTTTTAAACTTTATTCCTATTGCAATTAAGTGCATTCATTTTCGAATAAATAAAAAGACCAAGAGGAATAGTCCTTTCGGTCTGAGCTGACCCTAAGAAGTAACGGTATGGCTCCAATTAACTAACATAAAGAGGCATGTCGGTTCTCGAATAATCTGAGTGCTAGAGTAATATATAAAAAGGAGTCTTACCAAGCCAGTTTTTCTCGTGTGGGAGTATACACATCTCTATCTCAGCGGAAGGCAGAATGAATGGTATGGAGGCCAGTTCCAATGAAGAGCCCGTGATGGCCAGTGCTACAGTAAATAACATCCGTGCTTGGGAAATACCGCATCCAGCCTGTAATGGGAAATAATCTCAAATTAAATTGAATTGTCAGGCCTATTAGTCTAGTGGTTAGTAACTGCTAAGCCGGAAGTCATGGGTTCAATTCCCACCCAGGACGAATAATTGTGATGATCAAGATCATTTAATCTGTGTGTGGGTGTAATTTATCTATAGTATTTATGTATTTAGAAATATTTAAGTGTGTTTATCAGCAGTCTGATTACCCAAGCACAGGCTCTGCCTAGTTTGGGATCAGACGGTGTGAGACGTGTGAAGTTATTATGTAAGTATATCATTTATATTTTTTTATTACATATTGTCACGGAAAAATCCATACGCATAAGATCGAAAATCGATTATCTTGTTTACATTCGAAAGGAATTTGTATTTCTTATAAGCGGACGGTTTTCGTGGGGATTGGAATTTGCTAGAATGATCTTTTACGAGTATTATAAATACGAACACGTCTTCTTTGAGTTCAGTTCAGTTCGAGCTACAGTGCGATAAATATCGAAGCGATTGAATTGAATAGAAGTGTGATTGTGGTAGAATATAATATGTATATATATATATTTGGAGTTCCTTGAGGTCCCTATTCCTTTTACGCGTTCGGCGTTGCGACTGGCCCGCACTGAACTTATCGACAATCGCAACGCCAAACGCGCTCGCCGTCGAGAGCGAGTGGATGTGAAAAAAACTCACACAAGGCCCTCAGCCTTGTGTGAGTTTATTTCTGTTCTGTTCAGTTCTTTTCTGGATTTTCTAAAAGAAAGATACTCCATGGATTTTCTGTATCTCCTGTATTTTCATAACAATAATAATAACATAATGTCATAATGATAGAGAAGTTAGGCCGTAAAAGTGTAACAGTCTCAACTGACACTCCAGGACCCTTATCTCTTGGGTAACTATTTGGGTATTCCCGAAATACACACGTGCGAGTGGGCCCCTGTCCGGTACGTACTATTCGGACATCCTCGAAATACACACTATCAGAAGTAGAACACATCAGAGGGCCAAGTGCGAGTTTATTTCAGTACGGGCCAATCGCAGCACCGAACGCGATCACCGTCTATCGAGCAGATGTGAAATAAACTCGAAGTTGGCCTCTGTAGTATTCTCGTTAACATCTCGGACATCACGGGGGACTCAGAACGTAACAGGCGAGCCTAAAAGGAAATAATAATAATCCATGATCATAAAATACTATCTGCGCACTACAATTAAGATAACAATTAGTAAATATAGTCTCTCAGACTTACGCAATAAAATTCAAGTTTGCACAAATATTATAAAATCATCATAGCAATTTCAAAAAAATATTTAACTGTAATAGCTTTTGTTAGGCATTACATGCCTAATCTCCGCATCTAAGAGTTTGTTTTGTTCTGACTACGAATTGCACTCAAGGTATAATAGCTGTAGGTGTGATTAGCTGATTACTTTGACATTATAGAGGCTCCGAGATAAATAGACAGGGTTGTCCAATTTGTGTTTAATAAATACATACTATGTATAGATACTGAATGGCAATGGGTAGACTTAGTTATGGAGAACGAACAGGGCAGTTGATGGCCAGGTAGAGTGATGATCTCCGCAAAAAATTGGAAAAAGAGAAACCTATGTCTAAATATCATGAAACAAGGAAACCCACAAAATTTATTTACAGACAAATATTTTCACTGCCTGTACTGACAAGAGAGGGTCAGCGTACACTACTAGCATAATCTTTGCTTTCTACTGGTGAGTAGGGGCAGTATGATGAAGTTTCCATTTGATTGGGGGGGGGGGGGGGGGGGGGGGGGGGGGGGTATTTGCAAAGAAAAAGATTGAAGATTGAAGAAACCAGCCGGTGCAGCAAGACATTGAATGCCCATGAATAACTCAATATATAATTTCTGTAAATATTAAAGTTGAGAAGCTGATAATTATCATTTAGTATAAAAGTTGAAGATAAAAGTACCTGTCTGAGCGCATCCTCGTGGAACTGCTCCAGTACGCTCGAGTCGTTATAGTCTAAGAGCTCTCCGCTTTCATTGGCATCAGCCATATTTTCTGGCGGGTTAGTTGTCATATGTGCTGTGTTATCCGGCTCGCCTGCTCCATTTTCTGTGCCTGTAACAATAATAGGTATAAAAAATATTAAGTATTAACTGATCATCTAACCCATGGAACTGCTGAATCATAAAAAACCAGTTTGTCTCAAGTAATCTAGTGGTTGCTTCTGGCTTTATCCCCAATGGATTAGGCTGATATCTATGAACATATACCCAACTACAATTTGGTCCCATTCACTACAGTAGTTCAGGTCCATACTGTACCGTTTACAAATCAATAACCCATCAATCGCAAGTACCCATACCCGACGTGATACGTTTCTAGTTTAAGTACGTACTAAGTCTGTCTTCGGTGTACGTCATGGTGCGCGCGAGAGAGCCAAAGCTGCCGAGTTTACTTGACCCCTCAGAGTCGGAGCGGGCGCGCACCAAGCACGCATGCTCCTCCGCCATTTTGTGCGAATCGCACTATGTTTTTAGCGGGAGCGAGATGCATCTGAAAGAAAAACCAAATTAATTTTCTCTTAGCTAGAAGCTTTTGAAATTATTCATGTGCGTATAAAGGTGACAAAAAGGCAAGGTGTTAGTGCTTAATAGTTTTAAAGCCAAACTCTTTGTTACATATGTATAAAGAAGAAACATAAAATGCCATAAATTCTAAATTTAAATAATTAATATATACTTGACTGTTATGCATAGATATATTTACTTACATTGGTCTATGTTCCATATTGAAATAAGCACATTTAACTTTAAAAAAGTAATACTACTGTATAACACAATAAAAAACAACCAAATATTAGTGACAAAGTAAGTATAAATGTAAAAATCGAAAGTAGCAAGTATTTTTTTATTCTAATAATAAAAACTTCTTTCTAACCACAGTCAACATGTTAAGACGATATATTAACACTAGAGTAAATGAGAACAACAATCACTGTATATAAGTGAGATAAATGATTAATTAAAAACATAATGTAGTGGTGGGAGGTGTGATACAGGGACTTCATATATGTACACTTAGAATCGGAACTCTGAATCTTGTAGATTGTTAAATACCTGAAGATTCAATTGTTAATAGATGATGTAGCCAGAATATAATGTCTGAAGAGTGTGAGATTTGAACAGTTTGCAATATTACGAATGTGAGATGGCAGTATCTATAGGATATATATAAAAAAGTAAACAAGAATATCTTTCCATGTCTGAACTTTTCTTTCTTTTTAATGGGAAATAATTCAATCACATCACATCAAAAGCCTTTAATAGTTCACTGCTGGACAAAAGCAGGTTAAATAATAATTAAATAAATAAAAGTTAATAACTCAATACTAAAACATTATTTTTAAAACATTTAGAGTAATGTTTGATATTTTTTAAAACTATTAAACAGTAGGTATTCAAAATAAAACAAGATTGACATAGTGTTTTTAGTTTTCTTCTCACTTAAAGTGATAAATATAGATAAGACAGTTAGATGTAAGTTAATTTGGTAATGTTTATTTATTCTACTTGATGAGGATGACTGATAAGTATCACAAGTATCATTACATACTTATTATTTAGGTTAAAAAACTAACAATATAAAAGAAATATTTATCTAAAATCAAACTAACAAAATACAACAAAAATGGCAATGTGCAATTAAGCTTACTGTGATGTGTTTGCAGTCAATCATTGTCAGTTTGAGATGTCTAATACGGTTGGCATCCATTTGTTAGAAAAAAAAATGTTTTTTAAGTCAATACTAGCAATATTAATATTAAAAACTAGGTATTGCCGTGGCTTTGCTCTAGTTATTATTTCCTATTTCATGTTTCTAACATTGAAAATGACAAACTTCTACACAAGCAATCATCCCTTATTTCCCCTTCTTAGGATGGAATTTTTTGAAAATCCTTTCTTAGTGGGTGCTTACAATATAAAGTCATCAGTTGTCAAAATTTCAAGTTTTAGCCTCTGCGTTGATGAATCAGTTAGTCAAGGCGTGTAATTTTGTATGTATAGATACAAAAGAGCTTGGTGTTTATGTTTAATATGGCTCTGTTCATCCCAAGAGCTAAATACGCCACCAAAGCACAAAACGCGTGCTGTGGATTGGTCCTAATTAGGACCACTGCGAGCAAGCGTGCATACTTATTAATTAGAAAATTCATAAAATGTCTTTCTGTGTATTCCATAAGTGCATACATTACGACAAAATGGTAAATAAAGATAAAGGTATATCATACCACAGGTAAGTGTATGGTTTGTTCTAAAATGTGATAGATATATATACAGATACGGAACAAATATTTTGTGCGTGCAGTAGGAATATAACATATCTTCTTTAAAATATCACTGAAAGTACATCATATTTTGAACAGTTCAGAATGTTACTAATTTGTTTAATAGTTTATCTTACACTGTTTTTTAGATATTAATTTATATTAAAAATACTCTATAAAAATTGTTAATAATTATTATAATAATATGTTATTAATTTTAGGAATATTTATTAAGGAGAAAGCACAAAGTAACGAGCTTATTTTGTTTTATAAAATACCCATATGGTTATTTGTTTAAAAAAAATGCAAATTGAGTTCAGATCTCGAAAGGAAAGGAAATCCAGCGGCTTACTTACGAGCTAAGCAGTTTTATCACTAATGTGTCTAAATCAGGTGGCCCAGCACAAAATTTAAAATAAAAAACGATATAATCTTAAACATATCTTCGTATTCAAGATGTCCTTTGTAACAAAGAGTTCCGCGCTAGACAATACAAATTTAACAGGATGAATAATAAATTATCTTTATTATACACAATGCTACATTTACTAAGTCCTCGCCCTCAATAACTACTAGGTAAACAAAATTTCAAAACAGCACGCTCTATTTTATATTTGCCGATAACATTAAACTTTAAGCAAAATATCTATCGTATCATCTGATACAAAGCTAAAATAAGCATCTAACTTACATTTTAGTTGAAGTCAATAGTTTCAATTTATGCTGTGGGATACACACCGATATTTAGTTCATATATCATTTCAAAATGATATTTTACTTAAATATTTTCAAAACAAAAAATATAAACACCCACGGCCCGGAATAGAATAGTTAATGATAACTCTTGGATTTATAGTGTTTTATCTATGACTATAACTCTTATTTATAGTCTGAAGAAATTAAATTGACTTTAAAAGAATTGTATTTTATTTCTATCCCTTTTTAACCACAGTAAAATCGTATTCATTTTGGAATAAACAGAATCACATTATTCACATTCGGCTGAATTCCCTTCATTCTAAATTAGTAGGTTTATCATTTATTTCAAGAATGAATGAATGACTTCTAGTAGAAAATGAATGACATAGATTAGTATTTTAAATCATTAGTGATGGTATCACACGCCTTTGTTTTTGAACTAGGCGTTGTTAATTTTTTCAAGGCTATTTTAATTTAGTAAGCAATACTAGAAGTTAAAATTTTAAACTTTCACAACTAACTAGGAATCTACTATTTTCTCATAATTATAAGTCAAATCAGAACCAGAAAAATTAAAATTCCATCACAAGTTAAATGCTTCAGATTAAGAATCACCTTAACATTCTACATGGTCGTTCAAAAAACTATGTTACATTACTATTTTAAATACGAAGGTATTTTTAGGATCATGTCGATACATTCAGAGTGTTTTAAGGCTTTGGCCAAGAGGTATAAACTTAACAATATGATTTGTCAAGCTGTGTTGTTTTTCATTGTTATCTTTCGAAGCAGGGATATTTGAATTTAACCATAATTATGTCTCTATATTGATCTACTAATTTTTTTTCACATAAACCTCAATGTCTTCAGGAATATCGTAATTGCCATATTTATGACTGAAGTAACCAATCGAACTGCATTAACAAAATAATATTGATTATTTGCAAATAAACAACGTCCCTACTGCTATATAACTTACAATTTTGAAGCATTAAGCAATTTTGCGGCCTATTACTTTTCACTTTTAAAAGAACACTGAAAGCGTGCCACACTGCTGTTCTCTAGTTGTATAATATATATATTACAAATTACATTGTGGTTGTTTGGGTCGTGTTGAGTGCAAAATTTGCAATAAATAATTGAACTATTTAAAACCTGATGCACTGTTTAGCACTCATTATCAGCACGTATTTATTACAATCACCACAATTCAGTCAGTTTTGCAGCGATTAAATGTGTTAAAATTTTATTTATGATAATTTTACACATTTTGCAAATACAATCTACTGTGCCAAATGCTAAGGTGACGAGAGAACTGTGTCACACGTTACGAGGCAACTTGAAATCAATTTAAGTAGCACTTTTCACTTCAAGTTGTGACAACACGGATACACTTCACCAATATCTCTGCAATCAGTTTATTAGATTAAAAACTATACAGCAAAACTATTCATAAATGTATGTCTTATGGGACATAATGAAATCTGCAGAGTTTAAGGTCAGGAAAGGGATGGTAAACTCGATTTAGGAAATGAAAGAAAGAGAGGTACAATCAAGATCAAGGTAACGCACATGAGATACAAATCCTCGAATATTTTATTCAGTATCTATAAAGCTGATAGTAATACTTTTTTTTTACTCCAATACAAAGAAATATATATAAATGGCCAATTAATCGTGAATGACATTACTATACAATTTTATAAACGGGTCCAGGGCACGAAATTTGTCATTTTACACTATTGATTCTCAACAAATCAAATAATTAACATTTTTCTTTTATAAAAATAGTCTTCAGTGAAAAAGATAGTTATAATTACTACGCTACTGAACTACTATAATTTAAAACTAAAACAAAATTTAAAAATATCTCTTATAACCTTACAACTTTACAATGTTGATAAGCTTAAAAGGAGAGAAAAACAGAATTTAAAAAGTTACAATGTTAACAAATTTTGTAAATTGATTTAGAAATAAAGTTAAAAAGAATTTAAATTAGATTTTAATTAATCAATAATCGTATGTTAAGATAAATCTGGAGATGATTTTCTAGCGTAAGTTATATCGATTGGTTTGTGCCTCATGTTGCGCATGTCAAACTTAAGACATGCGCAACAAGTCCATACCCGGGTGATCATGTCACATAAGAAATTTCATAGGTGACGTTTGACAATATTTATTTTTGAATATTTTGATTTCTCACTAACTAATGAGTTCACTGCAAGTTAAAGTTAAAGACGAGATCTCGCAATTAAGATAACAAAACGAATATTGGGCACACTCTCAAATTACCTATATTTTGTCTGTTTTTTATTTCCTTGTAGCTCCAATTTATTTTGCATTTTTCAAGAGTTTTTTTAAAAATGTTAGTTATTTTCATTCGTTCCTTGCAATAGCTGCAATTTTCTCTCAAAACTGACAATTGACTGACATCTTGACTTGACATTCACACATGATAAGTGACTGATGACAATGACGTTAATCTGCTGAAAAAGGCGCGCTTTGTCATTCTTTTAGATATTTTGAATCAACGACACTTTTAAAAAAATGCATGGAGATAACACAGATGATCCATTGTCCGTACAAATTAAGCTAATTCGAAAATATTTAAAAATGAAAATAATCGCCGACAATGTAACCTTTCGTGGTCACAATCAAGAGAGAAATCACGTTTACGATTTGTTTACTCGAACTGTAGTCAGTGGTGAATCTCATTCTGCTCTGATGATAGGGCCTCGAGGAAGTGGTAAAACCACCGTAAGTATCCTTATCAGCGTTGCCTATAACTGAACCTTCTTACTATTTTTAAAGTTCTTTTTTCTTAGCTCACTAATTTAGTTCAGTCAAATTCTATTCTATCAAATTTATAAATATAACAGATTAGTTCGGCTTTCAGGTGTAATATTTACGCATGTGACTTATGACGGGTGGTCTAGTGGTTAGTGACTCTGACTGCTAATCCAGAGGTTGTGGGTTTGATTCCCAACAAGGAAAAATATTGTGTGATGAGCACCGTCATGTCTTCTGTGTCTAGCTATAATTTATCTAAAATATATATGTATTTAGAAATATATAAGTATGTTTATCAGCAGTCTGGTTACCATAGTACAGGCTTTGCCTAGTTAGGGATCAGGCTGCTGTGTGTGAGATGTGTGGAGTTAGTATTACTTTAAGACAGATTATTAAAGCCTTAGTACATACTTCCATCACTGATAAATCTTGATTGCATGTTTTTGGGGGATGCATTCATTCAGCATTGGACGGCGATAGGCTGATGATTGACTATTTAGACTATTCGTCTGAAGTGTACTTGTTGAGATCTTATTGCATTTATTTGCAGAGGCAGAGACAAGTTTGATGAGTCAAGTTTAGGTTGTTGCCAAGCATAATTTTTAATCAAACTTTTTATTTTTCTAGCTCATAAACTCTGTCTTACATCAAGTGAGCCAAGAAGTTGATCTCTCAAATGATGCAATAATAATAAGACTGAATGGGTTGATACATCATGATGACAAAATTGCACTCAAATCTATAACTGCACAGGTAAAGTATGTTTTCTTAGTTACAGTCTATGTTACCAGTTTAACAGTCTTTCTACAGAACTTCGATATCACTTAGGACTTGGGTTGAGGAGGTCTGATGGCAGTTGCTCTATGTAAACAATCGAAGTTTAGCCGTCATGTGTGTAATAAATACTAATAGTGAGTAAACTCAACCATTTAGGAGCAATGCTGGGGCTAGGTATGAAGGAGAGTGGAGTCCCGCTCGTGGTAGCGACGTCTGCGGTAGTACCGGTGGGCTTCGCGTTCAGGAGTACACCAGTTGCACTCATTTGGTACAACACAAGATTACTCGCAATATTTTTATTATTTGATTAACTCATATCAATACTTTTATCTCTTTACTCTACTACTAGTATTATAAAAGAGAAATGTATTTACATTGAGAGTTTTGTTGTAAGCTCTCTCTTAAACCACCAAATAAATGGTGGTTTAATATAAATTTACATGTAATTACAAAAATACTTATAAAACTTTTAATTACATATTAATTACATACATTTATTAATATTATTTATTATATTACATATAACTACATAAATAACTTATAATTACATTAATATCGTCATGGAATACCGCAGCAATGACATGGTTGTAAGAATTAAATTTTACTAAAATCTAGTCCCAGTATTTTAACCAACTGAAATCACGAAACGAAAGAAATAAAATTTCTCAATGTTATAATTTTACCAGTTTTATACCATTTATGATTATGATTTATCCAATATTTTAAACGAAATAGGAATCCGAGATAGTGCTTTATTTGTAAAAAATAGTTAAATTAGGCAAATAGTATTTTTAGCTAGCTACCTACGATCGTGATAGCTTTTGTGACAACCCTTGGACAATTTTAGTCGAGACAGTCTCGTAGGTATTTAGCGGTCTATCAAAGGAGTTGACTCACTATTAGTAGGTATTTATTTCACATTAATGGTATCGTAGTAGCCGACATAGTTTGTGAATAAGGCTCAGAGTAAAGAAGATGTTCTGTGTTACCAGTTAAATTTTTACTACTAAGAAGCAGAATTGTGTGGATGTAACATGTGGTGCTCACCGACCCCCGCCCCCTCCCTAACAATTCTTTGCTCATCCCATGGAAACTACATTTTTTTCGGGATAAAAGTAGCCCAAGCCATGTATCCTAGCCTATCCAGGATGTCAGCAACCTCCAAAATTTCACTACCTATACAAATTGTATCGAAATTGTTAAAGATTTTTGAGTGTAAGGAAGTAGCCCAAGTACACAATGGCTAGCAATGGGCCATGCTCCGCAATGCGCAATTGTATTGTTCATCTCGCAAATGTTCAAACAATGGTGCATAGTTCATTGTTGCTTGGTGAAGCATTTGCGATGAACATGGAAGTAATTACGGCTATTTATTTGTATTCTTCTTACAACTATAGTAAAAGTCTGTACGTGTGTAAAAAAAATGGCGCAAAATACGGTGGTGGATGCTGACAATCAACAAACACCAGGACAAGGTAGGTACCTATATACGTAATTTTTTATTGTCACTTATACTTCTAGTTATTTTAGCCATTTCTTAACTGCTTCAAGGTTTAGTAATGTTTAATCTTTTTGCGGAACCATCAGGGAAATTTGATAACTTTTTTGTTTGTCATGTAGGTAGTGACTTCGAATATATTTTAGCAAAAAATCCCCAATTATTTCCCCATCATTATCATCATCAGCCCATCGCAGTCCTCTCTGCCGTGCCAATCCAATACACTGTAACTTTTGGAAACGACTTTTGAGATTTTTGACAATAACGTTTTTAATAATCAATTGCTTTTTTATTCATTACCACTCAATTGTTTATAATTTTACATATGTATTAGTTAGTTGTATATATCTACTAAATAGCCGAGTACTTTTTTTAGTAATTCTCTAAGAAAAAAATATATATAGATATTACCACTAACTTGTATTGACACGATAGATTTGCTAAGTCTTAATGGTACCAGAACAAGGCAAAACACTGTAAAACGAATTACAGTGTTTTGCCTTATGAAACGCATGTAATTAAATTTGCCAAAACACTGTATCTAATGATACACTGTATCTAATGCACTTTGGACTTGCCTTTGGACCTCCAAGCTCAGAACAGCATGCATCTGGGCGTGGATGTCTAGGCTGCTCCACGTATACTGAGGGGCGGGGGTGGGCACAACTGCGTTTGGCAAATATCCGCCCACGGCAAGTGCAGGCAAATCAGGAGACCCCTCATCACGCTTGACGTGGACTTCTGCAACATCAGGGATCGACACTCCAACCTCGCTGTCCACCACCACCGAGACAGCGAAGCACTGACGTAGTGAAACTATTGGTAATTGCGTGGTAGATTGTTATTCGTTCCATAGCCTTGGTTCGAAAGATCCTGCAAAACGGCGTCCATCACCTCATGCCTGATGCGATCCCTTAGCGTAACATATACAATTCGAAAAGAATTGTATATCTTGTCATAAAATAGAAATGACTAAATTTAAATATTTTAAACAAGTCGCAATAACCAATATTATATACAATCGATAGATATTTTTTAGACTTCGTTTCCAAGTCAGTTAGGTCCTTCACCGAACTGTTGTGTAGCGTTGTGAGATCTTTGGCCGCCTTTCTATATTTACTTTCTTCTAATTATTTATATTAATGTTAAATGTAATAGGTTTTGTGCCCTTGTTCGCTTTAGGACAGATTCGCTTTAAGGCGGAGTCGTAGTCGTGTCAAAATTGTTTCCATGTAGTTTGCATATATGTTAATACATACAGACAAAAAACAGCAGCAAGCAATTGACGCCCTTAACCTTTTTTTTTTAAATGTCTTTTGTTATAAATAACGCGGATCATGAATATTAAAAAACAAATTAATTAAAGTGCAAATTCATAAAGTCGAAAATTGCTTGCACCTAATTTTATAATTTCTAATATGTCTGAAATACTTTTAAAAAATAACTGCAAGCAATTTTAAACTTAACGAACGTCCTCAATATCTATGTTATTTTTGTATTAGTGATCAGCGTCATTTATACATGCCTAAAAGCAGATTGCTTGCAACTATATTTTGTTATATGTATGTGTTGACTACCATAAAGATAGGCGCAAGATGTATTTTCGACCTATTTTTAACCGACTTCAAGAAGGAGGAGTTTCTGTGTTCTACTGTTTGTATTTTTATATCAGTTATTTTATTCCCATAATTGACAGTCATATATTATGTTCCTGAGACTATCACTAGACCTTGTATTATTTATTTGTCTTTACTTAAGTGTGTTAAATTATTTTTATAGGTGTCCATTTGTGTCCATAGGTGTCCGAAATCTCTTAAGAATCGGATATTGTAGTAATCGATTTATTTGACACCCTCTCTATTCTTAAATCTGTCGAAACTGTCAAACGATACCTCTTAGATTAGATGGACTATAGTAAGATAGTAATATTTAAACCCATGACATATTGTTAACATCCCGATTGTGCACACAAAGACCAATTGTCCGCCAATACTGATTACCATTGCCCCATGTACGTAATGGCGATGGCTTGCCGTCGGCTAACATGGGTCATTGTGTACTCGGCCGTTAATAAACATACAAACAGACTCGCTTACAAATTTTCGCCAAACTTAGTGTGATATTGATTGCAGATGCAACTAGAAAATGCAGTTGGAGATCGCGTATTCGGCACATTTGCTGAAAACCTGGCGTTTTTATTAAGTTGTCTACAGAGTGGAGCCGACCGTCGATGCAAAAGTATGTTGTTTATACTAGAAGAGTTCGACATGTTCTGTCACAGCGGGCGCACGCAAACCCTGTTGTACAATTTGTTTGATATCACGCACAGCCAGCAAGCACCTATGTGTGTGTTAGGTAAGTCATTCCTTATTATTGACATCACGGATAGCACGGTGGCTTAAGCGGTCACTTCTTCACTTCCTACTGCGCTAAGTGTTGTCGGTTCGGTCCCCACATGGGACAACACTTTGTGTAATCCACAAATTGTTGTTTGGAGTTGGTCGGAGGATTATCCCATTGTGTTGGAGTTTTTGTTTTAAAGAATATATCTTTACAAACATACATGAAACAGACACACCCCAGACTCAGCACAACAAATTGTAGGTCACACAAAGTGTTATCCCATGTGGGGATCAAACCCACAACACTTAGCGCGGTAGGAACTGGCGAAGTGACCGTTTAAACCACAACGCCAACCATACAGCGATTGATACTCGTTCCTCCACACAATATCTTAAATTAACTCTCGTTAAGTAATTACAGAACAATATGATGTCGTCTACAAAATAACTGCTGTGAACAATAATGAATATAGTCCATTCGCATTAAGAAGATAGTGATGAATAGATCAAGCACCGCCCCCTGACCAATAAGGTTCCAATTTTTTTTTTTAGTTAGTTACGTACGAAAGCTGGAAATCTGATTGGTCAAGGTGATCTTGATCGGTCTGATCGGCTTGATCTATGCCACTATTTTATTAACGCGAGTGGGCTATAGTCAGTAGTGATTAGTCACCACAAACAGCATACGATCACGAGCATGACTCTTTTAATTATATCAGAAACATATTATTTATTCCTGTGCTTCCTTGTGTAGGTGTCAACAAAATAATGACTAAGTCTTCCTTTCGAAGGTGTCACTAACCGCATAGATGTAATGGAGCTGCTAGAAAAGCGAGTGAAATCTCGATTCTCTCATCGCCATATATTCATATTTCCGCATGAAGACCAACAGAGGGCACCCCATGAACAGTATTTAGATGTGATGCTGCAATTACTAAGTATGCCGGCCATGACTGTATTGAAAAAGAAGAGGAGTAGAAGATCTACGGGTAAGTTTTTTTTTAATTTATATGTATACTAGATTTTGCCCGTGGCTTGGCCTGCGTGTATGTCCGTTATCGCGGTGATAAGTAGATTTTGTCCTTTTTCAAGACTCAAAGTATCTCCATGTCAAATTTAGACAGAGTTTCTATCGCATTTATAATATTGGTAGGGAAGTAGGGATTATACACTTCTGTATCCACAAAGGGGTACTTATGTTTTACCAATTAAATTTATGGAAGGAAAGGAATATTGTTTAAATGAATTGATTAGGGTACTCCCCAATAGTAATAATAATATTAAACAATAGGCATGGGACAAAATCGCAAAATGCAGTGTGATTTATCATTCGTTTTTTTTCTACGTAGGTTAGGGTTGGTACTTACTCACTCAGATATATTATTATATATAGCTACCATACCTACATAATAATAATAAATATTAGATTTACTGTTAAATCGGCAAAATAGGGTCTGAAAACAGAGTATTGGCAACAACGCTTCAGTAAGCGTGCGTGCGTCCGTGCGTGCGTGTGTCTGTGTCGTGTATTTGTGTGTGTGTGTGTGATTGTGTCCAATGTCTTAAAAGCAACTGTATGAGCACGTTATTCATGGAAGTGGCTGACGTTGAGAATTTTTAAAAATTAAATAACCGCCTCAAACAACTTATTTGATTCCTGATTGTCATTTTTAATCACAGTTAATTCAGATGAGAAACAAGACACAAATCAAGAACCTAATTCCTTACCTCCACATCTGTGCCGCGGCATGGACCTGCAGCATCTCAACCCCGAGTTCATACAAGATTGGAACTTACATATAAAATCTTTAGCAGAGGACAGTAAAGTGATAAATGGATTGGAGAAATTATGCTATTATACAGTTAACGAACAGATATTTAGAAATGTTTTGGTGAGTCTGTTTTACTTATTTTAAAACTAAGTATTAAATTAATTCGGTTTTTTTTATCAATAAGCGGAATAAGTTTAGACTATTAATTAATTAAGGTGTCCTTAAGGCACATTTATTTGTCCTGTATTATAAAATTTCATGACTTTTAGTTGAGTAGTTAAGGTGTTCAAACATCACAAATATACAAACTCACATTTGCAAATATAAATGTTTAGCATATTTAACTTCTGTATTATCTTTTTTTTAGTTTCAACTAGTATCAAAACTATCTCTTAACCAGCCATTCATAGACGTGGCAGATCTATTAGCAATCATAGACAAGACAGTCGCACCGAACCATAGAGTCAAGTTAATACAATCTTTGTCTGTGCTCGAGTTGTCATTGTTAATTGCTATGAAGCATGGGATGGATATATTTGATGGTCAGCCAATGAATTTTGAAATGGTTTTACATAGGTAAGTGTTTTTTTTTAATTTATAGTTCAAGTTTATATTATTGAGTCATATTTGCATCCTCAGTAATATAAGGGGTCAAAAGTGCTCAAAAGTTTTGTGATTCTCTACCGGTTAGCACTGACAGAGAAAGAAAAAGGATAGAAATGACTCGTAAATATACTCGTATTTGTGCCTCTCCCGCTCGTCTCCCCTTTTTAGTGCTACAAGGTCACAAGCAGTAACGTGTCCATATTTGCCGCAAGCGGACTGACAAAACTTTGTTCTATTCGTGTTTGTGCAAAAATATAAATGAGTTTTGTTCTAAACTTTTTGTATTATATAGAACAATTAGTTTTTGCGCCTTCATATTAAACAAAATTTAGTAAATTTTTTGGGTCTGAGTCATAATAGATATCTCAAAAGTGAAGATGTTTTATGTATCACTAGTAATTTATGGAATTTATTTATACTATCATTTTTTGTGGCCATTTATAGCATAGCTATCAAAGAATAAATCTGCAAAATTTCACATTTCTAACTTAAATAATAAGCATTTTATTCGAAAAATAAGCTGGAACGTAAGAATCTAGAATCTTTAAACGTGATTGCCCAAAAAACTACTTTTTTGTATTATGTCTTTATTTTACTAAGGGTGCGAACTACGTGTCTCTGGCCGGTGGTAGTCACTTACAATCAGAGAGCCTAGTGTAAGTTTATTTCATATTAACTCGCTCTCGGTTGGTGAAGATTTCAGTGCGGGCCAATCGCAACGTCCCGTCCTGTACCGTCCCGTCCCGTCCCGTCCCGTCCGTGACCCGTCTGCTCGTTCGTTCCTTATGCATTAAAAAAGCATATAATAAAAACAGTCTGATTTTGTTATAAATCTTAACCTTTCATAACTTAGTTCTGTGTAAATATATTATATGTTACAGATACCAAAAATTCGCCAACGCCAATTCATCAACGCAGTCCGTTCCCCGGCCAGTGATCTTAAAAGCCTTCGAACATTTACAAGAACTGGAGCTTATTGTGAGTGCGACTAAACATAACTCTTCTAAAGGAGACGATACATGCAGTCGAGTGCAAAAGGAATATAAATTGTACAGCTTAGCGGCTCCTTTAGATGACATAAATGAAAGTGTTTTAGGTAATAACTCTCTGCCCACTGACCTTACACACTGGTACAGTAATTCTGTTGCGTAAAATCTGCGTTAATATAAATCGTGTTCAAGTCTGCCGCTAATTGTATTAAAATCAGCCGCTGAATGTATTCAAGTTAGTCCCTGATTGTGTTGAAGTAATCATTGTCGCTGACTGAACTTAGAGACTATCTCAATAGAAAATGCATGTTCTTACAAACTAGTGCAAAATACGCTTTTGAGAATACGATACACGGTAAAGTCGGCCGCCGAGTCTATTAAAGTCAGCTGTTGACTGTATTGAAGTCAGCAGACTGATGACCACTTAACTGACTAGTTAATCTCCGACGCCGATTGAATTCAAAGACTGTTAAATGTGGCTCCTATCTGAGGGCCCAGTGTGAGTTTATTTCACATCAACTCGATCGTTACGGTGACCGCATTCGACCTTGTAAACAGTTCAGTGCGAACCAACTTACAATAAACCCTCTTAATTGAAAATGAAAGTTCTTCATCAATTAATGTAAAATAATATACTGCTTAAAATTTGCATTGCTACTACAAAGTGACTGTAAAATCGGCAGCGAACTCAATTGTAGTCAGCCGATCTAATATATAGACTGTTAAATCTCTCCGGCAAGAATAAAAACTGTTGTTGTCTATTTTTTTTACTGTTACTGTGGAATTTGTAATTAATTGGCTTAATTTTAGTAAGTGTAATAAAGTACAAGTTTGTTTATTTGATTTGTTTTATTATCACATAACGTATTTAATAATAATATAAATATTATTTCAACATAATTTAACTATACTATCCGTATTTAGGGGGAGTTTTATTTACAAACACATATGGTTGTTTATCACAAACACATATGAAGATATGTGTTTGTGATTAACAACCTCTATAGTCAGGGGTTGTAAGTTGATAGATGACGTTGTTTCGTTACGTAACTAAGGCTTAAAAAATATTTTGTACTTAAATATACAGGCTGCTATAGAATGGTGTGCTTAACTTTAGAGTGTGCAGCCAAAAAATAGTTAAAAATTTAAATTTTTGATTTGTAACCTTCTTTTTTTCGCTTTCTTGTAATCTGTGATAGTGTTTTTCTTTTAAAAAGACAACTCCCGCATTAGGAATATATCCGGGGGACTTTACAATATACATGAAACGGAAACAAAGAACACCCAGACTTAAAACAACAATTAGTGGATCACACAAAGTGTCGTCTCATGTGGGGATCGGACCCACAACACTGTATTTTGTGTTTTCGTAAAGAGGGACGGAAATGTGCAACCGGAAACTAAGGAAAAAAGAGGGTTGCCAGAGCTGACTGACAGGTGGAACTAACTTGCTTTTTACTAAGGTAAGATGTCAGAGGTAAAATATGACGTCCCTGTGGTGACGCATTGAGAGTGTCACTACACTGTCCCGTGGGTAGAAAACTACCCAGGTCAACTACACTGCAAAGTGAAGGAAAACTAGAAACAAACCCTATTCCAACCCGTCTGGCTAGCGTGGTATAGTAGGCCAAAACCTCCCTTCTAAGGAGAGGGCTATGTCCAGCAGTGGACTATTTAAAGCTGATGATGATGACAAATCGTATGGGAATACTGCATAGCGTTTCCTTTTAATCTAACCAACGAATATTGTCTGCGGCACTTCTATCAATATCATTTTTATAATCTTCTTCATGAAACCTATACCTAAATCTGTCTTGGCTGGCATTTACTTCACCAAGTTCCTTCAATTCTGCCGGAGACAAATCTTTATATCTTCTACCCTTAAATCCTTCAGCAACAACCTGGACAGCTGCGATGTTAAGTCTTCCTTTTTTAAAATTCGTGCCGTTAAGATCGTGGACCATAGAGTCTAAAGTTTGATGTAGAGCGTTGTCGGTGTTGCAAGGACGCTTGTTTAAAAATCCCCCATTTTTAAAGGTGGAAGCACTGGGTTGACTGTTATCGGTAACAAAGGCTTTGTTTGTGAAGATTTTGAAGATGCCTTTCTTCTGCTTTGCCTGCAATGATAAGAAATAGAAGAAGTTAAATAAATAACGTATTTATTTTGTGTGCGTTTCGATTGTTCCGCCACGTTATCGAAACAGAAAAAAAAACTTCGCATAAAATTTGACGGAATTTGACAAAATCGAAGGGAGCGAACTAAAATTTTTATCAAAGTAGAAATAAGAGTTATAAAGGTTTTAAGTTGGCCGCGCGAATGAAACGTGGAGGATTGCGCGGCCACGGAGATCTCAAAAACTACTACTACTAAAGTCTAAATTTGTCGAAAAAGGAATTATGGGCTAAAGATCAATAATCATGAACTAAGTATTAACAAATTGAAGTCTTAAGTAAAACAATGTCAACTTTTCTTGTTATTATTTATGATGGATACTATATATTTGGATGGTTACTATAACGACCATATTATTATGATATATTTTTAATAAATTATGTTCAATTATGGTTCGGTAAGTGAACATTGAACAAGTGAACATGTAACATTATAAATATTTTGTTTAGATCTGTTACTCGTATAAATAAGTACTAGCCTCGTGGAGTCTATCGATAACAAGGGTGTGTCCAGTATTAACCCCAATAGTGTCGATTTCTTCGATACTCTTAGACTTGTGAAAGGGACGTAACGCCGATACTGCACGTGAAATCCCCACCTAAAAAGCAGATTTCAGATTTAAAATCAGCTGAATTGGAAAGCAAAGAACTTTACTCAATATAATATATAATATTTTTTATAATATATAATAATTTTTTTTAGTGTAGGTGGCAAACAGGCAGACTAATCACTTCAGGGCAAGTAACTATCGCCGTCCATGGACTCCAATAGCTCAAGAGACACAAATTTGTTGCCACTTTTTGAGTATTGACCCTGATTAGTGACCCTGACTGCTAAGCCGGAGGTCGTGGGTTCGAATCTCACCCAGGACAATTATTGTGTGATGAGCACGGTCATTTTTTTCTGTGTCTGGGTGTAATTTATCTATAATATGTATGTATTTACAAATATATATATAAGTATATTTATCAGCAGTCTGGTTACCATAGTACAGGCTCTGCCTCAAAAAGTCACCCCTTTAACGCCATTCACATGGTAAACAGCACTAAAATTGCTGAACACCAGCAAGGTACTACTCCGGTCAGAGCCGGCCCATATTTGCCCATTGGCTCTCCCACGATTATGTTAACTACTTTAGTAATTTCATCATCATCAACAGGCTTTAATAATCCACAGCCGGACATAGGCCTCTCCTTAGAAAGAAGGTTTTGGCTGGCACGGTTGTCAGACGGGTTGTTACAGGGTTTGTTTTAAGTTTGCCTTTTTTTTGCAGTGCTGTTGTCCTGCGTAGTTTGCTCCCTTAGTCTTACCACAACCAAGGGATAAATATAGAGGTGGTGGTTTTCTGAATCCGTTACTACACGGACGGAATTTCGTATTTTAACAAAAAAATATACTTGTCCATGTCTAATGCGATGCTCTGTGATGTCGGCTCCCATCAGCTCAGTATACGGGTCCATGCGTATGGGCAATATCTTGTCAATGATCCATAAAAGTGCCATGGTGACCATCAGGCCCCAGGTCATGAGGCAGAGGCCTGTAAGGGACTGCACCCCGAGGAGGTACCAGCCGCCACCTGGATAACATATGTAATGGTTTTCTTTGTTTAGATTCAGTTTGCCAATATAAAATTACACAATATGAAAATCCTTATAAAAACTATGAAACCAAGTCAAGCTACTTCAAGTTTAAAAGTGTTAAGGTGCCAAAAATCTATCAAAAAGCATCAATGAGTATAGGTAAGTGTATCTAACCTGTCTAAAAAAGTGATTTTATATTACAGCTAAATCATTTATTCTTTACGGTATATATGCGAGCAGACGGGGCTCCTGATGGTAAGTGACCAATCCACAGCCTGGAGGGTTTGGGCTCCGGAAACTACACTCGGTGAAAAGCAACGATAAAAACTACTAACACCGGTTTTCTATGAGGCCATTGTATCACTCTCCCCCGAACGTAACAATTGTCAGAGCAGTTAAGACGTGAAAGCGGAGCAAAAGTAAATCTAACTCACTCTGACATTTATGAGTAAGATTTACAATGATCATGTAAGAGAAACAGTCATTGAAAATACCACAATACCCATACGCATCTACCTTTAAATAATCCAGATCGTCCACTTGTCGTCTCCATTGGAATAGGATTGTCAGCGAACAACCCAACCACTATTACACCTGAAAATGATAGACTAGTATATAGCAGTTCAAGACCACTGGTTCTGAATGATGACCTGTTCTCTTCTATGGTAAGATTGGGTTGCTTTTTCTTCTTCAACTTCTTTCTACAGTCCCTCTCTCTATCCTTCCAACAAAAACGGAAGTTGTATTTATACTAATTCTCAAATACTTTCGTTGTGGATTTCATTGAAGAGAAAATGTGTATAAGAATGAAAGATAATTGGAGTTGAGTTTGGATTTTTTATAAGACTGTAAGCGGGGGCGACTCGCTTCTTTGTAAGCAAGTTAGAAGACGTTAAGTCTGATTGTTTGCCCCCTCTTCCATAAAAAAAGTATTGTCACTAACTAAAACATTAACGAGAAAAAAAACAACCATAATTTTAGCTGGAAATCGAATTCTGGAAGAGATTTTGTTGTGAATCTTCTGTCCTATGTACTCTACTGCCTTAAGCCTTACCCCAGAGTCCACAAGCGCCGTGCACTGCTGAAGCACCTACTGGGTCGTCTACGTGCATGCGATCGAACAAGACTGAGCTTCCTGAAGCTATAGCCCCACCGATGAATCCTATGAGCAGTGATTCCCACGCACGGTAAAGGAAGCAACCGGCTGAAAGAGAATTCAGAATTTAACGCTGATGAAACTCTTTCATTTTTTGCTGGTATTTCTCACACGAGATCTTGATTTTTGCTTATCATGACTATTCAAATTGTCTATCTTCTCAAATTAAGATCCATCTGCTACCATTATTCCGATCTGACAGAAATTGATATGGCCACGTATCTCTTGCAACTGTGTCATTTAACTCGATCATAATTGTGTTGGATTTCGCAGGAGTCTGTTCTTGAAAAAGTCTTGTAGAACGTGAGGTTTTGATATTGGGCTCTTTTTAAATATATTTCGGCAATTTTCTTCGAGTTGAATGAATGAATAACATAAGTGTACATTTTAATATTCTACGTAAATTTAGTTAAATTACCAAGAACCACTTACATTAGGTTATTTTATTTTAATAAGAGGAAACTACTGCTAGAGTACCTGTGATGGAAACCAATGACCCAAGAACGCTGTTGATCAGATCCATGACTACGGCTTTTCCTTTATTCTTAACTAATGTAAATCTGAAAATTAAATCAAATCATAATACTTTGTCGTCAAATAAGATTTCTTGAAAATGACATGAAGAAGAGGAGGAGATCATGACAAACATTTACGAACTGAATCAATTGGATTGAAAAGACAGAACTATGTCGTATTTATAGAGAAAATCTACAATAGGCTTCAATTAGATTATAATATAATTAACGAGTAGGCCAAAAACTCCTTTCTAAGGAGAGGCCTATGTCCAGCAGTGGACTATTAAAGGCTGTTGGTGATAATGATGATGATAATTAACAATTGGTGGCTGACAGAGAAAAGTGGCTAAGAACAACGTCGTTTTTGTGTCAATTAAAGTACATAATTTAAAACAGGAGGAGTATTTTTTATTCTAAATTTTTCTTCGTCGTTTTTCTCCTACTAAAATATTATTATATAAAAATTAAGCACGTAACATAATGAAAGAGATCAAAATATTTCAGTTTAGTTAAAAAAATTGTTGAATATTCAAAGAATTTTTGGTCTGTACTATGGACACATACACATAAAATCCAGATGTCCTCAACAACAATCTTCTAATAACCATTTTTGTAATCAGTACTTACAGTAAACCGAAGCATCCTCCACCGAAGGAGCCCATCATTGTCATGACAGCTGCACGAGCTGCATACTGCCATTTCGCACCACTCACCTGGTGGAATAACAAGAAAAAGGATCAGTTTCAGAAGACATTTGGTAGACAATTTCTTCTGAAACTTCATCATCATCAACAGCCTTTACTAGTCCACTGCTGGACATAGGCCTCTCCTTAGAAAGGAGGTTTTGGCCTACTATACCTTGCTGGCCAGACGGGTTGGTATAGGGTTTGTGTCAAGTTTACCTTCTTTTTGCAGTGCTGGTGTCCTGCGTTGTTTTGCGCCCTTAGTCGGCTCTTAAGACACCCACGGGATGAAATTATTGGGGTAGTGACATTCCGTATTCTTAGTCCGTCACTACGCGGACTAAGAATACGGAATTCTGAAACTTAAGCTGCCGAAATGGCGAAAGCGATAAAATACTTTTTACAGAATTCAAGACGGTAATGTCAAAATAGTTTATTTATTAGCTTTAATTATAAAAAAAACACTTTTTAAATTTATTTAATATTAGCTTAATAATAATAATAACCTCACACATCTCACACACGACTGTCTGATCCCAAACTAGGCAAAGCCACCAGACATCTAATAAACATTAAATATGACTAAATGCCTACATGTTATAGATAAATTACACTCAGACATAGTATAAATGATTGTGCTCATCACATAATATTTTTCCTGGATGGGGATCGAACCCACGACCTCCGGCTTAACGTCAGCGTCACTATCAACTAGAACAACAGGCCCGACAGCTTTTACCGTTACGTTGTATCAATCTGTACTTTTTTTTTAATAAACACCGTATAGGCACCACGAGTTATTTTATGACCGACATAAAACATGTTGCTAAATTTAATGATGTTTTGTTAAGCAGTCGTGACACCTGTTTTAAAAATACAAAGAAATACACGATACACTTACTTTTAAACTAAATTATTCTTAGGACAGTAGAATTGTTACATAAATAGAACAAATGATTCTAGGAATAAGATAGAATAGAAAATGGCGGGCCTGTTCTACAATTAAACGTCAATGAGCGGGAAATCGCTTGTCATTTGCTTAATTCCTAAATTGGCCTGCATTTACTGGTAATTTGAGCTAAATCACACGCAAATAGCACACTTATTTAGATAATAGATTTTTAAGTTAACTTAATGCGGAGGTTGATTTTGTTTTTTTTTTAATTTTTTTATCGCAAACGAGAAGGCAGTTCACCTGGTGGTAAGTGACTACCTCCGCCCATGATAAGTCAAGTCACAGTTTTGAAAATATCTTTATTTCATATATATATATATTAATACGTGATGCGAAAACTTTGTATTCCTTTTTAAGTAAATTGCGCGAAGTGATGGACGTGAAATTTGACACAGTTAAAGTTTATATGGAGAAGAAGTGGATAAAGCTATTTTTTATAAAAAATGCATTGGAAATACATTATAGCCATGATGGAACGTTTGATTACAGAGGTATAATCTTTGATAAAAAACCCTACTAAAGTTCACACCTAAAAGTTATATGAATTTGGCCGAATTTCGATTACTAGGCGACCAATATTAAATTTTTCGAATGGAAATCGTCTCAAATGTAAGACTCTATAATCCACATTTTTATAACTACACGGCGTAATAGGAAACGGCGAGGTGACCGCTTAAACCATTACGCCATTCGTGAAGTCGACTGGCGTTTTTTTTAGAAATGTCAAAAGCTTGAATTACTCACCCCATAGGTGCTTCCAGAATTGAAGGCGAGCCAACCCCACCACAGGACAAAGGTGCCCATTACAGCATTCACCGGGTTGCCCATGGGTAATGGATCTGTACCCTTTGCGTATCTGCCGAGGCGGGGGCCCAGCATGACAGCCGAGGCGAAGGCTGAAGCTCCACCTAGTGCAACCATAATAAAATATAAGTGGTAGTGTTGTAGCTAAGTGGTCGTTCTTGCCATCAAGTGGTAACAGGTTGTTCGCTCTCTCTCAGCCGAAAGACCAAGTTCCGTGATGGACATAGGCCTCCCCAAAAGTTCGCTATAATAACCGGTCCTATGCTGCCCGCATCCAACGACTTCCCGCGGCCTTCAACAGACCGTCGGACCATCTTGTGGAGGGGCCTACCTACGCTACATTTTCCAGTACGTAGTCGCCACTCACACAGAAGATAATATTAATGGCTATTTAGGTTTCTTCTTTAATTGCCTATAGTAAATACAAGAACCGCTACTGTTTTAGGCCGTCCATCTAACGAAGAGCTGACCACTTGCTTTTTTACATGCATAGTATAAAAGAATATTGACAAATAATTGCAATATAATTCGAGGAAGTTTTTTTTTCCATGGGACTTATCCCTGCCATACGCCCACCACCCATGAATATATCGAGTTATAGCACTTGGGAATTTTTACTGGAGTAGAAATTAAGCTTGGAACTAGCAACGATATCAATAAGGAGTTGGATTCTGGTAAATTACTCACCAACTAGATGAACAGGCCCAGAGCCCGCAATGTCCACAGCTCCTAGTTTGTTTAGGAAACCGTGTGAGCTCCATACCCACCCGGCTGGCACACAGTATACAATGGTGTTTAAGAGGGAGAAGAGGCAGTACGCTCGGAAGTCACATCTGAGAATGATATGGACTGATTAAAAATATTTATTACTAGCTTTTAGCTGCGGCTCCGCCCGCGTGTATGTCGGTTATCGCGGTAAAAAGTAGCCTATGTTACTCGTGAATAATGTAGCTCTCCGTTAATGAAAGAATTTTTAAAATCGGTTTACTGATTTAGGCGTGAAAGCGTAGCAAACAAATAAACAAATTCACTTTCACATTTACTAGTATAATATAAGTATGGATACGGCAGTTCTCCGGTCATAATTCAGTTCCGATCAACTCTTAATTTCACAACTACCATAAAAGGTATTTGCCAGACAAATTATATTATATTGCATTGTCGTATATCGTATTGTTACCGAAAATTGAATCGATAATCTGCTAGTTTTAGCGAAACTTTAATATTTTACTACAAAATAACTTTTATTACAGTTGCGAGATCGAGAACTGAATTTTGACCGAACTTTTATTACGAGAATTGGCCTTCAGGTGTGAGTAACTCGCGCACTCCGTAAGTAACTAATAAAAAAGAAAAAGGGTCCAAAATCTACCTCTCAGCCATAGCTCCACTAACAATGGTTGTAGCAGTCGTCGCGAAAGACAGCTGGAACAGGAATGAGGCGAACACAGGACCCATAAGAGCATCTCCTACAGGTGGGTCCACTAGAAAATCTCCCACTCCTATGAAGGGGTTCGAGTAGGTGCCTTCGCCGAAGGACATGCCATAACCGAAGATCCAGTATGTTAAACCTTTGGTTAAGACACAACAATCTTCTTATTATAAAAATAATAATATTTCGGACATCTGACACACAACGCCATCTAGTTTCAAAGTTCAGATCATTCAAACATTTGGTCGGACCCGGGAATCGAACCCGAGACCTCAGCACAGCAGTCGCATATCCTACCACTGCACCACCGAGGCAGTCGCAGAGGCAAATGTATGTTTACAGTAGTAGTGAAGTTTATGTTCCCAAGAGTTTCGTTTTTTATAAAAAAGTTTGGGTATAAATAGCCGTCAACATTTCAATGGTGTTTTTTTGTTGTATCCAGGTCAAAGGAGCAGACGGGTCACCTGATGATAAGTGACTACCGCCGCCCATGGACATCAGCAAGTCAAGAGAGCGTTAGGGGCTTCGGAGTGCCTCCTTCTTAGAATTAGAGGGGGCGGGAGGTAAGGGGTCCAGTAACCTCACTCTCGAAATGCAACGTAGGTAATATCACAGTGTAAAAACTTCATGGTTAAATGCCATTTTTAAATTGGTTCACGGGTGGGACTGTCATTCTTGATTTTATGGGGCATTTATACGGAAAATTCAGCTATTACAGAAACAAGGAGGCATTCGTTGTACCAATTATTATTTTCATTTTATTATTTATGCTTAAATGTCACAAAGGCGGAGTTAATGCCTTAGGCATTTTCTCCCACGCGACCTTAGGGCGATGCAGGGCTATTATAACATGGTAGATGCCCTGAAATTAAAAATGTGATTTTATTTAAAATATAGTAATTATATATAAAATATCATATACCCTGAGTACTTATTTAAATTACATTAGAATAATTATTAATAATAAATACATATATGATAAGTACTAATGATACTTACACACACAATACATAAGTATTTTTATACGCATACAAATTTTCTAGTCACAAAACTCACCGCCAAGCGAAATGTCCGCCATATTTTTCATCATGATGTTAGCTTCATTCTTTATGGAAACACAACCTGACTCCAACATGCCGAAACCTGTAAGATAAAAATATTTTGTTGTAACCGTCGATTGAATATACGAGAGCACGTGTGACATTTGAGTTGCAGGTGTCCATGGGCTACGGTAGTTGCTTACTATCAGGTGACCCGTCGGCACGTTTGCCCCTTTATACCATAAAAAAAAGGCGCGTCGCGTCGGCGCGAGGTGTGAAGCATTGAAATCATATTGTAGATGTAATTGGTATAAAAGTCGCCACACACGTACTAGGTGTACACTGTAACCTGCCTTTGTTTATCTATTGTGAAGAAGTAATAAAACTAGTCTTTTGTTTGTATACTTTGTATAATCGTAGTCGTGGAAGTCATTTTTGAATATTTACAATTTAAAGTCAACGACTCTCATTGCATGTAAGAAAAACTACTCATTTGTGTTTATTCTGGCAAGTAAATTGTTTTTCCTTTTTAAATAATTTAGGAAGACTGAAAGTATGACGTGACTTAACATTTTAGTTCTTTAAAATAGTTACTATTAACATTATGTATACAGCTTAACGACCTATTTTGAGCAGTATTATTATTATTCCTATGAAAGTATGTTTATTAAAAAGTTAGTGTTGCAGGTTAGTTGAGGAGCCCGCGGATAAGTGGTAAACGAGTAGATTAACACAATGCAAAGTCTATGGATGGGTGACCATTCTTAACCCATTAAGACCCTTCCTTGCCTCGGAGAACACGTTAAAGCCGTCAGTTACGGTTGCTATACGAACATCTGTTAAAATCGTTACGAATATTTGGAGACTAAATAGTCCGACAATAGTTTATCTACAGAACTTCGATATCGGCTAGGACTTGGGTTGTGGAGGTCTAATGGCAGTCGTTACTCGTAAAAAATCGAAGTACAGCCGCATTGTAGTAGATTAAAGGCCGACCCCTAATTTTGGAAATGGCTCGAAGGAAGAGTGTTGCAGGTTTTTGTATGAATTTGGTAGATGCCAAGTTTATTGGTCGCCAAGACTTTTATGTTTTTGTTTCAGGCCCTGATTCTAACCATAAAGGAATGTCCTAGCTGTCACTTGCAGTAGGACAAGACACTGATTGGTAATAAATTTCGAGGTGAATTTATTACAGTACAGAAGAATTGGGTGTTAGAAGGTCTTTTCTCAATGCCATCTCCAGATTAACTGAAAATTTACACATTACCTTTATTCAATGTTTGTAAAATTCATGATCGATCATGAAGGTGTTTCCAAATTTAGTTTTATTTACCTGGGTCAAGGTCAAGAGCGCAGTTTGCCCTAATGTTAAATAGCAAAGCAAATAAGGACTTGTGGAGATATGAATAGGAAAAGATTTTGTTTTAGGTTTAATTTACTCGTAACTATACTATTAGGCTGTTGTGGCTAGTGACTGCTAAGCTGGTCGTGGGTTCGATTCCCATCCAGGACAAGAAAGTCTGTGATGAGAATGATCATTTGTTCCGTGTGTGGGTGATTTAGAATATACATGTATTTAGAAATATAAGATGGAACAAAAATATAAAATAATTTATTTCTAAGTAATTAATAACAATATTGCCGTTGGCTCCACATTATGCAAGCCTGCCCTGTGGATATCTGATACGCTTACACTTTTCCACAAACATTGCTCGTATATATAAGTATGTTTATCTTTATAGTCTGGTTTTTATAGTATAGGTTCAGCCTAGTTTAGGATCAGATGGTCGTGTGTGAGGTAGGTATTATTATATTATTAGTATTAAGTAATGTAAAGAACTAAATTTTCCAATGCAGCTGTGCTCAAAAATAGTACTTTACGGCAAATAATCGATACTCTCTCTTTTAGGTAATTTTACATTATAATAATTGTAATATATCCTGTGTCGCGGGGAACAATTTGCTTATCACTCAAAGTGTCGTCCAATTTGGGGATCGGACCCACAACACTCAGCGTAGTAGTGAGCGGCGTGGCGATCGCTCAAACCACAACACAATCCGTGCAGTCTTGAATTTAACAGACTTTAATTATAAGAATTAATAAGACTACGGTTTCATAGACTTCATAAGGAACCTTTATATTTTCGCCATAAACGTTTGCCTGTCCGTCTTATTAAATTAAAGACTTGAATCGATTAATTTAGTACTAGAAGGATGTACTTATGCATGGTTATAGGTATTGATGAAGTGGTAATAAGGCATTACAAAGTGATAAAATAAAATAAAAATAATTAAATCCCACACGCGCTGCTATTACATATCTATCACACTAATATTATTAAAGCGATCGGTCGGTTCATGTCCGTCATAACCACCGGTGGGTGGTATCTGAGGGGATTTCCGCACAGACAAAAAAAGGTGTTCAGTAGTCACTTAATATCAACTGACCCGTCTTCCCATTTGCTTTCTAGACTATATAAAGAGAAGACGAGGTGTCTTTAGGCGATTAGACTTCGCCATATGCTCGGCAAATAGAATACCCGAATGCTAGTAGCATAATGAAGAAGTATTATGCTATCATTCAGGCACGGGTACACACTGGTTTTATGTCTGTTCTTTAAAGATAATTGCGTTCCAAATTTGTGAAGAGAGAGTCACAACTGTGCTGCTAGTCTTTTAGTGCTTAGCACTGGTTCAGTTAGGCCGAGGTGTCACTCCATATGTGCATGCCTTTCCCACGGTTGCATGCCGTCATCAAAACTATTGCAGATAAATATAACACTAAATCTTCGTCAATTGAGAGCCGATTTTATTATCTTTTTAATTTAATTGGTTTCTCTATTAAAATTTGAGGGAAAATTGTCCACACTAAGGTTAGTATACTATAATGCAAAATACGGTATAATTATGTTTATAATCATTTAGTTTCAGTTTAGTAGTTTCAAGTTGTTTTTTTCTTAACAAATAGTAGCTACGACGATTTCAAACAATTTTGAAAAATTTATGAAATAAAGAGAGTTTGAGTTGAGTTTGAGTAAATGCATTGTTATTGGTTCTTATAAATTCTTGATTGATTACAATCAAGAATTTATTTTCATTGCGAACATGGGTTTACAATTAAGGTGTTGCGTATTAAAAATGTTCTACCATATTCTGCCATAAGATTTGGTATATACCGTTACAACAATGAATAAAAAAAAATTAAGTACCAACCTGTTTGCATGGTAAATATGATGAAGGATGAAGTCAAAATCCAGTTGGTATCTTCCAGGTCTATTTCGAAACCTCCTTGAAGGTTCACTGTGGTGTTCGTCAGGTTTGGGGATCGTAATCCTACGTGTGGGAAAATAGTCCAATTCGCATCCATTTTGGATGACTTTGTCTAAACTTTTTAATAAAAAAAACAGCTAGTAGCTAGTAATTTTTCTTGCGGTGGGAATAATAACAATTTTTTGATGAGGTATTTTACCATAATTAAAAAATATGTAGGTACGTCTAATTATTATACAACATTCAGTTCTGTAATTTTTACGAAATCTGTTAATGATAAATTTAAAAAAATAAAATTCGAATCACATCAAGTGAAAATTTAATCTCATTTTTTTTAATTAATCGAATCGATTATTTTAATTTCAAGATTTAATCGAAGTTTGGTTAATACGTTTGTTAATTTATCAAAAAAAGACGACACCCGTTATTTTTTTCGCAACCGCACGTACGAAGGCGCACAGGTAAGTGCTGTAACGCAAAATGAAACGAGTTTTCATCGAGTCTGCTTTTAAATAAGGCTCTTGAATCGCGTGATCATTGTCTGTAAACACATAAAGAATTTATGGCCAATTATGGGGGTCGTTATTGAAAAAGAAGCGCTCTGCGCGTTGTCTTTACTATTTATAATGGCAAGGAGTAGGAGAACATATTGTTGTCCACCTTTTTAGTAAAAAACCGAGAATTTGATCGTGGGAGGGGACACCGCAGTGAGACTACGGCCGCACAGGAAACCGGTGTTAAGAAGTTCTTTCATTGAATGAGTGAGCCCCAAATCCTTATGATTTTGGCTCGTACCTAATGTTTTTATATTGCCTGTATTATTGAAGTAAATGTTATTAGATTAAAAAATAAAGTTTATAGTAAATGTACCTATTTTTCACAGGCTTCGAAGGTGTCCTCTACATCCCCCGTTTTTAAATTGAATTTAAACTGATAAATTAATAATATCAAGGCCGATAGATTTTCAAATTATTTTTAGATGTCATTTTATTTTTTATTTTTTCGAAGACATGTGATAAACCTAAGATTTAGTGACAGGAGTTGGTAAATGTAAGTATTTTTGAATAGGTTAACAGTTTAACGGACTTATACGAGTACCATTAGAAATTGGTACATGCTAGGTCTCACCAGAGGTAGTTGGTGAATGTTAGTTTTGGGAAGCAAACAATAAGTACTTTAAAGATAACTTTGGTATAGTAACCTATCCCTAATTTATTAGAACAGTGACCATTAAAGATCGAAAGATGTCTTACCAACAATAGAGGGCCTTTTGTTTGTAAGACATGTATATTAATCGACATTTACTATGTATTTGAAGTAAATCTTAAGATTTACCAAGAGAATGGTAGTAAATGCTTGAAATTCCGACTTTTATAATAACTCTTTAGTAAATCTTGGGTTTTACCGGTAAATCTTAGGATTTACCGTCGTTCGTAGTAGTAGTAGTAGTTAGTAACCCTGATTGCTAACGCAGAGGTCGTGTGTTTGATTCCCAGACTGGACAAATAATTGTGTGAGAAGCGATATCATTTGTTCTGTGTTTGAGCCCTGGACGTAATTTATCTATAATATGTATGTATTTATATATATTTAAGTATGTTTATTAGTAGTTTGGTTATCATAGTACAGGCGCTGCCTAGTTTGGGATCAGACGGCCGTGTGTGAGATATTTAAGGTTATTATTATTATTATGAAATAAAACTAGAGACATTGTAGATGGTTAAAATTTGACCGTCAGACGAATTCTAGTTTACCTAAACATGATGAATGTAGCATTTGAGGATAATTACAAGGTTTTTGAATTGTCACTTTAGAGATATAATCTGTGAAATATAATAAGTACACAAATTATATTATTCTCATCCTTTTTAAGTCGGTCATAAGTTCTAAGGCCATTCCATCAGATAGCGCTTAGGATACCAGTTTTAGGACATTATTAATTTATATTGCTGGTAGCGTTGCAGGAAAATCTCTGGTTGTTTTTTTCGCAAAAACACGAATGCGTTGCATTGTGAATGAATGACTAATGGTTAAACGTTAAAAGACTATTAATTATATCTATCAAACAATGTATTTCACTAAACTAGGAGGGGGTTTAATAAGATTTTTAAGTGACTGACTGCTGGCTAAATCTGTGACCAGTCTGTCACCACGGCCAGAGTAACCTATATGAAAAATTAGCAATTCAAAGATATGGAACACCTATACAGCTACATAATTGTTCATGTAATCATCTACATTTAGAATGCAAGTTTATTGTTAGTTTCGCTGTTTTTAATTCATAGATGGCGTTGCCGTTGATAGTATTTTTAAATCAAGCTATAATTTAAAAATCGTTCAAGTAGAATAAGTAATTATATTTTGTCTGAATGGTTCTCTGAGTAAATACGCTTGATACGTAATTGAGTACCTAGTATTATTTGTCATCTGCGGAACTCTATCTCTTTTAATATTTAAATATTTATAATATTTCAAACATTGTCTGGACCCTGGTCTCCAGGGTATTTGTTCATTACTCATTCATTTTCTTCATTGAAATCGTTTAAATCCCGTAGATTTTGGATTGGGATTAGTCGCATTAAAGCTTTGAATCAATTATTGTCATTGAAGTATATGTATATATAGAATAAGCAAGCAAGAGCTAAATGTACATTTATTATAAGTGACATTTGATAAATCTTGTGTTTGCTTAAACCAATGTCAGTACTAAAGTTATGGATACGAATGAAAATTATGGGTCAGGGGTGATACATGCGTGGGGTAAAGACAACGTGGCGTGCAGGCAGGGCATGTCCGGGCAGTGTCCGCGGCGGAGAGTCAGTAAGAGTAGCAGGTCACTGGGAGCGGCAGGTCGCTAGGAGCGGAAGTCTATCTAGTATCTTGCCCACCTACCATTACTTTTATTCTTTCATTACGATTTGATTTTTGGAAGGTAAATTAAAGAAAATACTTATTTAAAAGTCACAAAACTCTAAAACAAAAAAAAAATGTTAATTATTAGGCGATAGTGTCGGCAGAGATCTATACATAAGTTAAATTTAATGCTAGATTAAAGAAATACTTGTGGTAAGTTCTACTTATTATATTCTTTATTGTTATTCTTTATGTTAATTTAAATTACGCATGTGTCCCTGTCCCTTTCAAAGCGTAACGCATTGCATGCAAGCTAGCCAAGGGACTAACTTGTAGACCATGGAAAAGTTAAACAGGAAAAGTTATCTGTATACTAGCGACATCTACATGGCACTGAAGATGTAGATGTCGGTAGTGTACAGAAAACTTTTCCTATTATTATTTTTCGGTTGAGTAGTATAACTGCTTTCAATAAAAAAATAAACAAGCAATTTTTTTTATACATATAAAAGTAAATACTCCTTGGCACTATAACAATACTGCTGAAGCTAGTGACACAACACGTCGTTTAATTTTTTTATCTTTCACAAACGTGACATCTATTTAGTTACAGCAAAACTAATGCGGGAAGTAAGTAATTGTAGTTGCTCTAGTTGCCACTAGATGTCCATCTCATTAAAGTTAATCACAGCTATTGAACAATAGAAAGCAGTAGTAGTTCTTAATTTAGTTGACTTAATTCTTCTTTTTTTTCCTTCGCCAGTCGCACCCCTTTCTATCCACCTTTTCGTAATAATTTGTTCTGTTTCCATATCATGAACTGGATATTTCAGTATAAACCTGGAAGGGCCGCAGTTCCTCTCTTTTTATATTATTATTAAATAAGTAATGTGATAATAAAACAAATCAGATGAACAAACTTGTATTACACTTAACTATAATTAAGGCAATTAACTAAAACTTCTACAATAACAGTAAAAAATAGTCAACAATAGTTTTTATTCATGTCGGAGAAATTTAACAGTCTTTATATTAGATCGGCTGACTACAATTGAGTCGGCGACCTATTTTACAGTTAGTTTGTAATAACAATGCAGATTTAAAGCATTTTAAGGAATATGTGTTAATACTGTTTTTTAAATTGTACTAGCGGTACAGCAATTCGGTCACAAATCTACCCGATCGCTAGGTTACACTTATACACTCATTAATAATAGGTCTTTACCTATGAAATTGCCGTTTTGTATGCAATAAGTGAAAGTACTTATTTTTTCAAACTTTTTTATTTCTGTTATTCGAAGTAATCACCCATGCAATCGACGCATCTTTGCCAACGCATTGGCAGTTTATTGATGCCCTTCTTGTAAAAATCAGCTGGACGGGAGGCAAAAAACTCTTCAAAGGCATTTTGTACTGCCTCTCGGGAATTGAATTTTTTACCCACTAAAAAGTTGTCTAAATTTTGGAAAAAGTAATAGTCGGTAGGTGCAAGGTCTGGTGAGTACCAAGCAACCAGCTTTGGTCAATCGGTCGTCCCCTTCACGACAATGCGCGACCGCATACTGCGCAACAGACAGTCTCCAAGCTGCAAGAGCTGGGGTTGGAAGCTCTCCCTCATCCACCATACTTGCACCTACCGACTATTACTTTTTCCAAAATTTAATTAAGTGAACTGTAAATTTTTCTTCTGAGAATAAAGATTCTATAAACCTTTATTTACATTAAGTGGTGAAGAACTTCCATTTTCAATTCAAAGGGCTTACTGAGAGTTTGTTCAACATCAACTCGACCGTCACGGTGACCGCGTTCGGCGTTGTGATGGGCCCGCATTGCAATCTTGGCCAACGTCCCGTTGATGTGAAATTAGCTCACACTAGGCTCTCAGACATCCAGAGGGCCAAGTGCGAGTTTATTTCACTTCTACTCGATGGTCACGGTGACCGCGTTCGACGCTACTATTGGCCCGAACAGAAATCTCCACTAATCGCAACGCTAAACGCGCTCGCCATCGAGAGCCTGTCGAGGAGAGTAGCGTTGACTGTCTGTCTTAACATAATCAACGTCTTTATCACCGGTTTCTCTTCTACCTAATGTCAACATCTACAGTAGGTACTATATTCTGACGTGGTCCGTGTGGTGACGGATCAAGAATACGGAGTGTCACCACCCGTATTCATCCCATGGATGTCGTAAGAGCCGACACAGGGAGCAAACTACGCAGGACAACAGCACTGCAAAGAGATGGAAAACTTGACACACACTAGGTATACCAACCCGTCTGGGCAGCGTGGTATAGAAAACCTCCTTTCTAAGGAGAGGCCTATGTCCAGCAGTGGACTACTAAAGCCAGTTGATGATGATGATTGATGATATTCTGTCAAATAAAAACATCTTTATCTTTACCTGCGGAACAATATCGGGTCTTAGTTTCGCGGCAGGCCCATGTCGTATGTGGCTCGAGACGACACACATCCAGGTTTACCTGGTTTAAGCTTTCTATACTGCATCAAGTCTTTTAAGGTCGATGAGCTTGCAGAGAAGGGCATGGGTCACCGAAAATCACTTAAGTTCACAATTTCGCTAGATTAAAAACTTTAAACAGATACTAGTAAGTAGATTAAGAACCTTAGAAAGACTTGAACCGAACTTTTTACTCAATTAAGGAATGAATTCATGATTGACTTAAATATTTTTTCTAAATTAGGAGATTAAGTTATATAAATAAATTATAATATTTATTTTCATAACTTAATAAACTAGTTGTACACAGGCAGCCTTATTGCCCAGGCATTCTCGGCCCGTCGAAACTATACCTATTTGCGTTAAATATAGTATACGTGTGTTGTTATACCTAATTAAAGTTATGCAAGAAATCATGTACAGCGCTTTTATCGTCATTTGAGTTTTTAGCGTAAATATTTAGCAACGAGTTTATTCTATTGTACAAGAAGGGTGCTAGGACGATAAAATATCGTCTGAGAAAGACTGTGTTGTACGAGACAGGTTCACATAAGCGAATAGTTTTACGTGTGGTACGCATGATTCTTGGACAGTGACTGACCTCCCTATATTTGCGTACTGAGGTGCGAAAAACAAACACATTTTCTGACTGTTCGGTAATTGCTTTCATTATAAAGTGTACTTGTTGGATAACAAAAGTATTTTTGGTCCATTACTGTTAGCAAGACCCTCTGTGCACGTTCAACTCATAGGAACTCGCAAGCCTCATCCTAGGCCGGTATACAGTCCTTAGCATCGCCGGCTTAAGAAAGTTTCTAAGCTTTTCCAAGAACCAAATTATTTTACGCGTTCTTCCTGCTACAAGATTAACATAGGGATTCCAGGATAGTGTGTCATCAAGTTGTTTGGCAAGATCTGATTTCATCAGTTCTTTGACGTGATAGACAGAAACATGCCATTTGCATTAATATTGCTACATATATGTGCTTTGATTGTAAAAATATTCGGTGAGGGCAACGACGATCGTGTAGGCTCGTATAGCCAACCAAATCATTAGCATTTTATTCTACCTCACAATATTCTTCCTAAACTACTTATGTCTACGAAATAACTCACCTACATTACATTAAACATAATGTAACATATCTATAATATGCGCAAGCCTTTTGAATATTTAAGTAGGCAGGTACTTTAAGTTATTTCAGTGATTTTTTATCGCCCTAGGCCGCCCTAGGCCCGCGGGCCTTAGGGTTAACGCCACTGCCCCGAACTGAATACATGTACATATAGAAACCCTTAAACGATTTAATTACATACATAGAAATCCCTGTTCGCCTTTCATTGGTAGATATAAAGATAAAAATTTCAGCCCCTATCTTGTTGTACCGACAGTTCAGTTCGCTGGAAGGATCTTAAAAATCTATACTTTTATCATAAATGTGAAAGGGAGTTTGTTTGTTATGCTTTACTATTAAACCACTAAAACATAATAAAATATAAATATTTATTTTACCGACACCACCGTCTTGTAGTTAATCGCTAATTGAAATTATAATATTCAGAGATGCACTCCCATCGCCTCACTTGGGTACCTTGCTAGACGGCGACTCTTTGCGTGTGGCAGTGGCTCTCCGCCTGGGCTGCAGGGTGTGCGAACCACATAGATGCACCTGCGGTGCCATGGTTGGGGCCGATGGTCTTCACGCACTGAGTTGTCGTCGCTGCGCAGGTAGATTTTCGCGACACCATGCCCTAAGTGACATAGTCCGAAGGGCTCTTATATCCGCCAATGTACCCTGCGTGCTGGAGCCATCGGGTCTCAGCAGATCTGACGGGAAGCGGCCGGATGGCTTGACTTTGGTGCCGTGGAAAAACGGCAAGTGCTTGTTATGGGACGCTACATGCGTTAGCAAAGTCGCGGCCTCACATCTGAGTCGCACCGTCCAAGCTCCGGCGGCGGCGGCGGAGGATGCCGCTAGTAGGAAGCGATCAAAATACGCCGCAATGGAGACGCACTATTATTTTGTGCCTATTGCGGTGGAGACTTTGGGCAGTTGGGGGTCGGAAGCTAAAAAGTTAATTGCGGAGATTGGTCGCCGAGTTAGGGATAAAAGTGGTGACTCCCGCTCCGGCTCGTTTCTGGTGCAAAGAATGTCCGTTGCAATTCAGCGACGCAATGCTGCCAGTATCATGGGCACCTTTGCACCGGGAGCGACGCGGAGCGGGTTACTTGAATAAATAAATAATAATAATTATTATTATATTTAATTATATTTTGAGCCATAATATTATGTAGTATTAGCGCTCAAAATAATAGTCAAGAATTATAATTTTATTGTGTTGAAAGTGTTGTTCAGCATCAGCGTCAAACACAAAACATCGTAGGAACCGGCGCGGTGACCGCTTAAACAACTACGCAGTCCTTGCAGTATTTCTTTTTCTTTTTTTAAAACATCTCCAGCATTAGGAATATATCCTGTCTCGCGGGTCCTTCCTAAAGCTGGAGTTACAAACATACATGATATGGACACAAAGAACACACAGAATCAGAATAACAATTTGTGGATCACACAAAGTGTCGTCCCATGTGGGGTTTGAACCCACAACACTCTGTGCAGTAGAAAGCGGCGTGGCGACGGCTTAAACCACTGCGCCATCCGTGCAATCTGAAGGCCAATTCTCGTAATAAAAGTTCGGTCTCAATTCAGTTCCGATCAACTTTCGATCTCACCACCGTCATTTAAGGTACTTTCGTAGTAAAAGTACGAGAATTGGCCTTCTAGGCATTCTCTTCCAGTCAACTTTTGGGTGGTGTAGAAATCTTGTAAGGCAGGTGCATAGAGGTTACGTCATAATAGGTACATTAAGTAGTTAATCAACGAAAATATCGCCACATACCTACATAAACTTACACATTTTGTTTCTTTGTTTGTTTAAACTCAATAATCTGTGGACCTATCAGTCAGATTTGAACGATCCTTTTTGTATCAGCATTAACAACCTTTAATAGTCCGAGGTTATGTCACGTTGTGGACTATGGGACATAGCCTCTCCTTAAAAAGGAGGTTTTGGGCTGCTATACCACGTTGGCCAGACGGCTTAGTATAGGGTTCCTTTCTTTGCAATGCTGTTGTTAACTTGTTCTGTTAGTTTGCTCTCTTAAGCGGCTCTTACGACAACCACGGGATGAATAGTTGTGGTGACACTTAATCCGTCACCACACGGATGGGTTTTTGTATTGTATAGAGTACGAGTACTTACTTATGTACGAGTACTTAGTATGCAGACACACACAAAACAAATGGGAACCGACACAGAACCAATTATGATGCTTACACAGTGTTTGTGTTGACCAGTCAGTCAGTCAGTTGGTCAGTCAAATATTAATAAAAAGTAATATTTAGTTGAAACGGATTTCCTATATTTCAGAGATTATTTTTGAATAACAAATGAGCTTGGACAAAAAAACAATTATGTTTATGTAAGCTAAAGTATCCTTATACCAAGTTTTTTTATTTTTATAAAAAGCTTATTTCATAAAATGTACCTAAGTATTTATAAAACTATAAAGCCATACCTATACCTATTTATTTCCCGGTGTCAAAATAAAAGACCTGAATTATTATTTGCGAGATTATATTCAAAGTGTAACAAATAAACAGTATTTATAGCAGTAGTTAACACAACGCATCATTGAGTACTTATTTATTTATCGGCAACCGCCATTTTTTGTCACATTATACCAAATCATAATACGTATTTATTTATCATCATATAGACGAAAATTATTCTTACCACGTCGCAATAAAGTCGAAAATAACTTATGTAGTTTTTAATCTTCTGTCGTCTACAACACAGTATTAAAGGAAAATGAATTCTAAAACCTACAGATAGAAATGAGAGTGGCTCAGAATTACACAATAAAGGCAAAGCCTCCCCTCAATGAGAGGCGTGGTTCTCAACGGCGGACAGCCACCGCACTGACATCAGTACACAACTGACATTCGGACGTTCCGAATACAAAATTTAAAAATCGTACTCGCGCAGTGACTTGTGTTAGTGGACTAGTGATGGAATCACAGATAAACAAAATGCAGACAAAACTTCCACCGAAGAATTTTACTATCGAATCGATAGTAGGGATGAACGATCGACGATCACCAGAAATCGATATTGAGAACAGTATATCCCAAGATTATTCTGGCACCAATGAACATACAGAGGACGAAGACCTGAAGATAGAGGAAACTAAAATGGGATACTATTTCCAACAAAATCGAGTGCCGAATTTCCCGTTCTTCATGACGTCTTACGATAAAAGGTTTCAGAGTGAACAAGGAACACAACAGGAGGAACTTAAGAGATCGAGTCCTGGAAGTGTGAGGAGTGAAGTGGATAGCGATGGAGTTGACGAAAGACCACACGGTAAGTTTTTTAATAAATATATAATTAGTTAGACGGATTTGCAAATACTTAGTGCTGGACGTAAAGGAGACGAATTAGGTTATGTATGCACTACCATCTCAATAAAATAGTTATTATTGCTAGGGCTAGGTTATCTCGTTAGTAGATCTACATGTTATATTTTTCATTCGATTAAAACATTTACTTCACACAACTAGTAGACACTACTACCTACACTACTTATACCAAAAAAGTATTCCTTATTAAAAAAAAACTACCTCCAATATATTGCATAAAAAGGCGGTTCTTAAAAAAAACTAATGTCAGTTTAAAAGTTTTCTTTAAAGAAAGTTTAACCTAGACATCGTAAAATAATTTAATTTAACTGTATTCTTAACGTGGTAATTCTTAATGAAAAATTGTATTCAGTCGGCCGACGCCGCCGGCTTTGATCTTTTACAGCCTTACCTCAAATGCTCGTAACTGTGGGCCTTCAAGTAATTTGGTAATTTACTCAAATAATGGCGTTAGAAGTAATTTTTGTATGGTTTTTTTTTCTATAACAACACGGTAAAAAGCAACAGCAAATAGTTTTTATCATAAAAAACAACTTTACTGTTCCGACTGTAGCTATATTATCAACTAGCTGTTGCCTAAGACTCCGCCCGCTAATATATATGATATGAAGATAATTTATAACCTATAACACTCAGGGATAATGCAGCTACAAATTAGTGAAAGAATTTACAGAATCGGTTCAGTAGTTTCAAAGATTACCCTCCACATACAAACAAATTTTATTTCTTTATAAAGTTATTAGGTATACGAGTAAATAAGTTGCATTTATGTTTCTAGAGTATTAGGTATTTTTACAAAAGTCAGAAACCCCACCTTACCAAAGGCGAGGCAGAGTAGTTTGTCAGACTTGAATCGCATAAAACCACACGGTCTTACGTCACATGTGAGTCTATAGCAGAGCAACCGAGATACCCTAAGAAGGAGCCATCGAGAACTCCTGCAGGTTCTGGCTGTCAAATAAAAAAGCGACCAATCCGTTAAGTTTTTGTAATCTAATCTAATCTCTTCGAGATCACACCACCATCTCTGTTTATTTCTGAAGGCAGGAAGCAGCTAGCCCCGTAAGCCCTAGCCCCGCGTTCGAAAACCAGGAAACCTTGTTTTGGCAATTAGGTTTTCCTAATCGATGTAGTGTTAAATCGAAATCGCTTATCATCGATAAACATGGATAAATTATGAACATGGTGTGCATTTTTTATCCTACATAAAACACATACCTACTATAAATATTCATTGAAAATATCTAAAACGCCGTCGAAGCAGCAACACTTTTTCAGTGGGAGGGTCATGCAAGACTGCAAAGAATTTGTGTCTTAGTTGAAGATAACTGATTTAACATAACCTGACTTACTATCAGGTGGTCCGTCTGCTCGTAAGCAATATAAAAAAGAAAGAAAGAAAATCGTTTTAAATACGCGGAACTAGAACAATGGGTTAACCCAATAACCATTTCTTTAACACTGCTAATTATTATCCTTTATCTTTTGAGATAAACGGATAAAAATCTCTTCAAAAACTATTAACAACTAATGTTTACATTATAAGAAGTCAATTGAGCATTACATTGTTTACAAAACAATGCTTTTTGAAAGGGGAGTAGAAAAAAAACACAAAGGCCGCATTTGGTATACACTATCACCCTTTGTTTTTTTATTGTTATGGGCAAATGTAGCAGACTAAATTATGACATACACAATAAGCGTAGATTATATGGATTTACTACAATTACCTACATGTTTATAATGTTCTATTTTTTATTAAATTTTCTTTGTGAGAAGTTGTTCTAAAAATTAAAAATTGCCACCAATAATACCTACTGGCCGATTAAAAAATGATCTTGAGCTTTCTTAACATACGTCTAGTCAGTTACACCAGATTAACTGTGTCAAAATCTTTTTTTTATTATATGATGTAAAAGCAATATTGTACTTTTTTACATAGTATAAAAAGAAGTCGCTTTGTTTTCTTGTACGTTTAGATCTTTCAAACTACGCAATGGATTTCGATGCGGTTTTCACTAATAGAGATAATGATTCAAGAGGTGGGTTTTATTGTAAAATAAATGCATATTATAGTGGAAGAAAACCGAGAATTTCAAAGGTTTGTAAGGCGAGGTCGTAAAAAACATGTTTTTGTGCGCTTACATTGCAAACGATAGCTAAACCTTATGAGATAGATTAAAATAATGTACTACGGAATTGTAGATCTTAAATAGATCTGCTAAAAATCCACAATGGTATATATCTACATCCTAAGCATAACCCACAGTAACCATTTTTATCTTTTACATATTTCAAAAAATAATGGGTAATTTACGAAGATATTTTGAACAATACAGTATTATTCCTTATCCTAATAAAAACGTTAGATACTTTGTGCATTTAACATGGTAATTGCCGTTTACAGCATATCATTAAAATGAATATCTAAGAAGGTAGGTATCACAGATTTAAAAGGCGAAGGCAAAGCGTATAGCTTGTTATTAAGATAAAAAGCTAAATAATTGGTTGTGTTACCCAAGCTTTGTCCATTATGTATTATGCGTATAAGTACGTGAATTAACGGAATATGATTTAGCTAACGTTATAATCAAGTTACCCAAGGCGAGGTTAAAGGCTGACTGGCTCAGTGGTGCGCCTTCCGTCGTCGAATCTGTGAGGCAGAAGTTCCTTTAACCATCCTCACAGTTTAGATATTTTTAATATTAGGTCGTGGGTTAGATTTCCATCCAGGAGAAATACACAAAAATATCCCATATTTTTCACACGCTTTGATTAGCTTAGTTTGTATGGACCTACGTAACGGAATCTTTGAAGGTGATTTTCACCCACTTTAAAACGTGGGTTTGCATTCAAACTTGGTACACTTATCAAGGACCGAAAATAATACAATATTTTGATAAATTTGTCTGATTATCCTGATCAGGATCTTCAGGATTATCAACGGCTTTTTCAATACCTAAAAATACGGTGGTTTCTTTTTTCACGTACTAACACGCGTGCTAAAGCATATGTGACTTACTCACTTGTAATTTTTTTAGTCTTAATGAGAAAATAATAATTACTTTTGATAAATAGATATTATTCTCAGAAGAATTTCAGGAAATGACAAGGAATGATATGACTCATTGTTCGTGATTCATGAACATATACCTATGTAAGTCCTAATTGACTTCGTTAGGCTAGTAGCTGTTATAATCAAGTTAGGTAAACCACTTTACCAAATAATGGTTTGTAAATCAGAACAATTGCAGTACCAAGAACGTGAAACAATCGAAACTTTACGCTTTAATATTGACAAATGATCTGTACGGTAGCATTTTATACACACAGCTACTGTTCAACGAAAAACTACCATTATTTTTCGTACAGTCACAGCATGACGTCTGTCAAAATTGCCGCCAATGTGCAGTCAGACATCTTTAAAAAAAAAAAATCTATACAGCCGCTGTTGGCACAATAAAGAATTGTCTTTGCTCAATTATGGAGTGGTGTATTGTGGGTGAATGTTAGAATTTCTCTTTTATTACTTTTAAAGTCTTTTCATCGTATATTAGCGTTTGGTTTTACTGCTTCCACATTTTTGGTGAATACGTAATGGTTCTTGGAAGGGGTAGTTTTCGTTCTTCAAGCTTAATTTACGCTGTAAATTTAAACTGATATTGCACACTTAATAGAAGAAAATGAAAAGCAGAGTTCTTTTCTTCATAATATTAGGTTTGACGACCAGGAGCAGCATAGAGCGAAAGGATGAGCGATGAAACTCAGGGAAAGGCTAGGAAGATGATAATGAAAGTTGATTTTTACATTTAGTGTTTTAAATCTAAGGCACTTAATAAAGGTTTTTCTTCTTAAGGCTAGTCATAGTAAATGCCAGTACTGTCTTGCTAATACCGACTAACTGACTTGATAAGAAAATTGAAAAGATCTACTTGAAAAATAATTCATTTAAGTACCATTTTTCTAAAATAGTGTACTTAGTTATAAAAACTCTTAATACCATTCCTAACTCAAGTAATTATTGCTGAAGACTTTTTCGGTCCCTTGAGAAGCTGAATGAAACTGACACCGAAATAGATCAAGCTGAGGTATATCGTAGCTGATGGAGACTTGAGTCTGAACGATAAAAACCTACATAGCGTAGACCCGAGTCTGAACAATACATCACTAAAGTAGAGGAGGTTGAGCGTATTAATAACTTGGCGCTATGTAATAAGGGTTCATGATGCTCACTGCGCGCTGTTATGGAAGATGAGAGCGCATGATTAAAATATTAGGCTGGAGGTACAGTGGGTACGGCTACATCTATATAGGAACATAGTATAAAGTGTGGAGAAACTAAGTGTTAGTCGTTGATAAGTTTTCTGAATAGTATAGATTTCGATTGCTGTATTTTATTTTCGTAATTTGGTAATTAATAAATTAGTAGTTCTTTTGTTTTTGACAATTTTTATGTTATTAATTATTCTATACTATTCTCTACTATAATTCTATCTTCTTATACTTTTCTACTCATTAACCCATCTAGGTACTTAATGAAACTGTATTACGAAAAATATGTTTCAGCAATCCCAAACTCCCCTATACGGCGAGTCTAATACTTAACAATGTCAAACTAATTCTATTCCACCCACGCTTTAACTATCACCTAAATGTCACATTATTGCATGTAAATGTAGTACAAGGTCTCATTGTGCCACGAACCTAATACAAAGTATCAGTAAAATAAGCTTGAAACAAAGCTCTAGAGGGAAAGAGACAAAATACGATTATGTAGCCCCGCCTCTATGGTGGGGATAAAAACCGAGAGTGCTGATTGGCTTACGCATTATAGATTTTTAGAGGCGTCGTAACGTGCAACGAAAACAAACTGACAGTTGACAGTTTACTTTTTCGGTTCGAGGCAAAGGCAGCAAAGTGGTGTTAAGATGGAAGCTTTTAGGA